GTGTTGGAGAATCCCCTGGGCTTCACCATAGCATTGTTTTTGTGTGTTTTTATTATTAATTAATTAATTAAGAACAAAATGAAAATTAAACCTGAATTTTAGAATAGCAAAAGGCAGTGGTGTTTCTTCAATGCAACAGGGACAGTATAGAGTGACAAGAAACTTTGGAGGTTTCTGCTCACGATTTAACAAATCGTTGTATTGATGGCAGCGTAAATGAACAGATTCGTGTATGTAAATAGCTGTTTTAAAAGTCTGTTGCTTGTTGAAGGTATTGAAATAAGTCAGGATAGTAATACAGGACTTGCCAGAAGTGTCTTCTGTATTTCCAGCTGGATGTTTCTGAGCAGTAGTAATCGCATCTCATCCAAAAAAGCAGCACAAAAAGACATAGAAATACAGTCCTGGTATTCGAATAAAATAGTGCACTTCTTTTTACTTTGCTGCAGGTAGGAAGTATGGACTGAGCAGGCTGTGATGACTTTGGCTGACTTTTAAGTGCCCAGTGCTGCTTATTTTGTAGCTTGGTTTTCAGTGTTTTCTAATTTTGCCACATTTGAGCTCTCTGAGTTGAAATTTCCCACCTTCCTTATTTGCAACAGTAAATTTTCTGTGAAACCTTTGAGTAATTTCAGGCATCAACAGCTATTTCCTGCCTTCAGAAGAGCGTGTTTTGAAAGAGAACCAGTTCAGGCGTATTGCGAAGGACAAATCCTGCTCTAATTGCAGCAAGCAGGGAAATCCTGCTGGGCCCACTGGGAGCTGAGGCGGGCTCTGTGTGCCTATTGATGGCTGCAGAATTAGGCCAAGATGCCTAGAAACTTCGAGGAGTCTGTGACATTTCTCCAAATACCAGATGAGTATATTACTGGTAATGAAATGCAAATGAATGAAGCATTTTAATCAAAAACCTAGAGGTAGTATTTACCTGAGGATATTCACTGTAAGGGTAGGAGTTCTAGTTACATTTTATTTTTTTTTTTACTGATTCAGACACATTCTTAAGCATGTGCTCCTATCCTAAGCATGGGGAGGAGGAGGCTTGCTTCTCTTCAAGATTAATCATAATTTTTGGAAAATGATAGCAACTAAATCTCTCCAGAATTCCTCGTAGAATCCACAAGGAAGCAGATTAAACCATCAACATAACGTCTCCACTGTTGAATCCATTAGCAGAAATTTCGGTGAGTTAAGCAGCAAGAGCTCCCCTGGAGGTCACCCTAAATCAGTTCATCGAACAAGGGGCTGCTGTGGGCTTTGTGCTGCAATCACCCAGTGAGGGAAATCCACCTCTTGAATAGGCATCTGTTCAGGCCAGTCATGTGCTCCTGGCTCTGAATCGGCTCCAGTGTCACGGAGCTTGGGGTTTGCTTTCCGTGGGAAATCCCGACACAGAAATAAACCACGGTCCTTTCTCAGGAGAAGCAGTTGGACTCTGGAATTTAATGTTGGGTGAAATTAAGACCAAAATATTGCGCATTACCTGCATTTTCTGTTTCAGGTTTGATTCCTAATTTTTCATATCCTTTTTTTTTAGTGGATTGGATTGAGGAAGTTGCTAAGCAGTTGTTCTGGTTAGTGATGGTTTGTTAATATTCAATTGAAGTAGTTCTTGAAAACTGGTATTCAAATTCTCATGGGCATAGGACCCTAAATATATTTTAAGGGTGAGGTCACGGTAACTCTGGGAGGGGACATTGGAAAATGAGCTGGACCAGGTAAACCGGGACTGAAGGTGGCCAGAAATTGCTAATATATAGCAAAGGGATATAAAACAGTCCCCGTGCTTTAAGAATACAATCTCCTTCAAATGCATAATCTGTTTCTCGTGAAAGACATGTGGCCCAATATAGAAGTTTTAGGTCAACTGATTCAGTTGCAGATTAGCCTCAATATTCTGAAAGAGAAGGCTGTAGTTTCTTATGGCCTTTAATTCTTGACAAAGGATTATACCGGGCACCACACTACTGCTACAATGTGAAATGTTTGGGGGGGGTTGCTAAATTAACCTTTGTAATAGAAAGGCTTCTTATGCGTGTCCGGTCAAAAGAAGAGAAAGCTTTGAGATGAGAGCAATTTAGAATGCCAGTGATTGGGATTTTCATCTAAAATTATTTTTTCTTCTTCTTCTTCTTCTTAACTGTTTCACAAAGGAGTTTCAGAGATGTGTCCCGTTCTGATTTAAGCATTGCGTGCAAGATATTTAAAATAGAAACCCCCAACAGATGGGCAGAAACAAGTGCAGGTGACGAGGGGGGAAAATAATATAATTAAAGGTAGACTGATTGTCATTTGTGAAGTATTGTTTGGAAAAGTGACTTTCATGGATGTAATTTTAAATCTCACAGTCGTATTGCGAGAGGGAAGTCTTTAATTTTAGGAAAAGGCGCATATGTTTGATACATGTTTTTGGATGATGAGTGTGTGTTTTAGGTTATATCTCCCTCACTGTTCATGGCTGTACACATTCTTTACGGTCCCCTATAAATTTGTGCGATATTTGCTGCCCTGCTCTTAGCCCTCATGATGAGCTACTACAGATGTCCTACAAGAATGCTTTCCCGTGGTAATCTGGGTCAGAACAAGGCCATACAAGAGTAGTGGTTGTAACAGAGGATTATGTGAATGTGAGTTTTGAACTGCTTTGTGGGGCAGACTGAAAACAGAGACAGATACCAGTGAATAGTTTACCCTACACACTACACGTGGGATCCAGTGAAGGAAATCCTGTCCCAGTGGAAGTTAGTAACAGTCCAGCTTTTGACCAACGTGAGCAAGAGATTCCCAGCTGCATATCATCTGTGTGTGGTGGGTGTGTGCATAATGCAAACAAGTGCTGGTAACGTCTAATGCTTGGGCCCCTTACAAATTTAATAGGCTTGGGAGGTAGCTGATTCTCACTGGACTTAAGGGATAGTGTGAAGGACTTTATTTCTGTAGATCCCATTTAGTAAATATTGTCATGTTTGAAAGGTCTGAGCTCTTCCTTGTCCTTTTCCCTCAAATCCCAGTTGCCAAGACGTTGGCATGAGGAATGAGGTTATTAGACCTCGTTAGGGTGCCATGGACTTGTTCCTTTAAACAGATGTTCCTTTTGACAGAGTCTTTTGTGCTTTTGTTCTTAGGACTTGCCCCATCAGCAGGCAATGTGAATACACCACTGTTTTCATACCTGGGATATCTCAGTAGCTTCGAAAGCATTGTTTCATTCAGGTCCAGGACAAAATTTTAGACTGAAGAATTAATGTTTTAATTAAGAAAGATGACACTTGAGAAAACCATTGTTTTGATACATTTGGTCATTTGTTTTTTTGTTATTGGTTATGGTTTATTTTTGTGTCCACTGCTTTCCCCCTGGGCTGGGGAATGCTGAGAGGAAAGTATTGGATTTGGATTTTGGGGATCCCATAGCAGCACAGCGTTCATGTTCTTGATGTAAAAGCTTGCTCTCTGGCATTGCAAGTGTGTGACCAGAGAATAAAGAAGAACATTTAAGGAGAATGCTAAGTGGGGATGAAAGGAAAACAAGAAGTGATGGAGTTAGGAAGAGAGAGATCAGAAGAAGACAATCCATCATTCATTGTCCAGGAGCTTGCAGACAAGGTGATTTTTTACAGCCTTTCAATGTTCCAGCTACAACCTGTGCTAATGATAATCACAGCGCTGGGATTGTTTACCTGTGGAATATAAATGCTTCCTGAGTATGCACCACTGTGGCAAAAAGGATTGCTGAATCCCAGCACTGCGTGTGAATGCGTCTTCCACCCTTCCATTTTTGACATGACTTAATTACAGAAACATTTTCAACATACAGCAAGATTGTTTTTTGACATCTTACTCATCATTTTTTTATGATTAGTTTAATTAAAAGCGTTGGTCTTTTAAGTGAAACAAGCAAGCAAATAAAGGGGAAAACAATTCTGAAAAGTTTAAATGCAGGTCAGGGCTCTCTCCACCCTCCTCACCCACTCATTACCCCATTAATCCTCCAGAAATCACTAAAGGAAAAAGACTTTCTCTAAATCATAAGTGGAGAGGACAAATTTGTGAATCATTATTACAGATCGTAATGAAAATCCAATTAACCAGAGATGTTTGGCAAGCAACAATCTCATTATTACTGCACTTGAGTTTTTTTAGATGTCAGCTAACTAAATGGCAACCTGTTGCTTGTTTTGCTTGCCAAAAAATGTAGTAAGCTTTTATCTGTACAGATTCCCTGTTTCAGTAAAATGCCTCTCCGCAGCAGTGAGAAATTGTGCACCAGGGATCTTGACTTCCAGCACAGGAGAGCTGACGTGTTAGGGTGTAGTATGCCTCAAATTGTGCATCGTGCAAGAAAAACTGGATGTAGCTAACTCTGAATCTCCAGTTCTCATGGGAGTCCAGTTTGTGTATGCCTACAGAAATGTGGAGTTTGGGGCTTTTAAATGAAGGTTGGTTGACAAAGGTCACTTTCAGGAATAAAGTGAGATGTTTGAAGTTTGTGTTGTAGTTTTTCCAGAACAGCTTTGCCTGAGAGCATGATTATTGTGGCTTGATCTTCTAAAGCGTTTTGGTGAGAGGACAGAGTTTTGGTGTTGAAGTTGCTGTGGTTGGAGGATGCTCTGCTCCAAGCCTGTGGAGTTACATTAGCTGTGGAGTATTCTGTTTTGTAACGGAGACACAAGCATCCTAAAATACTCTGAGAAGGCAATTAGAAAATGGCAGCAAGGCTTATCCCTGTCTGAAAATTTTCCTATTGTGAATGAAGAGTGTGTGTGCTTATAAATGAATTCCTGTGATCCCATCATACTACTTGTGTAGTGGGAGGAGGCTGCCACTCTCACCCAGAATTTGGCTTTCAGTAGTTATTGCAATGTGCTGATCCTAATATCAGCCTCTCAGTACATACCCACTAATGCCTAATTGCTGTAATTTTTTAGCAGAATTAAACTTATACTGTCCACCAGACATGAGTATGAGAGGATTCAGTGAACTTTTCTTCCTTCTTCTTTCAGGTTATAAGACCCTTTTGAAAGGAATTTCAGGGAAGTTCAGCAGTGGAGAACTTGTTGCCATTATGGGTCCTTCGGGAGCTGGGAAGTCAACACTCATGAACATTCTGGCAGGATACAGGTCAGTAGCATGAAAATCCCAAGTAAGATAAGGATCAGCTAGCCTGGTGGATGCCTTGGAGACATCAGCAGAAGAAATCTTAGCCAGTGTTTGTGGAAAATAAGTATTTCACAGATTTTTAATTAGATTCTTATTGCTTATATTTTTTCTGTTTTTCCAGAAACTTGTGATTTTTCTATTAACAAGGCAGGTTCAAGAATAAGAAGCAATTTAAAGTCTGGAACACCAGAAAGATTTCTCTTTTCTAGCTGTAAAACAAATCTGGCTCTAATGTTTGTGATATTTGAAAATCACATCTTATAAACATTTGAAAAAAAGGCCCTTTTTAATCAACACCTTCATAATACACCTTCAGGCAGGGCTGAAGTAGCTCAGCTGGGAGAGCGTTAGACTGAAGATCTAAAGGTCCCTGGTTCAATCCCGGGCTTCAGCAGTGTTTTGGGATTTTGGACCTGATGATCTTTTGAAGTCCCTTCCTACCCCTTCAATTCTGTGATTCTGTGATAATGTAGATGTCTTCTAGACCAAACTGCAACATGTGAAATGACTGTGGTTTATCAGCCTGAATCTTCTGGTTTATGGCTAACTATGAGGTGCTTCTGTGTGGTCATTAGGGCATAAGGAACAAGATAGACAAACCTAAATAAATTCACTTCAGTAGCTTCATATTTTTTCAGACGTTCATGCAAGATAGCACACATTTTGTATTGGATTGAAATTGTCAACAAAATCACATGAAGCCACTTAAGAAAGAGAAAATAATCATGAAATAAATTCATTTCTATCCACTGTATCAGTTTTATTCCATACTAGGCAATAATTATCACCTAGGAGTTCCACATAATGAGGACTGTGACAGCTCAAATGAAGGCAAGATTCACCCCTGGTTGTTTTCTTGGTTCATTTCAGAGAGACAGGCATGAAGGGAGAAATTCTCATCAACGGACAGCCTCGTGACCTGCGCTCTTTTCGCAAAGTCTCCTGCTACATCATGCAAGATGACATGCTCCTTCCTCATCTGACTGTCCAAGAAGCTATGATGGTGATCTTTGTTTCCTGGCTGTAATTTATTTGAGCAGGAGAAAATGGAAAATGTCCAATTGTTCATTGCACACATGTTCTTAGTAATGCCACTAGCTGTTAGGTCTATTTGATCCTACTCAGTGGAAGTGCTTAGACTTTGATGTTGCCTTGAATTCCATCTCAGGCTCATTCTTCTGTGGGTTGTCTGAGCTTCTGTTTTATTGCCTTCAATTTGTGACTGGTGTTATGATTTAGAAGAAGGCTGTACTAAGTAGACCTCCCAGAGAATGAAGCCTGCAATTCAATGCAGAATGAGTCTTTGTAGGAAGCATCCTTTTTCTTGGGTGGTGGTGAAGTATTCTCTTCCCTTTCTCTCCATCTTCCATGCTCTGACTGAAAAGTTGCTGTTTTGACGTTAAGCATGATTTCTGTGCTACTAAACTCTTACGTGACTAGTCTGTAATAAAAACAGTACAGAATTCCTTCCAAAAAAAACCAGTAAGAATAGAATAATCCCAAGATGTACAGGCAACATAAATTCTTTTTGTTGTTTATCATAGCATCAAGAGATTTATTAATTGACCAATCAATCTAGAAGAGCCTGTTGCTTAGTTTGAGAAATAAGGCTAAGGTTACTCATACTGCATGCCATCATCAATCCACAAATTTCACTGTAGTCTTGGCTGTGCCTTATGTGGCTAATTTCCTCCAGAGGCACTTCTTGAGGAAGGCTTTCTCTTTTGTTTATTTGAACATTGTAGTCAGAATCCCATAGGACCACTTTTTTAGAAGTAGGCCCAGACAGTACTTTCTGTCTAATCAATAAAGGCTCTGACAAAAATATTTATTTAACTTAATAATTACTTTTAATTACAACTTAAAATTAATTTGATAATTATTAACAAATAATCACTTTTTTTTTTTCTGTACTCATTTGTTGACTTCCTAGAGAATGGCATTTTTTTTCAGTTATCCTCATGATATGGAGGAAGCACAGATAAACTGTGATTCCAGCATTGCCTAGGAACTTAGTGGCTATGCAAAGACATGGGTCTCCCATCTTCCTTTCAAGTTATTTAACTTGCAGAACGGCCTTTCTTTCTAATATGATTTTTGTCAGATGCTTGAGTGATTGCTTAGGTAAGGTTATACTGTTACCTAAAGCACAGGCATATATGATGCTTGTGATTTGAACATTATAGCTCAACTTAAACCTTCCCTTCAGGGTTGGAAGAGATCATTTAAATGGGGATGTTTTGACTGAGACTTCCACTCTAACTGGTTGTGATGCTTCAGGCCAGTTTAAAATCAAATTCCATTATGTTGCATTCCAGGTATCTGCTCATCTGAAACTTCAAGAGAAAGATGAAGGAAGAAGAGAAATGGTATGTACACTATCCATCAAACTGAGGATTTTGGGGGTTGTCAAAGAGGTCTGTGAAGTGAGCTCTGTAAAGCTGACATTTTTTATCTAACAACGAATTGCATTGGACTTGTAATGATAGAATAAATCATAACCTCAAAGTTGACAGGTATCATTATGAGTGAATGCATAGTACTGACTGTATGAAAGTTGCTTTCAGTGTGCCTGAAGCTGACACTGAGAAGATAATTGCGAAAGATCTAGTGACATGAATTCACGGGTTTTGTAGGATTTCTTTTATTGTCCCTTAACACTTAGATTCTCTTACATGCAGGTCAGAGGGCTCAGGCATTCTTGTGTGTGGTGACATAAATCAGACATGTCTGGCAATAGTGATTGTAGGCCAGCTGCAAAGTTCACCTTTCCAAGGTTTAATGAAAAATTCAGTAGTTCTTGCAACTGCTGCAGAAATTTCTGTGCTCATGTCTGAAATCTTTGATCATTTTGGCTGTGCTGGTCAGCGGTGAGGTATTGTTCAACTGGGCAGGCTAATGAAATTGCAGTTAAGATACAGGCTAATGTATTTTGAATCTGTTTTAAGTGACCAAGGTTTGGACAAGTAAGAAACCAGGCTAAAACACGCATGTATCTTTTCAAAAACACTGGGGATGAGTTGCACAATTTATTCTTGCACATTTGCTGTATTGTCTAGCTGTGTCTAACATATGACTTTCCAGAGTGGGAGAGAAGCCAAGGTGGTGGTTTTTGGCTGTGGAGGTTTATAACTTAGCTGGATGTGCACTAAGTGTGCTCCTCTCAGCCACCTGACTGCCATGATTCCTCCCCATCATTTGATCTTACACAGTGCTGTCTTTTTAAAGAAAATACCTTGGAGGTGTGCAGCTAGACAAAAAGGCTTCTGACAGGTTAGCTTGTGCATGAGATGGCTTTCTCAGCTGAATTTGGTTACCTCACTTATACTTCCAAGGGTAGGAAATGTAACCTTTCTCCACATTTATTCTGCACTTCAAAAATCTAGGCTTGTGTATACCTAGGGCTACTCCGCGCTCAGGTGTCTGTCTGTGCTTGGGTGGAGTTAGCAGGAAATGCTGAAGCATATGGGAGGAACAGTTCAGTGCCACAAGGTGTGTTTCAAAACAATATATAGCTAGAAATTTTACGCCTGCAGCTTAAAATCAAAAATCACGGCACTGATGAACGTAGAGATGATTTGCATTGCTGAGAGATTCGTTAAAATTGAAACTGTAGCTCAGAGGGTGTTTGGAAGTGTTTTTGCTGGCTTCAAACTATGTTTCAATCCAGTGTAAGACAACACCAACAAGGAGATGGTAATTATTCTCTTGTAGACTGCCTCCTCAAGGCATAAGCCTCAGTAATTTGAGTTATGCTGAGTGCTAGTGGGGATTATGCAATAACAAGGCCCATGGCTAAAACTGAGACTTAGCTTCCAAGAAAGCTGGCTGCTCCTTCTACCTTCATTATGGACTTGTATGTTACTCTACAGTTGTTTTTTTTCCCTGTAAAGTTCAAGTTTGGGGTTTTCCATGGCTTTTCAGAGTACTTTATTTTTGCAAAGATAAAGAGGGATCAGTTTTTCATTACGGTGCATTTTGTGCTCCCGAAGTCATACACTGAGGAGACCCTCCTTGGGCAAATTTGGAAATGGTGCAGGTGACTGGAAGAAGCCACCTTACAGGACTCAACTGAAATAGAATCAGAGAATCATAGAACTGTTTGGGTTGGAAGGGACTTTAAAGATCAACACCCTACCATGGGGCAGGGACACCTCGCACTAGACCAGCTTGCTCAAAGTGCCATCCAACCTGGCCTTGAACACCTCCAGGGATGGGGCATCCACAGCTTCTCCTGGCAAAAGATAAAAGTCTGCAGAAGGAAGTAGGAGATGAGCATATCTGATTGAGGCCTGACCTTGACTTGTTGGACTTGAGTATTTCAGAGGAGTACCTTATTCTAGTAAAAGATGCCTCTGGCCATAGCTGGCATTTCTAAGCAGAAGTTTATTAAGGAAAGGGTGAAACCACTTCTATCCTGTCTGGAGAAAAGTGTATCCATTGCCTACAACATGAAAATTATGGCAACTTCAAGGGTAGGGCAGCCATTTCCATAACTTCCTTTTGTCCTTATTTCCTAATTGGAACATTATAAATCTCTTCAATCTCAGAGAATATGTGGAAATCGGGAAGAACTGCAGAGAGGGAAGCGTACATGAATCAGCATATGTTTGATAGGTTAGGATTGCTTTGATTCTGTCAAGTACTTTTTTCATAATAAGCCAAAGATACTTTTTTAATTGGCTAAAATGTCTATGTTTAGAAACAGCTGTTACTTTTTTTGTACTTTGAAAGTCTTAATTCATTTGCACTTACTAAGTTAGGCTATGCAAGCTAATTCAGTTGTCATTACTGTCAGTGTAACTACAAACAGCTCTTTGAGGAAAAGACTGTGTTGTATGTATTTATACGACCACTGTTAGAAGGGTACTCGTTTTAGTGTTACTGGCCTGTACTGGAATAAATCATTCATTTTATTGCTGTAAATTGTAAGGTAAATGTTTATCGTAGATAAATTTTATGAATTTATGCACTTGTGTTATCAGGATTACAGATGCTTGTTTAAAACAGTCAGGGACAAATGAAAAATGTCCAGTGAACTATACTTTATATTTCTAGTTGGTTTATCTTGTGCTGTCCATGTTCTGTTCACCCTGTCTAGAGTTGAAGAGAAGGAGGTAGTTGAGTTCTTCTCTCTGAGAATGAGGGTTGGTGAGTTTGGTTCTTTTTCCCTTCTTGTGACTAAGAGAGGTAGCTCCCAAAAATCAAATCAGGACAAGTGACTATGATTTTATTCTATCATACTATTAGGAGGAAATTCTTCACTCAGAGGGTGGTGAGTCACTGGCACAGGTTGTCCAGAGAAGCTGTGGATGCCCCATTCCTGGAGGTGCTCAAGGCCAGGCTGGATGGGGCTTTGGGCAACCTGGTCTGGTGGGAGGTGTCCCTGCCCGTGGGAGATGTCCCTGCCCATGGCAGGGGGATTGGAACTAGATGATCTTTAAGGTCCCTTCCAACCCGAGCCATTCTGCGATTCATTCTACGATTCTAAGTGATTGGTCTGACCAGTCTTTACGATGTTAATGGCCCTGTCTGGAAAACTGCCTCCACCCAAACATTACTTCAGAAAATAAAAATACTCCTTCTCCTATGCTTTGATGAAGTGTTACATATCTGTGCTTCCTTTCTGCCCTTTAAGCGGTTATTTTATTAATTGCATGAGCAATACGGCAATGTAGCTTGGATTCAGCCATTTTTATGTTTGTGTTGTACTGATGCCATAGAGCTGTTTTGCTCATACAGGGCTACAAGGTCAGATCTACAATCACTGAAACAGAAAAACTCAATAGCAGCTGGGATTGTTCTTTTGTTCCAAAGACCCTGGGACAAACTGTGCCATTCCTGAAGCTGTGCCTTGAGGAAATCCCAAACATCTGAGAGTATGTGTGACAGCTGAATTGGCTCTGAGGAGAATGAAAGTGCTTATAATCAATGGCCACACTTTAAAGAGTAGACTTTGAAGAACAGATATGAGAAGAGGTCATGACTCTATAGAAACTACTGATTTGTGTTATATATTTCCATTCCCTTGTAAATACAGACTAGAAGTTCTAATGAGAGAAACTTGTTGGTCTTGCTGTATAATGAGTTCACATACTGCAAAGGGTTTTTTTGATATCTATGGTGTATCCAAGAGATACTATAAAAGAACTGATTTCCACTCCATTTTCACAGGAAAGACTTTCTACTGAGATTGGTCATGTAGGAGAGACAAGTAGAATTCTGGTCAAAATGTTAAGTGCTAGGCAGTTAAGCCCCACTGAATCTAACAAATGTTTAAGACCCACCTTTCCTGCGTTATATAGAAATAGGCTTAGGTAGGTATACAGAAATAGTCAAGAGCTAGTTTACATTCACCATGAAAATCAGTGATACATTAAAGAGGCTCTTCTTTTCTGCTAACAAAAGAAATGACACACTTTTTTGTGTTTCCTCTAGGTAAAGGAAATATTGACAGCCCTCGGTTTGCTAACGTGTGCCAATACAAGGACTGGAAGTCTTTCTGGAGGCCAGAGAAAGCGTCTTGCCATTGCTTTGGAGCTGGTGAACAATCCTCCTGTCATGTTTTTTGATGAACCAACCAGGTATTTCAAGGCCAAAAAATAAAGACTGAACAATACTGCTTTATGTGGTAGAACAGTGCTGCAGAAAGGTTATTCACCTCTAAGTCCTTGGAAAAGGCTCGTTTTGTATTGCCTGCAAGTGCTGAGGAAGGCCCAAAGAAATCCTGTGGTTTGGGTACTTAGTGTCTGTGTCACTGCTGTAACCAACAGACCATGGGACTATACATAGTATTTAAGGGAGACATAAACTGAAACAAGAAGGGAAAGAGAGAACTAATTGTTTTCAGATTGTGGCACGTGAATTTTCTCTTTCAAGCAAAGATAGCTTGAATATAAGCATTTTGAAGACTGACTTTTAGTAATCAATATAGCATATTTAGGATCAAATTCAGTGATTAGTTTTGGAGGAGGCTGGGAGAGCTATGGATATGTATCTGTTCATTAAAGTTGGGCACATTTAAATCTGTAGTCCTAAAATGTAGAAATCCCTTAAGGCAGCTTTGAGAATACTCTTATTTTTCATTTTTGGGCATGCTTCCAACTTAATTAAAAGACTGGTGGAGAAATACAAGCATAACGTTGGCATACGATAAAATAAAACTGCTACAGAGAGAATTTATGAAAAGATAATAGTGAGAAACTGAAGTATTGAATACATACATGTATGCTAGTTCTAAGTGGTATCTACGGACCCATGGATAACAAACTTCTTTCCTTTCATTCAGCGGCTTGGATAGTGCATCATGTTTTCAGGTTGTCTCGCTGATGAAGGCTTTAGCTCAGGGTGGCCGGTCCATCATCTGCACGATTCACCAGCCCAGTGCTAAACTGTTTGAGTTGTTTGATCAGGTATTATTCTCAAAATTATTTTCAAACTCTTTCTCTTTATGCATGGTAAATAAATTAATTAAATTAATTGGAGAAAAATATACTTTTTGATTATGGCTTTTCTTCTGCCTGTTTCCATTATTTAAATGCAATGTTTTTAAAGAATCTGGCTGATGTGTTTGTGAAATCATAATTATCACACTTGCAATTTTTATACCTTCACCTACTGCTGTTTCTGGGCACAGGGCTGTTGGTAAAGTAAATGAGAGATAATTTGAGAGCGAGAGGACTTTAGTACAAATGTCTGCAATGTTGCTAGTACATGTTCTCATCCTGGCTACACAGGTGCAAATTCAGAAGAGATTATTCATGTGAAATAATAACTGAAGTCAGTTGGAGATGTTTTCTCCCACCTGACGTAGTGTGGACCATGAATGTTTAGGTTAGATTTAAATTTACGTTAATCTTGTTAGGAGACCTAGATTAGAGCCGTGAGAGCTAAGAGAAAACCTACTATACCATAGGTGAACAAACTTGCAGATTATGAGTCTGGCAAGGGAGCTTATTTAAAGTCAATAGCATGGCTAAAAGTTAGAATAATCAAGCTATTTCCTATTGCTGTGCTGTTCCACCTCTCCTTCCATTCCTACATTCACCAGCTTTGTCTCCCAGCCAAAAATATCCATAATGTATGGAAATTAGATGGCTTGTTTATAGAGTTTCTTGCCTATTTTCAGCATGTGTCTAAGGCTTGAATTAGTCTGTTTCTAAGTTAATGCTCTTTGAGTCCTAGAGGGAATGTTTGCAGAATTCAAATCTCAAGCATTTCATTTTCCATTAGTTGTAATTACGTGCAAAAGTAATACCAAGTGATGACAAATGCTCCCAAGGTGTTTTTCGCACAGGGCCAACAGGCTTTCATTAGGTTCATGGATTGCTGTCATACAGATGGCATGTTCAGATATTATGATACGATTTCATGTTTTCCATGTTTCTTTATCTTTTCTTTTCTTTGCCTTGCGTTTCAGCTCTATGTTTTAAGTCAAGGTCAATGCATTTACCGTGGCAAAGTATTAAATCTAGTCCCATACCTGAGAGATTTGGGGTTGAATTGCCCAACCTACCACAATCCAGCAGATTTTGGTAAGGAAAATCTGAATAATTTGTTCTATTTGTTTTGCATTTGATAAGTACCTTCTTGGTAATGGAACCATGATGTGCTTACACTTTTGTACATACATATACAGTCTGTGTACATACATGTACCAAAATTTGAAATAGAATTAATCAGATTTTTTCTAAGCAATTTGAGTGCCATCTAGTGGTAGAATTTGGTGAATATTTTTCTCTTATGGAAGTCCAGGTCCATGAAATAAAAGATAAAACATATTGTTTTGTTTAATAGGAATGAATCTTAGTGGTTTTTCAGAGTGAGTCCAGTATTTATGCTTTTTGAGTTTTGTTTTGTTTTTTTTCATGAACAATAGCACTGTAGTATCATACAGCTGATAAAATTGAGATTCTTTTTCATTGTTCTTTCTTAATTCCAAAGACACAGTAAAGACCATAAAATGTACCTTTGTCACTTTTGACTACCAATACTGCTGTATTCACTGTCTTTCCTCTAAAACGGTTCATTTAACTACCAGAATGAAGAGAACTCACTGAATAGTTTTGGAAAAATATGTTTAAATTATATATATATACATAAAAAATTGCATGTGGATTAGAGCCTGTTTTCAACAAAATTCACATTTCTGTCAATGCTACAGAATCAAAGGAACCTAACAATGAAGCCTATAACTAATCAGTAGGATAAACCAGTAACTTGCCTTTTGATTTGTGTAGTTATGGAAGTTGCATCAGGTGAATATGGAGACCAGAACAGCCGGCTGGTAAGGGCAGTACGGGAGAGGATATGTGACACAGACTACAAGAGAGATGGTGGTGGTGAGAATGAGTTGAATCCCTTCCTCTGGCACCGGCCCTCTGAAGAGGTATTGTGTATATCACGAGTAACGGGTATGGCTTGAGGTTGGAGAGGGAGGAAGAGAATTTAAAATCCTCAGTCAATGGAGGAGGTTTCTGGGCTCATTCAGCTGATGAGAATGGGTTTTTGTGAAAGAAAACTAAGCAAGATACTGCAAAGAAAGAAGTTTATTCTTTCTTGTGTTTCCGCAGGATTCCTCATCCACAGAAGGCTGCCACAGCTTCTCCGCCAGCTGCCTAACCCAGTTCTGTATCCTCTTCAAAAGAACTTTTCTCACCATCATGAGGGATTCAGTAAGACTGCTTTTGTAATATTTTTGTAGCCTAAAGATCTATTCAGTTGATTCTGAGGCAGTATAATACACCTTCAAGGCATATAATACACCTGTCCACAGACCATGCATGAAGATTGACACAGAACTTCAAAGTAAAGAGACTGATCTTTCAGCCTTGCTATTAATTGTACCACCTTAATTGTGAATCACTTTTTTCTTCAGTGGAACTGAGAAGCATCTGGGCTAAAACCCCAAAGCTTAAATCCTCTCTGTACTGGCAAATCCCTCATACAATCATTTTTCCTAGTAAAAAGTGAGCCTGAAGTTGTACTGGTATGTCACTAAATTAGTCTCTTCAGAGAATTCAGGATGGCAGATACACAGTTTCAGTGTAATGTAAAGTTAATGCTTAAAATCTTTCTCTTTCCTGGTGAAACAGAAAATGGATAAATAAAAAATTTGTTTCTCTGAAAGGGAAATATTTCAGTTTTCATACATTTAAAATCAAACATGGAGTAAGTATCATAAAGAAAATCGTCATTCCCAAGGGAAAAAAAAGTATATATTTTTCACCTTTTTCCTAAAAATAAATACCCTCCTTCAGAATCCCTAAACCTGCAGTTTTCATGCAAGTTCATTAAATGTTTTGGGTGGCTAGTCTACATTAACAAAATGCAATGGGCCTTTCTTTTTTCCACTCAGGGAAGTTTTGCTTATTTTTGAAGTTTTTCTTGTTTGTGAATTCAAGAGATGGGAGTAGCTTACACTGTCTGAATGTTACTGCTTTGAAAGATCCTCCAGATAGGGTTATTTCTTCATTAACAAGCATGAATTAAAGAGATGAGCTTCCTCAAATAGACCTTACATGCACGCTTGTCCAAGGGACTCGTGAGTATTCAGTATCGTTGGCCCAGTGCTTTTCTAGTTGCCAAATTCGCACTTTAATAAACCCAAAGAGGGTTTGTTTGCTGCTTTCCTGTGGTTTGGAAGGTTTTCAGTGCTTTACATGATGGGGGAGAAAAGGCAATATACGCATTAATATATGCATTAATGTGACATACCTGTCCTTAAGAAAGGGGAAGGCCAGACAATGAGGTGTTTTGGAACTCCAAAGTAGTTGAGCCACGTGGAGCTCAGCATGAGTGAGTTACCCTTGCAGTAGGGTGAGTTTGGCTTCACCGATCTCCAGGTGCTGCAGCTACGCTGCTCTTGCCCCTCACCTAGTGAGGTATCCCTTTAGGACACTACCATTTATATGTATCCCAGAGGTGTACAAATCCAAAACGTGGATCATACAAACCTCTCCTCATCTCCACCAGGGGAAACTGTAGCTTATTTTCAGATGCATAGGTGGAAGAATAACATTGTTTATAAGATTTTTTTTTGTGCTCAGCTGTAAAGACTTGCAGTTGTTCCACAGTTAATCATCTTTTGTTGGTCCATACTTCTTGTAGGAGTATTGTATTGCAGAGAAGACACAAAAGGCTTATTTATGCCAGATTAAGTTAATTTGGTCTATATATGCCCCAAATAACTCTTCTGCCTCCCTTGACGGTCTCTTCTGCTCAGAGACATTCATGTTTTTGTCAGAAAGAAAGTCTGCTTCCCCTGATGAATGAGGGCCAATGGCTCAATGACGTTGTCTGACACTAAGATTTCAGATTGCAGCATTTGCAGTTTGTGCTTTTGTTTACAGGGAGAAAGTTTGTGCAGTAATAGCCTTGGGTCTGATTCACATTGGCAAGTTCATTACCATAAGCTTCCCATAGCTGAGGACCAGTATGCTAGTAGAAAATGAACATTTCTACATATGTTCTTCTGGATATAATTACTGTTTTTCTGCAAGCTGTGCTTCTGATTTTGGTGATATTGCCATTGTTTTTGAACATAGACTTTCTGATCAGAGATACTTCTGTTTCCTTGCTTGTAGGTCCTGACGCACTTGCGTATCACCTCACACATTGGAATTGGCCTGCTCATTGGCTTGCTCTACTTAGGCATTGGCAATGAAGCTAAGAAAGTCCTCAGCAATTCCGGCTTCCTCTTTTTTTCCATGTTGTTTCTTATGTTTGCTGCGCTCATGCCAACTGTCCTTACATGTGAGTACCAGTCATTAACAGTCATGCTGTTAAATTAAAGGATGAGGAGGTTGCAGCAGGTTGAGAGGGAGTTGTATCTGTTACATGTAAGGTCACATTTGACTTGTGCTTCCACTTCTAAAACAGGTATCGGGGTAAATCTTGCACTTAACTAGCTGCTGTGTAGAAGTCAAAAGAGAGACTTCTCTCCACAGTTCTGCCAGTGTTTCTCAACCCTCACCGTCCAATGTTACAATCCTGGACTGGGATTTCCCCTTTTCCTAAGGAGCCAGTGGATCTCTGCTTTGTCAGGATCTTGTGCTTTACTCTTAGAGAAACTCTCTAGGACTTCTAAATCATGACTACTGCATGAAATCAGCACAATCTTGTGGTATCAGAAACAAACTCCTGCAGTATGGACTGCTCCCTACTTCTTAGGGGAGTGCTGTTACTTTGTATTCCCTGTTGGACCAAAATGAATAACCAAGTCCCTCATGCTTTGAAAACATTTTTCCTTCAAAAGCCTCTTTGAGAAAAGTTCAGATCATTTGAGTAACCTCATGCATACTCTAAACAATGAGCAAGTCTCAGGGCTGACATCTTACATTTTGTGACAAATAATTGAAACTATTTCTGGTCTGTCAAAGGCCTTAGAGTTACAGTCTTACTGTGGGACTACAGCAGTATGGATTATGTTGTTATTATATTATATTATTAGATATTATGTGCAAGAATATTACACATTGACAACCTAGCTTACAAAACTGTATTCTCTGTAGTTCCTCTTGAGATGGGAGTATTTCTGAGAGAGCATCTGAACTACTGGTACAGCCTGAAAGCCTACTATCTTGCCAAAACGATGGCGGATGTTCCTTTTCAGGTATATGCTCTATTTTTCAATAAAACAAGAATCTTTTAAATTCATGGCAAGTCCACTTGCTGAGATCAGTAATAGTATTTTATCCATTTGAATGGTGGTAAAAACTGTTCATATATATGTGCTGAATCTTCAGTTCCAAATCAGATGCACATGGATAACAGTATGCCCAGACCTGACCCAACATTTTTTGAATAAACACATTACTATCTGTGGTTTTGTGCAGAAGGGGAATCGTAAAGGACTGCAAGTGAATGGGATCTGCTTTCTAATACTGAAGTAGTATGATAAGTATCCCAGTCTGTGGCAGATGCATTCATTCTCCTCAGCTGAATGCCATGCCTGTCATGTACCATGCGAAGCCTGAGAGCTCCGAGTTAACTGGAACTCACTACATTTTTATCTTATTGAGAGTGAGCGAATGTTTGGCTTCAATGGACTAACTACAAGTGTATCTCCTTGCAGATCATGTTTCCTGTAGCTTACTGCAGCATCGTCTACTGGATGACTTCGCAGCCATCTGATGCACTCCGATTTGTCCTCTTTGCAGCCTTGGGAACCATGACATCCCTGGTGGCACAGTCACTAGGTCTTCTCATCGGTGCAGCCTCTACATCCCTCCAGGTACTTAATGGTGTTTTGTGACCTCTCAGAAATCCTGCAGTCTCCTAGTACTGACTGTTTACCGTGACTGCTGCTTTGTCAACAAGACATTTATTAAGATATAACAGGCAAAACATTCTCTTGGTCTGGCAGAGCTATTTGATGCTTCTCGCAACCATCAACTTTAAGAGTGTGAACACCCACTGGATGCGAGGCCGTGAAATTCCTTCCCCATATGAATGGGGCTGTGCTTGCTTGAGTGAATTGTCACTTGCTATTTATCCCTGGCTGAGCAGGTCCTAAAAACTGCAGTACTGATGCATTTGCATGCATCTACAAAGTAGAGGTAGGCCATGAAGATCAGCAGCTCAGTATGGGGTCCTTCCATGTACATACAAGAAAGTTGCAGGAGGCAAGGTGGAAAAAGGATTGCCCAGAAACTAAACCTCTGCAGAGGGAGGGCAGGAAGCAGCTGTCGGTTTGACTGCTGCAGTGGAAGCTGGCCACCGTTCTGCTTCCTGGCAGGAAGGCTGGTGAAGTGATAATTCACAGCAGAACTGTTTTGTGGTGCCTGTGGTAATAGATGTTATTGACATTAATAGGCACTGATACTATAATTTTTCTGCAGTAGAAGTCTTGATTCCCTCTCTGTGCCACCCTCTGGAACTAAGCATAGCCCTGTGCTGTGACCCCTGCTTTGTCTGCTCTACCCAGAGATACTCGTATGGCCTTTTGCCCTAGAGGAGATGTAGAGAAAAGAGGCTGGAGATGGGCCAAGATCTGTCTACCCCACCAAAGCCACCCAACTGGATACAATCCTCTTCATCAAATTTTAGTACCAGTTGAAGCTTCTGTGCATGTGGGGTTAATGAGAAGGGAACTTTGTGTGCCTGCAGCGGGGAGTGAGTGAGGAAGGATAATATTTAGGAAGATGGGTCTCACACACGGGGTATGCAAGGGAATGCCAGTGCCCATCTTGCTCAGTAAATTCTTGGTGGGTCCAAGTGTCTCAAAGATCCCAGCACAGCAGTGTGGTCAACTAGGAGCAAGGTTTAGGAAGAGAAGAGGGACCCCTTTTTCTCCACTAACCATCTAACCTCCCCACTAAGAAACCTTGTCCAAAAAAATAAGTAATTTCTTGCTATTTGGAACTGTGATAATTTGGGGGAGTAGCGTTTTCAGAAGGACTCGAGTGGCATCACTCCCAGCTGTCTAAGAGAGGAGATTTTCACTGACTTACTTGGTTTGGCACAGAACAGAGGATTTCCTAAGGAAAGTGCTTTTAAAAAAAACATTTTCTCAGTTGAGGTCAGATGAAAGAGCAAGGTTTTTTTTGTTTGTTTGTTTTCTCTGTCTCTCTTGGCAATAGACTGTCTATTCCTTCTCTCCCCAGGTGGCCACTTTTGTGGGGCCAGTTACTGCCATCCCAGTGCTTCTGTTCTCTGGGTTTTTTGTCAGCTTTGATACCATCCCAACATACCTCCAGTGGATGTCCTACATTTCCTATGTCAGGTACTGCTAGGGGGGCCATTAACCTCCCATTTTGGAAATGCTGTTTGTTTTATTTTGTTTGCCTGTTTGGTTATTTTGGGTGCCAAGGAAACTATGTTCAGAGGATGTTTCTTTAAAGTATACATGAATATGATGTAAATGAATACCACATTATCTCAACTTCATTTTATTTGTGTATGATGTGAAATAAACTGGAACATTCAGTACAGATCATCAGCCACAAGTCTGTGTAAGTTCCATTAAATTAAATGGAATTACACAGCATTCAAATCTCCTTGGATTTTGGAACAGTGGATTTGTGAAATAATAGGAACAGTATGCCCAAATGAAAAATTGATGCCAGCGCCTCATTTTGGAAGAAAATGTTGTATAAATCACTGCAGTATCCTAGATGGACTTGTTGGATGAAGATTTGATTTCTTTAAATTTTGCAGTAGTACTGCCATGAGAAGCATGGGGTTTTTTGTTATCTCTAATCTGAACTGTTGGCATTGAAAGCACAGGCACCTTATATGCTATCTATGTCAGTCACACTCCTTGTCTGAGATAGTAGTCTCAAGATGTGGTGACTGCCATCAGGAAGCCTCTGGAGGCTAGCATGGTGGGCTAGTTTAGTCGAGATCCCTGAACGTTTGTGGTTAAAATTAGATAAGATAAATTCCTGTGGTGATGGTGGATGTTTTTTTTTTGGAATGAAATTAAATGATTAGGAAATGCATGTTGCCCAAGGAGCTAAAATGGCTCCTTGTAAACAGTCCTTGGACTATCATTTTGTATATGGCTCATGTACTTGCAGGACCACTTTAGTATGAGGAAATAGGTTCCTAGGTGGTTCCTCCTTTGCCCACCCCCCTTTTCCCCACCCTGCCTGAGCTGCACTATTACTAAGAAAACCCAAGCTAAAATATCTTCTTGTTTGACAAGTGAGGTCTTATACAGAGACCAAACAACGATTGAGAGACTACAGCCCCCCCAAATTAGTAGCTAGAATTCAAGCTGAGGCCTTTAGCCATTGTCTAGCCTGTGTGGGGTCTCCTGGAGCTGGAGGGAGCTATCATAGGTGTGGGAACCGTGATACTGTATCTGCTAGCAAAGTCAGATCCTAAGCACACCCAGTCCTAGGGGAGACGTGGGAACTGTGCAATATTAATTAGTGAAACTACAGTGAACAGAAGGTAAGAGAAGAGACATTCTAGATAGATGCCGGTTTTAATATATTCTGACTTCAAACCGTAATTGTATCCCCCTTGCTTAGCTTTAAAAATGGAATTAATAATGTCACTTTTAAAAGCGGAGTTTCTGAGTGTGAGCTGAAATTAGTCTGCTTTGTATTTTAACGTTTTACTTTTGAGAAATTGCACTATACGCTAACTGGAAGCAGTTCAAGGCAAAACTTCTGTCGTTGTTCAATCTCAAGTAAAATGCCAGCGGCATGTCATCTGCTTGATTGTAATAGGGATAGAATTTACCTTGAGGCATGTCAGAACGATACTGAACCCCTCAGTGTTTCCAGCCAAGCTCTCAGAGAGAGTGTATTGCTGATGGACTACTTCTAAACCAATCATCAACATTTCGCTTTATAACCCATCCTTCTTCTTTCCAGATATGGCTTCGAAGGAGTGATTCTCTCCATCTATGGACTGGATCGAGAAGACCTGCATTGTGACAAAGACGACACTTGCCATTTTCAAAAATCAGAGGCCATTCTGAGAGAACTGGATGTAGAAAATGCCAAACTTTACCTGGACTTCATCGTTCTTGGAATTTTCTTCATCTCTCTGCGCCTAATTGCCTATTTTGTTCTCAGATACAAAATCCGAGCAGAGAGGTAAAGGAAAAACGGCTAAAATGATAGAGTAGGAAGATCTTTAGACATGCAATAGAGGGCTCTTGACATTGTCTCACTGTGGCAGGCCCGTCTCCAGTGCCCAGCTAGATGCTGTTATGACCTAGCCCATAGAGAACCACATTGGGATAGAGGACATATAGTGTTAAGCCAATCAGTCCAGCTGGGTTGGGTCATGTTTTTATTACACTTTCTAGCTTTAACTAGGAAGAAGAAATAGAAGGGAATTTTACAACACAGAATATCGATACTGAGACAGTGTAACTGTAATAAAAAAAAAAAAATGGTTGTAGGAAATTTCCTTATGAAAACCAATCATGCGACATGGTAATACTAGTCCTGGTAGCCAGAATTGTATAATGTCATTATAAGTGACAAGGTAATGAGATGCAAAATGGGGAATGCAAAGAAAATAGGATTCTCTCATCTTTTTAAATTCAGAGTTTCATCTTTGCAGTTTTATATGTATTATTTTGCAGTTATTTTCCACAGAACTACCCCTTCTGGCCAAAAGTCTGTAAATGTAATAATTAATAAGGAAAAGATACCTTTTTAACATTGACACTTTTTAAAAACAAAAAAAAAATCTATAATTATTCAAGTCATTATTTTTGTTTGTGTCTAAATTTAGAATTTTGGTGCTTTACTTGTCGAGCTGGTCTCATATCTGAAAATCTTAATGTTAGGAGGAAAAGGCAGATTCGGAGTCTGCACTGAACCTGTGGTCTGTATGTGGAAGCAACAATAGATAGCACAGACATATTCAAGCTACTGCTGAATGATTGAAAATATGTTATTTGCAGTGTCTTTTAAATCCTAAATGTTTGTTGTATTGAAAATACTGACTCTGCTCATTATCCGTTTGATCTACCTCTCGTGAATGAAAAGATCAAAGCACTCCAATGCTCTTTTTTTCTTAAATTATGAAAGCAGAATCTATCCCTAAAGCCTGAGCAAGGTCTATCCACAGCTCAAAGCTTGGGGCATGGTGTTAAACCACTAGTGACTGCCTCCTGCGGCAGCATTTAAAATACCTGTAACCCACTACGTGTAGGAGTCTCCTCAAAATATGCAAAGGGCCTTGTAATATTGCAGGGTTAATTATACCAAGCAGTTCTGTTCTCATCCCGATGTCTACGTGCGTGACATGGGAATTAACACCGGTGAAACCATTGCAAGAGGCATGCATTTGTTCTGCATATCTCACCTTTGTAAACTTGGCAGGGGAAATTTTGACTCCAAATCGATGTGAATTTTGTCACTGATTTTCCCGGGTTTGGATTGGCAACCCAGAATGACAGCATGGGACCAATGCCCATGTTGGACATCCTGGTAAACATCTGTGTGAATTCCACTACCTTCTGCAGTTACTGTGTGTTTTACCTTAGTGTCACAGACATCCAAACCAGAAGTACGCGTTCTATAAATGCATTATTCCTATCGGGACACTGAGGTCTTGTAGATTGGAAGCAGCTCGGTGACAGCAAACCACTCAGGAGCTCAGCAACTCGTGACAGACTAGTTGAAGAGAGAGACCTTGTGCATCTGCTGGCCACCAACAGTCACAGCTCACAGTCTGGCTTTGAGGACTCCATGACCACATCTAAATTAGCAAACTAAATAGTTCCAGGGCCTGGTCTCTGTTCTTTAGGCTAGATTTCACAGTCTGCCTTTGTCTGTCCTGTTAATCCTCAGACAGCTGGGGCTACCAGGAACAATCCCTGCACTGTACTAACTTTTAAACAGTGCCCAAACACTGTCTGGAAAAGCTCAGGTTGTGCTGAGCCACAGCTCCACTACTTAGCAGTGAAGGCAATTGTTTTCCTGGCCCATGCCCAGGCTCTATTTTATTTGCTGGTACAGACACAGACTGTGCGTATCTATTAAGCTCAGAATGCTTGAATTAAGCCAGTCTTCTAGGCTGAAGTCAGGTCACTTGTATTAGGAAGGTCAGCTGAACTTTCCCTGGAAATAGGTCGATCTGCGAAAATAAGGTCAATCTTTACTGTAAAAAAAAAAAAAAAAAAGGACAAGAAAAACCCTCCTTGTCCAACCTCTCTGCATGTTTTTGTTGCTTTTTTTTTTTTTTCCCCCACAAAATATCCCTGAAGCCTGTAGAGCTTTTATACAGCTCTGCAGCTTTTCCAGGTGTATTCACAATCAGGCATGGGCCTCCATGGCTGTCAGATAGGAGAAATTAAGAACTTTGACTATTCTAGGTAATAATCATAACTGTGAACAGTTTTTAAACAAGTCACAAATCCCTTGTTCCCCTGAAATCCCTTGGCACAATGTGCCTTGATTATTTTAAGACTCTCAGAATATTTGTGAGTATTTCAGGTGGTTGCTGTTTGCAAACAGATACAGGACTATGTTTGCCAGATTATTCTTTCGTTGCACACTGCTGGTCCAGCTGTGAGCTAGCTGAGTACGAAAGTGCAACATCCACAGCATGAAATAAATTCAGGGTTTGATTTGCTTTTATCAACACCATTTACCAAATAGCACACTGAGGATCTCTTGAAACTTACCAAGTGAAATCACTTTGCTGATAAAACTGGTACTTCACCACTCTCAGCTTAGACAAGGGTATTGCTGTCTCCTCCCAGCTAGACCAATTTAGCAGTAGGAGCTCTTTGGATCCTGTCTTGTTATCTGTGCCTGCTCCTGTGTTTGTAGGCTTATTTTACCTCTTTAGTCTGCAACATTCCTGTACTGTAAGTTTGTATTGCGTTACAGTAGCCAAAAGTCTGGTTCTCCATGGGTGTTCCTAAGAAAATGCATGCTTTGGACTATTTTTGGTCACTCCTTTCTAATTAGATGTGCTTCTTCCCAGCCATCTGCTGGCAGAATTTAGCTGAAAGTTACTATTCTAAGGAACACTTTCAGACTGTAGTATCCCAATAAGGAAATAAATGAATTCTCTTGAAGCCAGCACTAAACATAAATGAGATAATCATTTTTTCCCTCCTTAGTGGTAAAATTAACTGGTATCTCTTGCTGATACTGTGGGACAGAAGTATTTGAAGTCCATCCCAGTTATATTTTCGTATGCTGCAGTCTTTTAACAGAGGCTCAGCCTGGCCTTTCTCCCTTTATATGGAAATAAGTTCTAGCAGGCTAGCATTGAACACGTCCCCATGTTAGTGGACTGAGCTTGCATGTGCTGTGGTGTAAGCAAGCCCATTACCAAGCTCTGGAGGCTTCGTGCTGAGACATAATGAGGCCAGCAGGGTTGTAAAGACTTCAAAACCTCATTTTATATAGCCATATATAAGTAGCCATAAACTGGTTGAAATCGATGCCATTATCACCATTCAAACCAGGCACAATCTGGCTAAAAATTGCACAAGAGGCACAAAAGTTTTCTGAAGTTCTCTTGAAGACTGACTGTGTGATTTCTGTTGTGATTAGTAGAAGACTTGGGCATTCCCTTGGCTTCCTTGTTTCATTTGGACTTATTTGTTCCTGTTGCTTTGGTTATTACATGCACCAATCAACACTTTATGTGCTTCAGAATTGTTATTTTGGGGGCAGATACTTGCATATAATGTGAAAAACCCTTAAAGTTTTTAGGAGGAATTACTTTTATTTACAATTAAATAAAAGATTTGGAAAGTAGTCTGCACTCATAAGAAATTGAGAAAAATTCATCTTTATGGATCAAAAGGAGTAACAAAAATGTCTTTTAAAAATCTGAATTCTTAATATTTGGAGCCCCAAGTATTTATTTTATCATTACAGGAGAGGAATATATATGCACATTAAAGAAAGAGAGATGGTATAGGTGTAATATAATGAACGCTTGTGTCCAGACACCAGATGCATCAGATATCTGGGATTTTGATCTACTCTTTTGAACCAGAAATTTCTTTTGAGGGGCAGAAGAGAAGGAAAATCAAGCAGAGATATGAGTGTATATTTTCCTGCGTATTTACTGTTGTTTTGCATAATTGCCTTTGTGTAATTTTGGTAAGGAGAAAGATCTATTTTTTTTTCTTTCTGCACCAGAAATGCTAATCCAGGACTGCTTTGCATACTAAAAATGCCAGTGTTTATTTGTACTTTCCAAAATAAGCAGGAAGAGTTCTTTTTTCAGCATTAACTTTTAACTGAAATACAGTTTTGTTCTTTTGCCTGCTGCTCTGTGATGATTAACTTCAGGAACAATAAAAAAAGGGCAGAGGGAGGGACTTAATGTGCAGTGATTATGATCCTAAACAGAGATCCTCAGAAAATGGGTGCGAGAAGGGTGCAGATGGCATGCGTGCCTCTTCCACATTGCCTCTGCTCACTGAGCTGTAGGTCAGCCCCACTTGGTGGCTCAGTGGGAAGACAGTGACGTGGACCTGTTAAAGGTTGGACTAGGTGATCTTAGAGGTCTTTTCCAACCTAAACGATTCTGTGATTTGAAGAGCAAGGATATTAGAAAACATCATGGTCATTAAGATATCAGTTATTCTTCTTCCTTTGAGAAATGATCTGAAAATGATCTTTTTGTGTGTGTCCATTTTCCTACCAGAACACCCCGAAAGGGTGCACTTGCTCAGGAATTACTTCCCTTTTGTTCTGTATGGAAAACATTAACAAGGTAGGATAATCACGAAGGCATTTTGAAAAGCTGTTGGGAACTAGTCCTAGTATCATGTCCTTTGTAACAGTTTGTGACAGGCCGATCATTGCTGAGCCCATGGCACAGGTCCTACTAATTCTACCCCACCACACTAGAGAGTGCAAATATTAATTGCGAGGTCTCACTGAAGTTAATCATGGGCTTTGCTATTCCTGGACAGGGGCAGTAGCATTTTCAGGGATCAACTCCTGCTGTCCTGTTCCTGAATACTTGTTCTCATAATACAGAGATAGTTCACTTGGATCCCACCGAATGTTTTTTATAACCCGGATGCGTATTACAAGTCCAGAAGCTACAGGTTGAGCCTGCAAACATCATGTTTGCTTTCAGTTGTGTGTATGTTAGCACACTTCTCTTTCTGTACACATTTCATACAGATTTTGCAAAAGAGTAATGCTACCTTAGAGCATGAAATCTAGCTTCAATGTTTTCATTATTTTGAAATCTTTTAACGAACCGTAGCTTTACGCAGATGTCGGTTGTAGAAGCTTCTTTTAAGAGTGTTAGGTTTCTATTGAGACTAATTGCAGGAACTGTAAAACAAAGGATGACCAGTCAAAATATTTATCCTTTTGCAAAAGAAATTCCCACGACTTAGCCTGCCAGCCTGCATTCTGTACGTTATTTATGCTTTCAAGGTACATCACGATTTTATCGATCCATTTTCTTTCTTGGGGTTTCTGTACAGCTCTGGCCATGCAAAACAATTGCTCATGTCCTTCTAGCTAGTTACTTGTTGTTGTCTACATGGGTGGTTAAAATGAGCTTCTTGGGACCAGTGCAAAGGGGTTTGAGGTGAAGCGCTGACTTTTTAGACTTCTTTGAGCTACTGAATACCTCACGGTCTGGATCTGAGGATGTGCTTCTCTCCACTCTTTCAAGAAGAACAAAATCTAAAATGTCTTTTTAAGCAGATTAAAAGATGACATGGAAATCTTTACTTTTAAGGTTGACTTTTTTTTTTTTTTTAACTTCAGTGACATCTGTGATGTCTTTCTTCTTACCCCATTTTAACTTATTTCTGTTACCCATTTAGCATAATTGTTGCACAAACTTCTTCCTCTTCCTTTAAAAAGCAGCTTTCCCACCACACAAAGTTGTTGAACAATTCTTAAAAATATCGAACAAATGCTCCTAAGTTACAGGATAAATACATGAAATTTAAGGAAAAAGATTATGTGATATATCTGAAAAGAAAACAAGTTCTGCAGTGTAGCCAAACCTTTATGTATGTCAGTAAGCCTTGTGAAATACTTTCTCTGAGTCAGTTGACCTTATTGTGAGATACTACCCTTGAATCTGTAATTGAATTATTTAACATTTGTTCTTTTGTTTTTAAAGCAAGAGTCAATGCAAGTATCATTCTAAATCAGCGTGCTGAAGTGTGCATATTCTGTATATCGAATGTCATTGTTGTCTCTTTTTTCTGTAATGCATTTGCATTACTATGAATCAATTTTATTACGCTTCTCTAGAGACTTTTGCTGCCTGCACGCTGTGATATATTTGCACTGTTGTAGATATATATATACATATATGTAATTATATTATATAAACCATGTCTTTTTCAGGTTGCTTGTTACCTTTGTAGTTAACGCTTACTGGTACAGTGGACCTGAGTAAAAATGTGGGATGTGGGGCATTCTGATGATATATGACAATAATAGAGAAATCTTTGTATATTTCTGTATACTTAATACCCGTAAGAGATTTGTATGTGCATTATTTTCCAAACTAGGGCTTTGTTTTCTGAGAATAGAGACATTTATGATAATGTAACAAAAGAAAAATCAAATAAAGTGTTATTATTTTCAGACAGATGCCTTTGTCCCTGTTCTCTCTCCAAGGGAACTGGCAGCTGCAGTGGTACAGATACATTTTCACTGACTGCCCCTGGCAGTCAGCAAGGACAGCAAATTGCCTGTTTTAGATGTGGTTTCAGGTAACTCCAGTACAGGTAGGTTACAGATATAACTCGTAGAAATTCTTCATAACATAAGTGCAGTCACATTGGCTCAGGGCAAGGATCTGTACTGCCCAGTGCTTGACAGTGGACCACAGCACCACACAGGGAACAGTAAGAATGGGGTAAGCATCAAGAGGTGCTTGCCTGACAGTTCAAGGTACTGCCTGAGCCACTGGAGTTTTCTTTGTATTTTCTTACCTTTGATGGATTTTTCTTTCATGGACTTGTCTAATTGCTGCTTGAATCTCCTGTTCTTGACCATGCTAGCTGCAAGTTTCAGCAGAGTTTTCCCATACTCTTACATTACAGGAAGGAGTGAATGATCATTCCTGGTCTACCTTCTGCTCAGTACTCTGGAAGTTATAGATTTCCTCCTCCCTTGTTCCCAGAGAAGGGAAACCATGCTTTATTCTGCCAGTCCCACCTGTCCATTTCCCATTTTACCAAGCACCATGTTCCCTTGTTCAGCCACAACACCCGTGCTGTGTTCTCCTGCAGCCTCCTGTACATTTCTGTCACGTACATCATGAAAGGTCTCTTCAACTCATTTTGGCAGGGTGGCTTTCCATGCTACTAATTTGTCCACGTGCCACCCCTCTTGGCTGCCACAGCAACAAAATTAGCTGTGTATCTCACCACAGTGCAAGGCTAACAGCCATAACTTTCACAAGTGAGCTAAGTGTCCAGCCCTAGACAACATGAGCAGTGATGCTTAAAGGATAAACTCCCCAGAGGATGCAATAGGACTACATTTTCAAAACTAAGAGCAAGACAATTTTGTAATGATAATAGAGGTCATACTTCATGTTTTATAGACCTGCAAAAAATGGTGGACTGAAGACACCGTGGTCCCCAAAAGTAGATGCCTCCCCATGCCAACTCTCCATAAATCAGACAAGGAAGAGGAGGAACAGGACTCTTTTGTAGCCCGAGCAGCAACTTCAATCACTTTTATTGTCTTATATTACAGTTAATGCTATGAAATAAGCCAGCCATAAACTTCTCATTATCAACTGTACAAAAATTAATATACCTCACATGCAATTACCATCCACTCTGTTCTCTAAATGGCAGTCATAAAATAAAGAGCATTTGAAAACAAAGAACACTTGATGTTGCCTTTTCCCGTAGCTATCAATTTAAAAACTGTGTTATAATGCAGGGATGGGAAATACTGGAAAGACAGGGAAGTTGCTACAATAAGAATGATCCTTTCTTTCAGCGTGGAAGGATGCGAGGAGGTGTGCAGTGCCCAGGTGAGCGATGAGCAGCTGTCATGCTGCCAGTTACCAGCACTGGGGTTTATCTTAGGAAAGCCATAATAAGGGGCTTGGCTGGGAATTCCCACCTCTGTGGCAGAAAAGTTGCCAAGGGCAGCATGAACACTAGTTGTATTTTTTTAATTACTAATTTCATAGCCTCATTTGTTTTCCCTTTTTTCTTCCTTTTTTATTTTATTTTATTTTATTTTATTTTATTTTATTTTATTTTATTTTATTTTATTTTATTTTATTTTATTTTATTTTATTTTATTATTGTGCCTTGATTTTTTCAAGATCTGTGAATTTTTTATGCCGTCAACTTCGTGCAATAGCATTACTAGGTACCTGACATTGCAGTTTTGTGCCAGTCCTTCGTCTCTTCCTCAAATGGAAAATATTAACAGAACATGAAGTTGAAACGTTATCAAATTGTGACTTTGTAACAGAACTGCTCAGTTTCTCCCCTAGCACGTAGTCATTGCCTTGTCCCACCACCTTACTGGGTCCAGCTTGTCTTCTCCACCTAGCAGGTAGAATGAAGCTCCACCTGTTCCTGGCAACTCCTTGCTCATTCCTCCATATCCTTACAGTCAGATGTTAAAAACATTTCATAGCTTTATCAAAAGACTTACAGGTGGTTTTTGGCTCTCTCCTGTAGTACAATCGGAAAGTAGCTCCAAAATTGTTGCAGAAGTAACAAGTTAATCAAAGCTCAGGATTTTGCTGCTGCTGTTTGATGAAAGCTGTATGTTGTCGTGGCAATGCCCCCCTTGGGCGTGGTGTAATGCCAAGTCTGAGGAAGGGGAGGTAGCCAGGGAAATCCCACTTCATGGCAGGAAGGATCACGGGGCCTTTGGAGAGCTTGGTCAGGTTTAACTTCTCAGATTCATCTTCCATGAAGCTTCCTCAAAGCACAATAGACCCAAATGATCCAAATGATGGTAGCTGCTTCAAACCATCATCACTCCACTCCGATCTTTAGTCAGACCTGTGTAACTTACACAGGTCTTTTAAAGCCTGGTATTTCCCTGGTATTCACCCTGGGTATTTCCCAGAGTTACTGCAAGAAGAAAGTTCAGCAGTGAGGTGTTTGGCTCAGCAGCAATTACATGGTTTGATGCAAAGATTCTAGTTTCATTTCAATTTTTGTGATATTTCAGCATTAAATCCTTCAAAAACTCCATTTTCCAAAAAAAAAAAAAACCTTTGGTTATGCTGAGATACAGACGTGCATGTTGAAGGAAACCCGGGACACCTAACTCAGAGACGGATGGGAGCAAGACCTTGAAAGCGGCTGTCTTTAGAGTCTTCCTGGAGAGGCGTTTCTGGGTGCTACAATGGGTATATGAAAGGGTGCTTAGAAAGTACAAGAAAATAGAATAGATACATCAGTCTCCAGGAGAAAAGTACCTTCTTTTCTTACCCTGCTCAGTTCTGATAAGATCACAGAAATTTTACTCTCCTCTTGCAGGAGGAGACAACCAAACAGCATCCTCTTCTAGAGCATTGGTAAGTGCTGATGTATGTAAACCAAGTATTATGCACTGCAACACAGCTATTTTTAAGCAAAGTCTATCTTTCTGGCGAATTGTCTCCTACTGCTGAGCACACGTTTGCAGTCTCCTCCTCCCATCGTGTACCTGGTGGTGTGTACTGGAGCAGGGACCACAGGTGCTGCAGCAGGGTGTCGGGCACTTTGCTGCAATATTGGCACTGGCAGCTTTCAAATGCTCTAGAAGGTTTGGATGGGGAAGAAATAGGCTGCGGTGCAATAAGGAACTCTTCTGCCCAAAGAGGATTATTTTTCTGGCAGAGAGCTGCTTGGGAGGGCAGCCCTTTTTGGACTCAGCCTGCCAGTGAGGGCGGCCTCCTAGAGACTGAGTCTGGGTCTTGATACCATCGTTCTTGCTTGGTCTAACACGGTATCAGATGTAGTTCTTGGGTCTTAACTTCTGCTTTCCAAGCTGTTTGAGGGCATCATGGTCAAGTTTTCAGGCTCTCCTCTGCAACCAGGAGTCTTGAAATTCACTTGAAAACACGGGCCAAGTGTCCCTTATATTTACTGAACCCCAGGGATGAAACTTTTGGAAAGTAGCTCATCGAGAGGCAGAACTGTGTGATTTGTCTGCTCTCAACAGGAACCTTTCAGTTTCTGTATTCGTTTTCACTTTGGCTTAGCACCTTACCTTAAATCTTCCTTTTGAATGGGAGCTTTGCCAGGGGAGGTGTGAGATACCAGCTCAGACAGGCAGCATACCCTTTCCAGAGATACTTGGGGATGGGATCTGCAGTAAGTGGGCATGTTACAATATACATCTTCAGAGGTGTTTTCAGACTGCTACAGGTTTCTTCTTTGTTGCTAGCACCCATCTGCACTCTGAGCTCCTTTTCTGCTCCAGTTTTTCCCATTAATTCTGCATGTCAGCCAAATTCAGCTCTCCAGCATTTGCTTCAAAACGTTTGACTTCTGAGACCTTTACCTTAGCTACAATTGCTTTAAAAAACAGTCAAATATCCTCAGTCACTGAAGACCCATTCAGGGAATCAATCTCTATTGCCAAACAGTTTCTTTCCAGCCTTATTGGAAGCTGGGGCATGGGCTGCAATCAGCAGTCTTGATTACAGCCAGCTTAGGACCACCAGGCATGCGTGGTTTTAAACATCACTCATTATCTGCGTAGCAGCCTCACCAGCACAACCGCTTTGTGTCACAGCATTGATTCCTATTACGGTAGCACCTTTGTTGATGAAAATCCTGTAGCTGACCTACTTTCTTTTTCCCCCAGAAAAATATTAAGCACTTTGCTTACTTGTTCATCGCTGTGCAGCGATGTGGGTGTGCAAGCAAAGACACGAAGGGTGAGTCTGCATTTGTGCTCCTCGTGTTTGCTCGTTAAAACTGATTCACGTTTGTGACAAGAGCTCTGTGCTGTGTTAAAAAAGCAGCCTTGTTGTACGCTTATCCTGCCCCTCTCCCTGAACAACGTTATTGGGGGCTGGAGGACGCAGGGCTGGATGAACCTCTGAAATGACCCAGTGTGGCCACCCATCACTCTCAGGGTGTTATGGGTGCACTCGGCTTTCTTTTTGTTTGGAAGTTTAATTGGGGTAGGGTAACCAGCCTGAAACACTAACAACAGCTTTGTTCAAGTTTCGACTTGAGTCTCTTTTCTCAAAGTAAGTCAGGGCTCCATTAAAAAAAAATAATAATAATAAAATAAAATAAAATAAAGAAAGAAAGGACAGGAAAGGACAGGCTTTACACAACCCAATCATTTGAAGCTGTTTTCCATTGTGCCAGCTAGTGAAGCCTGTAAATCTATTGACGCAGACTGAATGGACGAGCTGTGCGCATCTGCTCATGTCCATGTGCTGGCCAACGTGGGCTCTGAAACGCAATCGATGGCCAGCAGCTAGGGCCCCTCGGCTGGGCTTGTCTTTTGGGGGCCACTTTGCTATTTTAATGATCACACTGTGCTTAACCCTCCCAAATTCACCTGGGCTACACCTCCAAATCTTCCTTAGCAAAGACCTTCAAAGACTTTCAGAGGACTTGTCACTTTATTTGCTTCTATTACAACCATATTTATATCCTGTTTTAATTGAGAGATAATGGAGTTTCACGAATGACTGATTTTTGCCCACTTGGATAACTTCATCACCATAAAAGAAGGCTCTAAGGAGGCTGGTGTATTCATCATTTTCTCTCCTTGCAGCACATCCCTGCAAAACTGCTCAACTGCTCTTTCCTGCAAAGCCCCTGAGCACGGCATGCTACTGCAGCAGCCTCATGTTACCCATTCTGTTCCCAAGGGAGCTCTTAGGGACTCTTTATCTCAGCCAGAGCAGAGAAGCATTTAAGCTGCAGTGCCAAGCATTACAGGTGTGCAGAGGAAAGCAGTCACACTCGCCTGGAGGCCCAGTGCTCCTCCTGTGTCCGGCAACACACCACAGCATATAGTTCAGGTGTAGGTTAAGGCCAGGGGCCCTGTTTCTTGCTTTGTTTTTAATGCTGCTGAGCTGAATCAGACTTTTCCTGCACTCAAACCATGGGACCCACTTGTGAGGACATGGGCTGGTTGTACAGGTGCTGGTTTGGCTGCTGGGGAGAGCAAAGGGACCCTTCCCTATGTCCTGAGGGGAAAACACAGCAATCCCACTGCTGTCACTGTAAAAAGGGAAACGCTGGGTATTTTCAGTGTTCAAAACAGAAAGGTCCATGCGTAGCCACCCATCAGCTAGCACCTGCAAGCAGCTATTCTGTGAAGTGTAAGCTCCGCACCCTGCCTCTTACAGAAATGTCAGCGACCATGCTGTCATCTGCAGTTTGCTAGGATGTCTGATTTCCCAGGAGACAAAGAAATACACGGCGTTAAAATAAAGACAGCAGAGGACTCGTGGATTGTGTCTTGGTTCCTTTATTACATTGAAAAACTGTGTGGTACTACCCTACTGATAGAATAAAAGCCGTGGAAAACTTTTCTTCAGAAAGGAGAAAAAAGTGACATAAAAACCGTTGTTGTTACAGATGATGAAGTTTGGTCTGGGACGTCTGGCTGTAATTTCCCAGCTGAGTAGGCTCTTGATGGAAGTTTCTGCTTTAACAAGCTGGGGAGAAAAAGGAGGAGAAACAGATTAAGGGATTTGTTTCTTCCACAAATTTGAAAAGATGCGAGGAAGTGTTTGCCTAGATGAAGGACATTAAAAAGGTTGTGTGCGTCCAGATGTCAGATTTTAGTAATTACTCTCCCACCCATCCTTACATGTGTTTCCTAGCTATGATTCAATAAAACTGAATTATGGGGAATTGTTCCAGATGCAAAATAGACCATGGGGTATGTTGGGAACAGCCGGGGGTATTTGTTACCTGCACTAGGTGTGCTGCAAGACCAGTTACAGAAATGGAAGGAAGGGATCTGAAATTTCTGTAAGGTGCTTTCCACATTTCTAAGTGAAGCCTTGTGCCTCCTGTGATAACGTAGATGTGGGTTTGGTAGCTACACCTTTTCCCTGGTGTTAGCTGAGGACTTGTGCTCACACCAGAGCCCTGTTGCCTACAAGTCCCTGGCTCTGGTGGGCCATGGACACCACCGCTCTGTGCAAGAAGCTGGTCTTCTTTGGGTTTAACCACCTCTTCCCACTCATGCCCTGGGCACTCTGAACCCCCACTGGGAAGGAGAGGAGAGCTTGTCCTGCTTTGGAGCTGCAGGGCATCCGTGGGGACACACGGGCAATGTCTCGTGCGAGATGTTACCTTCCTCGACCGTGCGGTGGTAGAAGCACCAGGGGACACCAGCGGGGTGTGCGCGGAAGCAGCACTTCCTACTTGTGCACTCCTTGGCTGTGATGCCAGGGTAGCCGCAGTTCACTCGGATCCGAGGGTCGGCAGGACAGACTTTCTTAACTGCAGAAAGCAAAAAGGAAGGAAGGAAGAAGGCTGCGTTACTTCATGCTCCACGTACCTGGGGGCAGGATTCACAAATGGAAGGCAAGTGTGGCCCGTGAGTGAGCACAACAACCACAGTGACCTTCTCCACACTGATTTCAGGCGGCAATACCACCCAAGCCCTTGCCATACCTGCTAGGCAAAACTAAATGCCAACAGATGAGGAATTGCTGTCACACCAGAGGGTCTAGAGGGACCAAAATTCACCCCTAAAAGTGCCTGGCAGGCAGCATCTAAACCTGTCTTCCATGGTGGTACCACGGACACTGGCCTCAGCTCCGGAGGTGTCCCTGTCTTTATTTGTGCCCAATCTTTAGATGACTGTAGCCCACCTTTGCATGGCAGCTTCAGTTGTGGAAGGGAGGAAAGTCATCTAGGAGAAATCGCAGCTCATCGAGAAAATTAAAATTAAAATCAAAAGTACAGAGGGAGCCTTTGTGGGGATACAGTCAACAGATAGGAACTGCAGCTGTGGGGAATCTATGTTAAGAGTCCCCTTCCACAGCATTAAAACCTTGTTTTTAGTGGTTTCACCACACAGCCTGAATAATTAAGTTTTCCTCTCCTGGAAGAGTTCTGCTCTGAAAATCAACTCTGTGAAAACGACACTTCAAGATGCAGCCATTTCTTTTTCAAGATTTTCATGAAATGCAAACAGTGTTCAAAGGCAAAATCACTTTTTGTCCTCCAACAATTCGAAGCCTTGTTGACTGATCTTGATTTGTATCAACTTACTTTATTTGCTAACATTGCCACATTGCCTTTGTACTCCCGCTTCCCCTCATTTCATGTTCCAAGGGCTGATTGTGCAACTGCTGAGGTTCTCCTAAGAAGGGGTTGGCACTATGAGTATAGCTCATGCTCAACAGTTACATAAAATATGCACCTGGTCCTTGAAGGACTTGGGTGAGCAGCTCCAACCCTCTCTGAGAACACAAGGGCAAAAAATTGAAGCATTTGTTTGGAGTTTGGATTTTCCAGGGGGTCTTTAGAAGGAAGAATCTAATAGGAAAAAAATAAAAGATCCGCCCTGGGATATGTTGGAGATTTCATTGGATGAAGACTGCGAGCGAAAACAGGAGAGGAAAAAAAGAACCACCCAGTGGAATTATACTGGGAAACACACAGAAAAGGAAGGGAGTGGCAAGTATCAAAAAAATCTAGGGAGAAAAAAAATAAAAATAAAAGAGGAAAAACCTACAAGTTACAGGGTGCCTATGGTGTTAAACAACCACAGATGGACTCATCTGCTGAGGACTCTTCATGACTCTTCATGATCTCTTCAACATGCAGTGCTAAAGTCTTTGTCAGCCATGCAGAAAACCCATTTAAGTAAGTGCAGAAGATCCCATGTTCCACTGATCAACAAGACCACAACTGGCAGTGAAATGTTTTTAAATAATCAGGACTATTTGAGAACTAGAAGCCTGAAGGAAAAAGAAATATCTTGTGCAGAGAGGACGAGTTACAAGCCTGATGGACAAGCAGGATTTGACTTTGTACTTTCTTACCAGAGGTCTTCTAACAGAGGTTTGTGCCCACTTCATTGGCCTAAGAGCAAAGCAGAGCTACTCCCTGGTTGTCCACATTTCTGTATAAGCAAACACTAGGTAGATCGGTGTTCCTGGTGGAGATATTACCTTTCTTTGGTTTAGCGGTGAAGCACCAGGGGACGCCAGGGACTGAGGCGTTGAAGCAGCACCCAGCTTTCCTGCAGTCCGCTGCTGAGATTCCTGGGTGACCACAGTTCTTCCGCTCCTTGGGGGCTATTTTACACTGGCATTTTGCTGTTGAGGACAGAAATCCTAAGTTACTGGCTGTCAGTTTGCACATTTGTAAGTGGAGGTGCATTTATGAGGAAGTTACTGAAAGCAGTGTACTTTCCTAGACTCTGTCCATCTTGCAAGTGTACACTTTCTGTCACTTGCTAAGACCAGACGTTGTCTGTTTTAAGATCTGCTTATGGTAAAAGATGGCAGGGGAAATGCTGGCCCCATTATGGTTGGGGTGAAACTCCCTTACAGTAAGGTCTGTACTTCACCCAGTAAGTATCTTGTGGTCTCACCTGCAGTCAACCCAGCCCGGCACAGCAGGAGGCTGTGGACTTCAAACAGACCACATCAAACGGTACAAAACACAGGTTTGGATGTTATGCTAGTAAACGTTTGTTTGTTTGCCTATGTCATGTGAAGAAAGAACGAGTAAAGGGTCCCGTGGACATAAGACAGGTGTAAAAATGCAAAATCTTTGCTTTACCTTCAGTTAACTATAAAATCATAGGGTTATGTGAGAATAGTCACAGCTATACTTTTAATATTTTAAGCCTACTACGTGGTCATCCGCAACCAAGAAATTCTCAGCATGTCCCTAGGTGCCTGCCGTTGAGCTACTTGCTTTCTACTTCTTCAGTTGTCCAAATGCCTTCTATTGTGGAGGCAGATAGACTTCTTTGAGACTGCATTCACATAGAAAAGTAGCATAAAACAGATGTCAGAAGAATACTTAGGCAGAGCTAGCTCCTGTTCCAGTCCCAATCTTGTTCTAGCGAGCTCCTGAGCATTTCTGTCCCTCTACCTTTGTGGCAGGTTCCCGGTTATGCCACCAGCATGAGAGTTCACCTGTGGTCTTTTTTTTGCTGTTGTTGCTGCCATAGCTTTCTCTGAAAGACTTTTTAAAAAGACTCCAGCTTTGGGAACAGTGTCAGAACAAGACATTCACTGTCTGATACACGAACTGGAGACATGCCCATGCTGCCAGTACAATCAGCAGGTTCAAGCCCACATACATACCTGCAAAAGCAACAGCAGATAAATGTACTTACTTGGTGGTGTCTTCCCTTCTGTCGTGGCGATGAGGGCTACAACAAGGATGACAGAGAGCACGCAGATCCCTTTCAGATCCATTGCTCCTGGGAGCCCTCAGGCCTCTGGCTGTTCTGGCAGGGCAAGTTGCTGGAAGAAAGGTGCTGCCTTCCCTTGAGCAGCTCGTTTTATACGGTCCTCATGTTTGCCTGGAGAGATCTGATAACATTGTTCCCTGTGAAGCTTCACCCAGATGTTGGCTTTTTTTGTTGCTGTTTAATTAGGAAATGTTGCCATGCATATTTTGATATCCCTGAGATAAATTTCTAGGCTCCCATGATCTATTGATCACATAGCCATTACGTACCCATAGATCACATATCTATTACGTGATCCCATAATCTATTAATAGGACATTACTGCATCTCTCTGGCAGCCCGAGCTGATTTCATTGCTATTAGAGTATTTCAAAGCTCTGAGCAGCTTTAAATGGTTGCCACCACTAAAAAATAAATACACATATTTTCCTTCCAAGTGTGTCCTCTCTGACACAGATTTTCCCTGGCCTTAATTTTGAGTTACACTTACTTTGAAACCAAGTAAGGCAGGATAGCTGAAGGTGTGACACCTTCGAGGTATGGCAGACTTGGGAGAGAAAAGGAGAGTTTATATGGGATCTCAGTCTGACCCACTGGAGTTTGTAGTTGCTCAGGGGCTGGATGTGAGCAGCCCACATAATATTTTGGAGTAGTTGTCCTGCACGAGGATGTTTACCTCATGGAAATCTTGCTTCTTTAAAGAACAACTTTTCTTCTGAATATTTTTTTTTCTCTTTACCAGTCCCAACTAGGTGAACCTAGCTACAACATAAATATACTATCAGTTTCAAGGGTTTGTGACTTAGCCACCAGGGAATTCTTCCTGCACATCATTTGATAAGGATTTAATGCATTTTTTTGATCTTTGGTAGAATTATGTCTTCGTGCCCTTGATTATTATAGATGAGTTTGTTTTCTGCCTCTTTCCTCAACACAGTTCAAAGCAAGAAATTTAAAGTTCTGTGGTTGTGTTTTGAAGGCAATTTATTTGTTGAGAAGCATTCTGAACCCTACAGGAGGGATTTGGGTCTACCAGGAAAAAATAACGGAGCTCATTTTCCTGCTGTTTAACTTATTTGATACTTCATTTACATCCATCCCTATTGAATATGGCTTTTTCTCACCGAAAGCCATAGTTCAGAAATCAGACACTGTGTATGCTTCATCACACAAGGTACCAAGCTGCAGGCAGCAGACAACCATGCGCCAGCCCTCACGCCTCTCACCTCTATCCCCAGGAGGGAGCATCAGACCTAAAATTCGCCTATTTTTCTCCATGGACACAACGCTGACCGCACTCCCAAAGGTCAGTGGTGATGCCTGGCCCGAGGGAAGTCAGGAGGGACTTTTCCACCGTCCTTCCTCAGCAGGTACCAGGAGGGATGGGCTGCAACATTGCCTTTCCACGGCAGCGGTGTGGTGTTCGTGCCACTGCAGCAGCTCACGGGAGATTATCAGCCCACGGCATGAGTCAGGCAAGCCGCCGATAACACCTGTCCCTCCTGCCTCTTACGGGACATTAGTTAAGTCCTTATCTGCAAGCTGTCACCTCCTGGGCCCGATCCCACCGCGCACACAAAGGCAAATCTTCCACCAAGTTCTCGCTGCGGAAAGGCTGCATGATTGGCATCTTAAAACAAACACCCTGGAAGAAATAAGCTTCACGCTTTCTGCCAGCGGATTACTTTAAGATCTTTGATATGTTTATATAGCAAAGCGTTGGACATTATCTGGGGTTTCTCTGCAAATGTTTCCTTCCCTGAGACTGGCATCTACCCAGACCTTTCGGTAGCTCTGTGCTGAGCTCCTGAAGGGGGCTAGAAGAGCTCCTCAACCCATCAACCAACAGCACTAATCAGGTTTTCATCCTAAAGGGAGTTTGGGATCCTAAAGGGAATTTCCTTCTGTGGTTAGAACGAGTGCTACATGAAATATCTCTCATTGCTCAACACCACTGTACATTAGCCCACAAAATAAATCTCAAGTTTTTCACATTTGTTGAAATGAATAACCATAAAAGATAAAAAGTCAGAAGCGGAGCAACAAGGAAACTCCAGTTCGTGGATTTCTGGGGGGTCGTCTTCGGCGATATTGCTCCTTCAAGCTGTGCAAGGGATGCTCAGCAGAGGAGAGGACCCAGGAGCAGTGCTGGTCTCACACCACCACCTAGGCAAAGCGCGCTTCATGCTTTTCACTGCAACTCTGTTTTTTAGGAGTGTTTATGGAAACCATAGGAATGAGCAATATTCTCCTTCCTTATCATGAGGCTTGCTGTTTGCCTTGCTTCACAACAGCTGCTGGTGCCCTTGGCTTCTCTCACAGAGCTTCTTTTCTAGCTCAAGTAGGAAATCCCTGTGGTTTTGAAGCTAAAAGGTCAATGCTTTGAGTGGGTGTGGGAGGGAACTAACCAGGCTTTGTGTAGATGTAGGTCTGCTGTAAAACATGCCCGAGAATTTTGTTTCCCACAAAGCAAGCAGGAGGCTGTTGTGCAGACCTTGTGCTGCAGCTTGGAGGTGGGCAGCGCGTGGGTGCTGCTCGCCTGTGCTGGGCACAGGCTGGGGCTGGGTTTTCCCTTTCTCTTTCAGGGAGAGACCTGTTTTGGAAGCAGTCAGCCACGCCAGGCTTCACAGGGGAGCTGAGAAAAGCTACTGCTGGGAAAACAAACTAGCCAAACCTAACTGCGGAGGTACGGGTGAGACTTTGGAAAAATCGAAACACATATTTACACACACAAGCCCCTGGAGTCCAGCTGAAGACTTTGCTGCTCTCCAGTTGCACAACTGCTGTACAACTTATTTTTCGAGCCATGCCACAGAGAAACCTGCATCTGTTGCTTAAAAATGTCAGACATCAGAGCAGGGCTGGGTGTTTTTCCCTAAGGAAAGCAGAGCGAGGCACCAAGTCAGGAGCAAATGGAAACAGAGAGGAGCTGCGTGACCCTCACATACACCCAAATTTGGGTGAACATTCCTGCAGGAGGAGAACACGACTACACTCTGCTTTGTGTCTGCTAAGCTCACCCTCAGTGGGACCAAAGCCTGAATTGCACAGGTCTGGAGAAATAACTACAGAAGGAGGAAGAAGCCTTGAGCTGTAAAGGGAAGAGGAAAAATAATATTAATAAAAAAATAAAATAAAAGAAAAGGAAGCAGTAAGGATAAGGGATACAACAGGGTCTCTGACGGGCCTCTGTGCTGTTTTGATGCATACACTGGGAGCAGTGAGAAAACCCTGGCATTTCTGGAGCTAACGAGGGAGAGGGCCGTCAGCTTCCCACATATTTTAGCAAGATGAATGAGCACACAAAAGCCCTCAGTCCAGGTTGTTATTTGCCTATCTACCAAATAACACTGCGGGTTCAGAAAATAAATAGAGAAAACCTTACATCTTAACCCTGGGAACGAATGGTTCAAAGTAAGCATTGAGAGCCATTCAGTCATATCGCTTAGATAAATATACCTCCATGAGATATATTAACATAGGTGTCCAAACCAACTTTAACTTGGTATGTAGAAAACTTTTCAGGGGAATTGTTGAGAAGAATACATAGTTTTACAAATGAGAGGCAGTGCTGGAGAAGGGCTTTTGTCACATTTTTGTGGTCAGCATCCATACACAATGTAAACAGAAAAAAATAATTATGTGAACTTAATCAAATATGTAACTCAGAGTTTAGTCAGATCTAAAAGTCTGAATTTCAACATCCAACACACTGCAAATAGATTTATTTGCAACTGCAAAGCTCAATGCCAAATGAGAAATATAGATTTGAGCATATTATTTTTCCTAATGCTTTGAATTTTCACACATTTCTTGCATTCACTTTTTGGAGGGAGCATCAAAACATCAGCAAACACTTACTGCTCCTGAGATGAGGTGAGGACCAGCCTGTGGAGAAAAGGACAGAGTGGCTGCAACCAGCAATGGGGAAAGACACGTTTCTTCATTTCTTTTCTAGAACCTGTCACTGCCATGACCCAGAGAGGGGAAGAAACTTCTGAAATGGGCCTGAGAAATCTGGAAGATCTGGCTCAAGATGTAGCTGTTGATAGGACTCTTTATGGTAATGATCATGATGTATTGCATTTTAACATGCCCCAAAGAATAAGAAGGCCCAAATCTTGATCGATTACCTTCTAATAATGGAAATATATAAGCCAGGGAAATTTATTAAAAGGAACTTAAAGGGTGAGTAAGATGGATGAAATGCTCACAAACAGCGGGGTGCTGTTTAGAGTCACAATATGAGAAGTACTTATCACCAAAAATATATATATGAAAAGGATATCCTCATGCCTACATGTAGGCCCAGAATAGTTAAGTGATGGAACAAAGGGAGCTACTGGAAGAAAAAAGGCTGTTTGTTTCAAAGCCAGATAAAGAAAACAGAAGAAGACTGACTACAGGGAAGTAAAATCAGAAAGAGGTAAACAAATAACTTCTTCTAAGATAGGAGAAAAAGGTCAGTTATCACAAGGGGGAGAAGAGGCTTCTTGTTGTTCAACGCACTCAGAAATGATGTGGAAATGTTGGTGAATAATGTGGTGATGAATATGCAGATGATTCAGAATTATTTTTCATATTTTTTCAGAAGTGCAGGTAACTAAAGAGTTGCAGAAATTTCTTACAAAACCGAGTGACTGAGTGATAAATGTCAAATGAAAGGCAGAGTGGGTAAGTGTAAAGTAAAGTGCATGGAGGAAAAATAACCTAATTATATGTAAACACAAAGATGGGCTGTAAATTAGCTTTTGTCACTCAGAAAGGGATCTTTGCATCACTTTGGATACACCAGTTGAATATTCAAAGCATCAAGCAGGCAAATTAAATTTTAGATGTTGTTAGGAAAGGGACTGAGGACAAAGAGTTTTGACACCACTGCCATCCCCACTGTGCCCACACCTGCATTCCCTTGTGAAGTACTGGTTGCCCCCAAGTTAAAAAGGAGAAAGTGTAATTAGAAGAGATGCTAAGAGAAGCCCCCTGGCTCATGGAAGCAATGAGCTATGAAAAGAAATTTTGAAGAATGTAAGGATCTTAGAAACTATGCTGTCACAGGCCAGGAGGGGAAGTTTTCTCCTGGCTAAAGAAGAAGGTAACAAGCAAGGGGTGGGAGTCAGTGGATGGTTTCCACTGCAGAGAAAAATCAGGAGGAGTCTCCTGCAGAGCTATGCTGAGATCTTTGCAGTGTAACAAACTTGTAAATCATCTGGAAAAGGAGACGAGAGGGTAAAATTTGTTGACAACACAGTGCTTCCATGGTGGTAAAGATATGAGCTGGTTGTGCAGATGGATTTTGCGGAACTGAATAAGATGGCAGGTGAAGATTTCCCAATGCATGCCAGGGAAAGGAGCGACCCTACCTTTTCAAGCAAAATGATGAGCCCTGAGCTGGTTATTATCACCTGGGTATGAGTGAGTGCAGTGCATGATATTAGCATTTGGAGTACGAGAGAGTTTTATGAAAACACCAGCTTACTGCTTAGCAACCATGAGAAAATCAAATGACAGGTGAACAGTTATTAGTGAAGGGATAGCACAGAGCATGGTGAAAACTGATATTCCATCTTATAAACCCTCTTATAACCAATCCTGTAAAGCAGTACATCTGCTTTCTCCTTGCCCTATCCTCCATCTCCAGCCTGTAAAAGGTCCTGTGATGGGGATGAAGGGAAAGCTGGCACTGTGGGACAGCATTTGCACCAGGGATGACCATGTACACTGGGTATCTCCAGGCTACAAGGTGTATAAAAGTCACAAGAAGCAGAAGAAAATACCATTAGCTCATTGTCTCACCTAATATAAAAGTTTAACCACCTGAGTGACACATTCAAAGCAAGCGAAGGAAGATGGTGTTTCACTGAGCGTGTGGGTATGATGTAGTTCAGCTGTGGAGCTCCCTCCTGCAGGATGTTGTGGATACTAAAACTTCACGTGGGTCTGGAAAGCAATTGGATGAACTCATCGAAGAAAATTGGATTTGGAGCAACAGGTCTACCTCAGAAAATGACTAAGCTGCAAATCACTGGAGTTTGGAAGAGTAATCTGGGAAAGTGTCACTGCCCATTTGACTTGCTCTTTGACTCTTTCCATGGCACCTACTCTGGCTGCTTTTAAGGACAGGATGCTGGCTGCCTGGACTTCAGCTAATATTACTCGTCACTTCTCAGAATACTGAAACCAGAAAGGCAGTCAATGAAATGATGAGGCAGCAGGTGTACATGAGAAGAACACGGTGTATGACTACACTGGAATTCATTGCTCCAGAAGCAGAAGGTTAGAGGTATGAAAGGGCTAGAAGAGTACCCAGAGGAGAGGGCCATTGGCATTTTCTGTTTATGGTGGTCGAGGTATAAACTCTCTTTCAGAAGACTAAATCTCTGGCTATTGGTATGGGAGAACCTACCAGGAGAAGGATTGCTCCGTACTCCGTCTTAAAGCTTTTCTGTAAGCAACTGTGACTGGCCGTGCCTGGCACAGGTGTGGGGCTAGAAAATGATTTAGCCTGGCTTAGTCTGGCCAATCGCATGATTTTATCATTACTTCTTCTGATTTTTGGTATTTTTCAGGATCATCTTTTTGAACTCTCCTGGACTGATGAGTTTAATCATCTGGTGAAAGTTTAGAGCTCAAAATCAAGAGCATCTAGTTTGGTTTTAATTCTGAATCTGTTAAAAATGTCCCAGTTTGGAGAACGGAAAATGCCGTGATGGGTGGCGTTTCACAGATGCTTCTGAAACTCACCCAAACCCAAAGCAAACCCACCCCCGCATATCGGTTGTGATTACTGGAAGAAAGGCCCAAAACTAGCACCACTCATGAAGGGGGTGGTGGTGTTTTTTCTGGCTTGGTTTCCTCCCATAGTTACTGGTGGGAGGGAGGGATGCTAGCAGGTGCAGAGAAATACATCGCGGCCAGTGAGGGGTATGAGCCGGCCAGCACCTCTCACAGGGAATGGGAAGGCACCAAGGCTGGTTGGTGGCTCCGAACCCCAATGTGCTGAGGGCAATTGCATGGTGCAGCTGATAAATATGGGCTAAACTGCATAATTTTAGCATAATTCATGCATCAATATCATGGCAGCTGGTAACATAAATGTATCATCTATAAAGATGGTGAAGGGTCTGGAGGGCACGATGTACGAGGAGCAGCTGAGGCCCCTTGGTTTGCTCAGCCCCGAGCAGAGCAGGCTGAGGGGAGGCCTCATGGCGGCCTGCAGCTCCCTCAGAAGGGGAGCGGAGGGGCAGGCGCTGAGCTCTGCTCTCTGGGGACAGCGACAGGACCCCGCTGTGGTGGCAGAGAGACTAGTTGTTGCTTTTAGCAATTTTCAGTTATTGTTGTTTTAATTGATAACAGTGAATGGGCAAAGCGTTTCTTCTATACCAATTACATGTTGTTAAGAATAGAGGGAGAAATATTAAGCTCTAATGCTAGCAAGAGAATATGAGGATAGATGGGAGAACTACTTCAGGAGAAAACTCTCTCTATATATAGTAAAATTCTTCAAAAGTGTTAGCAAAATAATGAAAGAAATAAGTATTATTTTTTAAATTCAAATGAAAGAAGAAAGCTAGCTATAAAAATTCTTTTAAACTTTCCTTCTAAGTGCTTTAAAGAGAGTGAGCATATGAAGTAAACTGTGAAGATTTGGAAAAGTCAGAAAAGAAAAAAAAAAAGGAAAGGAAAAAAAAAAAGATTTTCCTCCCCTCAAAGCTAGATAAATAAATAAATAAATGCAAACCCACCAAACTTAATAAGCACTTTTTTCTTTACTGTATTTTTATAATATGTCGCTGCAGGTTCCCATCTGCTCTCTCATTAGAGAAGCCATGAAGGTCTTCCTCTCAGGTCTAGAGGAGCATCTTAGCTCCTCTCCAGCAGTGATGAAGAACACCATGGCAGATGAAGTGACACCTGAATGAATCCTCGGAGTCCCAAATACCCAGTGGCTGGGAGTCTGCTGGACATAAATGCTTGTCTTTTTGTTGTGACCATGGAGGTTGGCATATAGGGCTCCATTGTGAGCCATTTCCTTCTACACATGGTGCAGGCTCCAGCTCTCAGCAGCATGAGGTTTGTGTTGGGTAGCCCATTGGCTTGGAAAGATGGATGATAGGTCGGGTCTGCTGGATACCACTGTCCTAGGACATGACAAGGCTATGACATGAGCCCTCATGATGCAAACAGCTCTCATTCTCTGTGCGTAAGACTGAAGATGACAAGCGGTGATGGAGAAGAAGGGTCTTTGGATCTTTGGTTACTGTATCTACACTAGTATGGGGATTCAACATCATATGAGAAGGCAGTGAACTCCTGAGAGAGAGTATACTTCATCATTAATTGCAAAATGTGTGATGTTAGTTTGGTCCCTCTGCTGATGGATTCAGTGACTAAGCTTCTGTTGATTTCTGTGCTCAGGAGTGCAGCTCCTGAAGTCTTATGAAAATGAGCACCAAGTCAGATCATGTAAGAAACCTGTTTAGAATTGGACCATGCATTATGAAGCTGGAAAGATTGTTTTTTATTTGAGTGAGATACCGTATCCAGCTGTCTACAAAGTTTTTTCTTTATGATCAGAGCGATCTCATTTTTCTCAACACCTGTACATTTGTTATTGGTTGAAATCCTCCTAGAGTTTCCTCCATCCTCAAGTCATGTCCTAACTGAAATAAATTGTAGCTACTATCACTGTAGTCAGTGTAGTATTTTGCAAGTATGTTGACTATAACCCTCCATAGCTGGATTGGGGAACCATTAGGAACACTTCTGGGTATTGAAACAGTAGAAATTCAGGAAGGGACACTTACTACAGCACAGGCCTCAGTGCCCAGGTAAGGTGACCAGCATCAGAATCATCCTGTTACAGAAATGGAAGAAGGGTCCCTCAAAGGGCAAGTCAGAGCTCTAACTGATGTGTCCCTTGCTGAACTCCAGAAGAGTTGCTTCCCACATACGGTCTACAGAAAGAGTTTGGGAAAATGCAGTCAGGCCAAGCTGTGTGGTGTTTTATTTTCCTCAAAATCTGAGTGGTGTGTATCAAAGAATTCACATGATGGCTTTTAATTCAGTCCTAGTGCTGCCAGTTTTACTGTAGGAGAGAAAAAGTGGGCTATGGGAGTCAACACATGGAGGTACAGACAGTCCCTGAATTGTCCTCCGGTGCAGAAGCAGCAGTGCTCAGCCTCAGTGAAGGCAATGCACCTTCACCCTTTCATACTTCTTGCAGAGGTGGCTTCAGCTTGATCTTTTCCTCTTTCATATAAGGCCCTATCTCAGTTCTGGCAGGGCAAAATGAGAGCTAAAGTAAGAATAAAAAAAAAAAAAAAAAAAAAAGGAATAAAAGAAAGAAAACACAACTTCAACTTCAATGGTGAGAACATATAGCCCCTTTTGTTGCAAATATGAAAGCAATCAAATCTGGATGATAACAGATATTGTTCACATTTTCTGTATATGTCGTGCAGACAATACTGTAACCCAGGAGGACTCTCATGCTGGATCACTGGTTTAAATCTCTCATGTGTAGTACAATCAAGCAAATTGTCAAACACACTTCTGGCCACAGCAACAAAACAGCATTTGATTCATGCCCATAAATACAAGGATGAAAATATTGATATTTCAGTAAATCAAGCAGCTTCCATCTCTATCATACTTTGCTTTTCAGAAGCGAGACCTGAATTCTCAATGTCTCTCTGCTAATGGAATTTTTCTAAAACCTAATTAAAAAGTCTCTATTCAATGGGCTGTGGAGAATTTATAGCAGTGAAGCTGTCTGTGTCAGACAAATATGCTATTGATAGTCCTGTGGGAAGTAATGATGAAGGGACTACAAATAAGAATAGAGAGAGAAAAAGGAAATACGCAGTACACTGGGCTCATTTTCACACAGCTGGACGCTGGTGTGAGGGAAGGGCAAGGAAGGGAGAGGGCTGGGATGTGCTGGTGTCAGCACAAATGAATGCTGCTCTGGGAGAGCTTTCAGTGGAAGAATCAGAGATGTCCCGTGGGCTTTTACCCCTTCTCAAGGTAGGGGATTCATCTGCTGTTGTGAAATGGCCTCAGCTTTTACACAGAATCATAGAACCATAAAATGTGGCTTACGTGGATATTGCCTGCAAAACAGACCAAAATAGCCGCCACTATGTGAGCTCTGGGATCACCAGCCAGTGCTTAGAAATCATTCTCCCAGGGTGAGAAGTGTTGTGTGCATGTGCATGTTGCTACTTTCAACCTGCCCCAACAAACAGTGCCAGAGTGTCTGTCCAACACTCAAAAGTGCAGCAAACCATCCCACCAGGCATCACTGCCCAGTAACGCCACAGATCCCTCCTGAAGGGTGAAGAGAAATGGCACCAGACCATCCTGGACACTGCCACCACTGGTGACAGTCAGCCAGCCACCCAACAGGGAGCCCTTCCTTTACAGCACGCACAGCAGGCCAGCTGGGCTCTAGCACCACGTGTCCCTAGAGCCCTGCTGTGTTGCACCCTGAGCTGGCTGTGCTCCCAGCCCCACAGCCCCAGCACCCCAGCACTTTGCAGCCAAGGGTGTTGCAATGGCAAAAATGCAATTGCATTGTTGCCGGGAAGGTCGCTGAGATTTAATTGTGTATAAACTGAATGACGAGTTTAGAGTTGCTGGAACCCACTGTTGCCTTGTGCATTTTACAGATGCTGTTTCTACATTATAGCCTCTAGCTGGCTGGATTTTGTTTGGTGAGGTTTGTAACCTCTTTAGTCATCTCCTCAATAACAAAAGAGAGCTTTAGAAATGTGGGAAACATGAGGCCCCTATACGAAAGGGCCTGATTTCTGAGCAACAAGTCAGCTGCCCTTACATTCCTGCCAAATGTCCTTCTCATTAGGCAACAGAATCAGCCACATTCACGTAATGCAGATTTAACTGCTTGCGTTAATGAGGCCACCTGCAAGAGGAGAAACAGAGGGGGAGCTACATGAGTCAGAGGGAGGCCTCAGAAGCTGGAAGCCCCGGCCAGGTGCCCGAACCTGAAAGTTTTTGGGTTGGGGTTTTTCCCCCTCAGCCTCTGCAGAGTCCAGCCTGGACTGGAGGTTAATTCCTGGCTCAGTCCCTCTACTCTGCTGTAACACTTTTCTTTAGTGAAATTACACCAGTAGTGAGAAAAAGTTCTGCCAATATTTTAACTCAAATCATTTCTTGCCACCTCTATAACCCTTGATGATTGCATTGGGATCTATTCAGAATAACCGTAATTTAGTAAATGCTATGTTTGCCATTCCTAAGTGTAGCATTATACAAACTTAGATTAGATAATTCCCTGCCCAGTTATGGGTGCCAACAGGCTGGTCAGAAATTTTCAGAGGTGTTTTTTTTTTTTTTTTTTTTTCTTTTCTTTGTTTCTTTTTCACATGCTGTAACTAAACTTGGCCATTTTAACTGTATAAGTAACAAACTGATTGCTACTTTCAGGACAAATTTGGTAAATTCTTAGGTATTACATTAGTCTGAGAGATCTTCTACTGCTGGCCTTTGGGAAAAGCAGACCTGGCAATGGTGTGAAGCAGAGACCCCGATAAGACCCTCAGCAAAAGTGCTCCTGAAAAATAACTTCCAAAGAGAGATTTCACATGGGAGATGCCACCAGGAGGTGGCTGAGGGGTGTTGCAGAGGTCAGCCTTAGAACTGAGGCTTGTTCCTTTCCTGAGCTCTCTTCTGAAAGAGACACAGCAGGAGTGGGGAAGGTGAGCCTCAGCAGCTTTAAATGAGCTCTGTGGCACACCTGTGAGACTTCACCTTCAGCAGGTCCCAGCACAGGTGCTGCAAGAGGCGGTGTCCCAGCATCACCAAGAGGGAATGCAGGAGCTGTGGATGTTTTTGTCCTCAACACATGGGATTGCCCTGGTACTTTCCTCCTTTGATAAAAGCAGGTAAGGCAGTTGCCTGAAAAATGCTGGCTAACCAAGTTAGTTGGCTACACAACAGTGCTGCTCTTACACTTTTTGATTGCATTTTATGAGTTTCCCTATATCTGCTTAACTTTCTTTTGCACGTATTCTACTGGATTACACAGACGTAAGTCACCTGTAATTTTCCCCTGTACAGATGGGTGCTTATGTGACTTTCTGAAAACATCCCATGCTGTCTTGTGTGGTGATGAGCCATCTCTATCAAATTGCTTAACAATATCAAGCATTTCAGTTGACCTTTGTAGTACCCTCTTACTTTTATTTGTTGGCATGTGAAGATGCTATTAGATATAATAGAATGATTACTTTGTTTTCTTCATGAAGAATGTCATTGGGGAAAAAAAAATGTAGACAAATTTTATCATCAGTTGAAATGGTGGCTGGAAACTTGAGGCCAGAGATGGAAATAGTAAAATGAATAGATTGAAAAATATTTGATAGTTCTTCCTTAGAAAGACATTTTAACCAGCTTAAGTGAAATTTTTGCCTTCATCAGCCAGAAGAATGAAATATTTTCTTTCCTTTGTTTTCTTTCTTTTTCTTCTTAGTTGGTTAAATCAAAGCGGCTCTGGGCATATAGATCTCCACGAAGCAGAAGAGTTTTAGATCCTCTGCTTTGCTACATAAACAGTGAGGCTGTTCCTGTCTTGAACTCACTCTCCCTTGACACAGCCAGTGACTGGAAGGAGGAGAAAGTTTTTTTGAAATAATTTTCTCTTCGTATCCATTTGCTTCTTTAGACAATTAAAAATATAAAGTCTGCAAGGAGTACTTGCTTCAATGGTTTTGAGTTCCCAGTTGCACTACAAGCTACCTTCTGATCCAGGCTTAGTGTGGCACAGAGATGGCTTCAGAGGGCCTGTTGTGACTACACTTTGCCACCAGAGAACAGCCCAGCATAATGCTTATGCTGACATTGTTGGCTTGCTCCAACATGGGCTGGTGGCTTTTAATCTGATGCACCCTGAATGACTGCCCAGGCAGAGTCATGCATGGCCCTGACAGTCCCACCAAAAGTCCCCAGTTTGTACATGCCCTTTTTGTGCCCTGATCCCTGCAGTCCTCGCTGCACATAGGGAAGAAGAGGGGCCAGGGTGTCCTAGACCTCTCATGTCCATGGTGGGCCGGTGCTTGCTCTGAGGAGGCAAGGCCACACGAGCAGGGTCAGCTTATGATGGCAGCCTTCCCCCAAGGCCATGCCCAGCCACCCAGCCCAGGTTGCTCACAGGGCACAAACAGCAAGCCCCCTGTGCAACGAAGCTGGAGAAACTGCTTTTGAAATCCTCTTCCACAAGCTCTAGGGTAGGGTTAATCATCCAGAGTGGCAGCATAGGAGCAAGCCCCCCTGAAATGTAGGAGATGGGGACAGAGGGGTCTGTGGTGTTGTCCTGCCTCAGACCCGGGGTGCTGCTGCCGCCCCAAAGCCACCCCTGCCCTGCCAGCCCTCTGGTGTATCTAAAACAGTGCTGGCTTCCTGCTTTTTGTTCTTCTGCAATAGGGGACAGGAAATATAAAGGGAATAATTACTGGAGGTAAACATCTTCATTTTTTTTCCTCTGTAAATTGACTGCCTGTGAACCTTGGGTGTGCTGAGATCTTCCAAAGCGCTGCACCCCGCTTTGTGAGTGAGCCTTGCGCTCCCTCTTCTGGCATGTGGACTGGGTGCTGCAGAGGGAGGAGGAAGAGTAGGGATGGTGGTGGTGGTGGCTGTCCTCTGCTCGCAGGTGCTAACAGCTGGGGCCCTGTTTGCCCTCAGCTGCTCTCGGCCCCACTGGCACCAGCCCAGCTCTCCCCAACCATCCTCACGCACCCTTTAATGGTGCACATCTTTAAAGACACATCTGCCTCCTTTAATGAAGAGAAATCCCTTGACCCTTCTGTGCCAGGACCCTCCTGTTTGGACCTCAGGAGGTGCAGACCCCAATGGGAGAGTGTCCTTTAATCAGAAACCCTGCACTGTAGGCTGCACTGGGGAAATGACCCTGACAGTGCTTGCTTGTGGCTTTGGGCACACCATAGCCATGCTGCAGCCTTCCAGTGGATGACAAGAGAAATAAAATAGTTGTTTCTATGCTTTTGTGGTTCTACGGTTTCTAGTTCATTCACGTACCTAATGGATTCAAGATATAATTGTTTCCCTTTGGCTTGGTGCAATACGCAGATACACCTGAGTTCCTCTAGCACTTTTTCTCGCTCCTCAGCAATCTTGTGTGAGCTCAGAGTTCACCATTGGCGCACGGGGATGGATTTGTCTGCTTGGTGAGTTGTGCTGGTGCCACATACACTCACCTGGGACATCCCAGATACCTGCACAGAGGTGGTAGGACCTATGGGAGACCTCTGCCCTGCTGGATGGGAAGTTCTGGATGCTGCTCTCGGGTTGTGTGGAACGTCTCACAGTGTAAGATTCAGCCCAAACCAATGCTACTGGCACTTTCACACATAGGTGCACAGTGCAACTATGTATGATAGGTACCTATAATATATCCAGAGATACTCACAGCTGCTTTAGGTCCTTACTTACAGTTGTCCACAGGTGCTAGTGGTCCAAATGTTTATTATGTCCAGAGAGGTCTAAGACATGATGCAGTTGCCTGCATCAAGAACACAAGTTCCCTGCAAGTCCTTCAGGTCCTAGAGCAACTGAAACATGCAAAAGTAGTTCTTGAACTAAAAGGTATATATATGAAATAGAAGCTCGACATTCAGAAATATAAAAAAAACTATTTTTCAGGGATCATTTTAGCAAATAGTTTATTTTGCTCAAAGCTTAAAATCAGTGATGGCTGAATTGAAACTTGTAACAGAGCCTTTCCTCTTGCACATCATCACAACATTGCTTTATTTGTTCTGATGATGATTTAGTCTCTGGGAATTCAAGAGGCTTGCTGATCATTTCCAATTGTTTAGGTCATTAAAAGGAGTAGGGGTAAGCCCTTAAACACCCAATATTTTATTTTATTTATTTATTTTCTTGTTCAAGTTGACTAAATAACTTGCTTGGGGGATGCTTCTTTGCCTCCACAGAGCCAACCCAGGGTGGTTTGCACACCCACCCAGCTGGGGACGGGAGACATAGCAGCTCAGCCAAGCCCAACAGACTGATAGCAGCATGGAGGGAAAACTGCATTTCTGAAAGTTGCTGCACCGATCGTGGCAGTAGGAGAAGGGGATGCTGGAGTGAAGCTAGACAGGCTTTGTGTCACTGCTATTAGTCAGGGTGTCTAAGTAGAGACAAGCTTCTGCAGGAAATCTATTTTAAAGACAGTGCTTTGAATGGAGTCACAGGAAAAAAAGAAAAGTTGAAAAGTAAGATTGCAGAGAGCTCATCCTCTGCTGCGACATCCTGCTGTCCTGATAAATGGAGCTCAAAGTGACCATTTTGTTCATTTTCCCTCTCCTATTGCTCATGTAAACAGACCTCTGACATGAACTCTGAACGTGCTCACATGAAAATATGCAGAAAAGTTGATTTTGCATGGTGGGGGAACTGGATAAAATAAAGGAAGACAAGGAAGTATTTGTAAGATGTTCCCATGTGGCTTCTTCCATGCCACAACCCAGGGAGAAGAGGTGCTGGGGTGGCACCACATCTCCAGCTGTCTCCTTGGCAGGTCCTGCATGCTGCATGTAGGCAAAGCAATGCATGTACAAAAAAATGTACATACACAAAAGATGTGTGACGCCTCAAAATCCATGGCCTTACTCTTGGGCGCACATCACATTAGTTAGAGTCTATTTAAAGCAAATTATAAGGTAAAAAATATATATATGTGTATACATGTCACAAGCATATGCATACACATACAAATATATGTTGTATAATATAGACATATAAACATAACCATAAATTCATATTTTTTCCTATCTGCCTGGTGCAGCCACTCCAGGGTCACAAACCTGCCCGTCTCATACCAGATGTACCTGTGAACTCAGGGGCATGTTGCCTTACACTATAAATAGGCCCAGCACGGGTCTATTTAATCCGTTAAGCAAAGGGCTGCTTAGTGATGAAGGCTGCAGTCTTGGCCTGTCTTCAGAAGTGCAGAACACTAATCTTCACTGTTTAAAGAGCTTTAAACAGTGGTGTCACCGAAACCGGGGGCCATGTGATGGGAAAGGTCTGTGTGGAAGGCAAGGGGGAGCTCACGCAAAAAGCCTCAGCTCCAGTGTGCCAGTGAAGATGGGCTTGCAGGGTGGGGAAACCTTCCTTCAGCCCATTCAGGCAAAAGTAGGGCTCTTTGCCTTTGAGTGCAGAATCCAGGCAGATTGTCGTGTCCTGCCTGGGTGCCAAACCCCTATCAGCAATCCTTTCTTTCTCGTTTTGCATCGTCCTGTCCATGCACATTGGACTGCAGTACCTGGGAGACTCTCAGAGTGACCCCGCTCCTCTGCCAGGTGAGCTGCAGACACCTGCACAAAGAACATTTCTGAGCTATGCACAACAGGGATTATACAGGATGATGCCGTAGAAACTCATTTAAATAAATCTTTCTTATATTATTAGCACTAGATTAACTAAACATCTCAAAAATCCCCTTTACTTCTGAATATTGGCTTATTTTTGGAGTTCATTTAACTTGGAGAATGAAAATCGGCTAGCTCTTTTGTAATGGGAATATCTAAGGATGTTCCCATTGCCACTTCGTTTCTCCTGGTGTCACATACATAGCGGAGAGGCACCCGTGCATGACTGAAAGCAGCAAATAGCTTCACCCCCCACACCCCACTTGTGCCTGCAGAACGGTGCTGCTTCCTTTGAGCTGCTGACTAGTTAAATTAAATCTGCTTACTGCTAACCCAAGAAAGAAAAAACTGTGGTCATTTCTGATCAGGTTCAAAGAAACGCATGTTTTGAGCTATTCATTCCTAAAACCAGCTCACCCAGTGGGGAACACGAAAGTTGACTTTACCAAAAAACGCCTCTTCACTGCCATTCCCTGCTACATAAGCAGTCGCTGTGTGTGTGCTGGGGCACGTTTGCCTCAGAGACAGCATCACGTTCCCTTGTCATCCAGACTGTGTCCCAAAAGACCACCCAGACCTGGGATGAGTCCGCTTGCATTGCTCTTCTTTGTCTTTAACCTTCAGGCAGAGTGTGTGCCTGCAGGCAAAAGCACTGCCAGGGTTTTATTTTCCATTAGTTGTGTTCGTCTAAATTCTCTGATTTACGTTTGCCTAAGGAGGAGCTTTTTGGTTGTTTTATTTCTTTAATCACCCTCGATGAACATGTTTTTGGCACACCTGGTGTCCCATGAACAGGCAGGTAAAGGCTGGAGAAGATACCCAGAGTAGTGGGGGGTCTGTGTGGCTGACAAGTTTGACCATCAGGCATTCACCCTGGCTCTCGCCTGGCTCTCCTTTATCACAGGGTGTGTCCTGCCCATTGCTGAATAAGCTGTTTCCAATCTGGTGAATCACCAAATCAGTGCATTTATGTGTGTGTACAGCAATAGTTTTATTGACTTCTTAAATCACGCAGGTAATGGGGAGCCTTCAGATAATGCAATGATAAACACTCCAGAAGCAAAATGCTGCAGTGCTGCGCAATTTCAGGGTGGGAGGGGAAGAACTGGGGTCTCTTATTTAGCAAGGGACATGTGCACAGAACCAATTGCAAATGGATATACACAGGGGTGTGTTATTCCCCCCTTTCTTTTAACGATGTGGGGTAGATAATGTGCAGCCAGGTAAATGTCAGGGGAGAAGTCGTGCAGCCTCTCTGCTCCCTGGGGATGCCCCATCCCACATCTCACTGCCCTCCTGATAACACACACGGGCTGTGTTACCACAAGTGGGTCTGCACGTCTCTCCTTCACGCTGCTCAGACATCGTCTCTGCAGTCCTGCAGCAGGAAAGAGATCAAGGAGAGAGGAGGCAGGGGCTGGGCATGCTGAAGGCGGTGTTGTGGGCTGGGGGCTCTGCTCTGCCCCCTTGTAGGCTCTGACCTTCTCCTGGGAAGTCCTCGGCTCTGTCCCTGTGCTGCACATTTCCAAGTGTGTTGGTGGGATTTATGTCATTCTGGTGAGTGGCAAATCCCCTGTGACATGCAGGTCTCTGTAAGAGAGGCTGAAGGACGAGGTTGGCCATCGGGGCTGTGGTGGCCCCAGGAAGGACGTGAGCTTGGTGTCATGGCCAGCTCTGGGGCCGCACATGGCCCCACTCCATACGGCAGGGGACTGGGATCTGCGGGGGGGTGGAGAAAGCAAAAGGCTTATGAGGTGAGAGGGAGGTCCTGAGAGGTAGAGAGGATCTAGGGGCATTGAGGTGGAGGTGCTATAAAAAGCAGGGATTACGGTGGTGGGGGTGGAGGTGGGGACTCAGCACCACTGAGGGGCAGGGATGGAAATCCTGGCTCCAGCCTCTCAGTGGAGAAGCAGGAGGATGAAGTGAAGAAAACAGATTATAAATAGGCCACCTGCTTTCCCTCCATGCAGCCTGTGTGGAAAAAAAAATAACAAACTTAATTGATTTTAGTTTTTCGACAGGAAAGCAAGGTATGGAAAGTATTGCTGACCATGAAGGTCTGTCAGTATAGCACAGCCCAGCAGTTTACAACTGAGGCTTGACAAGCAGGAAGCTTCAAAAGGGATGCAAGTTGTACATATTAACTGGTAAGGGTAATTATGCAGGGTTTGGGTTCATAACTGGACCCTTGAGGAGGAGCTACCTTACACTGCAGTGTGTTGTATGGCATGGGCACTATGGCTGGTGTGCATTGGCCTTCTGGGGTGGGTGAGCAGAGGTGGTAAGCAGAAAAGGCAAGCATAGATTTGCTTTTGGTGTCTTATTACTATTATAAGGCCATATTTAGCTTTATATGGTTTCCACAGGCAGAATTAAGTAATTGTGCCAAAATATTCAGTCTGTGAGGGTGAAGAAAATGCCCACAGTGAGGTGAAGTAAGATGTTTTCTGGAGAAGTTTAGCTTCCATTTTTCCACCAGCTTCAAGGGTTTCTTAAAATCAAGCTATCTCACAGCACGTGGCTGTAAGTGCCCAGCACTGGGTGCCTGCACTGAAATACATTTTGTGGCAGTTGTGTTTTGGCCTGAGGCCTGTAAGCTGTGATCCTGCCCCAGCCTGATGCTAGTAAAAGGGAAAGTTGCTAAAATTGTAAATAAACCTTTTTTTTTTTTTTTTCTGCTGTTGGTGAGTGACACAAAACATTTTGTAGGGAAAGGGGACATTTTAATTGTTATTGTTCAGTTACAGCTTCAGACTCAGCTGGGAATAGTCTAGCCAGGTAGTTTTAGATGTGGATGATAAGCTGCTCTACAGATCTCTCTGGATTAACAGCAGCTCCACAGTGACACCTTACAGCTATTTTGCTGTAGTCCTTCAATATTTAAAATATATCCTGTATGCCAAAGCAAGAGAAAGCCTAGGTCTCCTGGGTGTCCCAGCATGGCCACACAGCTTCACACGACCAGAGGAGACCTGAGCAAGGTGGGACATGCTGCCCACCCTGCTGATGTCTGGGGGTCCCCTCCTCTGCCAAGGCAGTGGCATCTCCCCCATCACCTCTCCTCAAGCTGGGACCATCGATGTCTTCTCATTAACCACTTCTGGTGGTCGAGGCACCAGCCAGTTTGGTATTTATTTGTCTTTTTTTATTATTTTCTAAATGGAGGCCACAGGCAAAATTTTGATGTATACTGCCATCTGCTGTGGGCTTAAAATCGTCCTGAGCATATTGCATCGGCTGCTGATGGCGGCGATGCTGCTGAGGATGTGGGTGCTCAAAGAAGTGACAGCATGACGCAGTGTGACATAGTTGTATAAAAAGGAGCTAGAGCCCCCATCCACTCGACCCTCTATGCAAAACGTGTGCTTTCAGGGTAAAGGGCTGATCACAGTGTACTCAGCTTACAAAGCTTGCAAAGCCCTGTGAACAACAGCAATGCCACCACACAGCAGTGGTAGAGATGCCATGATCTGCCTGTGACCTGTATATCGCCAGAGACATTGATGGATGATGCAGTGCCAAGGCTGGGTGGCCAAACTTCCAGTGGTGTTGGTAGCTAAAGGAGCTGACAGCAGGGCCAGCAGTGCCCAAGTCCCACCCTGCATGCAAGACCAAGGCCAAGCCTCAGGGCGCTGAAGCCATCTCATGGCTTCAAGTGATGCAGCTCCTTGCCAAGGCCCTTACTGCTCTGGTGCCCTAAGAGGACAGCTTGTTCTGGGGGAACACCTGAGGTAAAAGTGGCAGTGAGAGGTGGTCTGCAAAGATGGGTGGAAACTGGTTATTTGCAGAATAACCGTATCTATTTTAAAATAGGCCATATTTTATTGGGGGACCCTATCTATTTTAAAATGTACAGCTCAGAAAAGAAGGCCTCATCCCCACAATTGCCCTGGGCAGCCACTTCAACGTCATCCAGCAGGACCCACTCAAGCACATCCTTTCTCAGGAGATCCACAGCCTGCCCCAGCATCCCACCAACCTCTGCTGCACCAGCTTCAGCAGGGAACAGTCCTCAAACGGTAGGTGTGCAGGGTAGGATCCCACTTGCTGCAGCTAATTTCCATTCATTTAGGCCTCTGCTAAGGAATTAAAGCAGGTTTTGTCATTAATTGTTTTCCATATGTCCGCTGTGCTTCATATATTCATATTGCTCAGACTGGCAACTACCAAAGTGCTCTTTAGAAAAATGAATGAGGTTCAGAGTCAATTTTCTTTTAACCAGCAAAAATTGACATGACTGTTTTCTGCAATACCCAGAGCTATGTTTTTACTTCTCCCATGCCAAATTTTGAAGCAAAGCATTCAAAATCCTGCCTGGGTAACCAATGTCAATGCTGGGAACACAACCTTGCTGCCTTGCACTGGGACAGGAGCTGCACCAGTAAGAAAGCAAGTGGCAAAAGCAAGAAAATAAACTCAGAAGCCTCCACTCCTGTAAAATAAGTAAAAACAGAGATTAAAGGCAATGATCAAGTGTGCTCTTTCATCTGAGATAAGAAACACTTCCTTCTACCTTCCCTAAAGTTAAACAGCTGAAGTAAGCTCGTTTCTTACTGTGCTTTATGTAATCACAGCTTTCTGCACCCTACAGGTGTGATACTGCTTCTCACGGGGCTGTTTGTTGAAGAAAAGAAATTCCAGCTGTGTATCTTGAAATGCACTACATTCACGGAGATACTGGAGAACGTATCCTTCACCTTTCAGTGATCGACCTAAGCCTGTCACCACAACAGCAGGTTTTACAGTGCAGCACCTAGATGGTGGATGCTAAAGACCACCAACAATTGGATGATCCAGATCTGTTCTTTTTTGTAAGTGTAGTGTGCAATTTGTGTATTTGCATTTACAGCCTTATAAGAATCTCCACAATGAGAAAGCCCCTACAAGCCCAGCTCTGCTGCATACGTCCTTCTCTGTGCAGTGCTTGCTTCCTGGTGGAGGATGTGCTAGCATGTGAAAGCATGTAAAGTCTCAGAACGCTCTTTTGCTTACTCATATATTTGTTCTTAATTAATCTCTATATTTTTACCCTAATTGCCTTTTTACTTAGGCATCTCAAGTTAAAAATTAAAAAATTAAAAAAGAAAAAAAATTCCAAACTGGCCAAGAGATTTTATTTGTATGATGTTATCAGAGCATCTGGGGAAAAAAAAAAAAAAAAAAAAAAAAAGTGTATATTGAATAAAAATCCAATCTTATCAGCTTTATCTCAATTTCCAGACAATTCTCATGATGACAAGAACAGGTGATAGACAGAAAAATACTATTTTTCATGTGCTGGAAATTTCTTGGAAGTTATACACTGGATGAATTTTCTGAGAGTCTAATGCTTGTTGCTGATGGAAGTTTGCTCCACAGGTGATGCAACAGGCAGGTTGTATTTCTAAGGGATACTATGACTGTAATGTAATCCTTTCCCAGTGCATCTATTTTAACCAGTGATGGGAGCTCACAAGCTAGAAGCTGTTTCATCATCCTCTTTAATAATGTAGCAGATACATGTATACAGTCCTCTAGTATAAAGATCTTAAATATTTCCGAGGTGTTCACCATGAACCTCCTAATCAGAGTGAGTTAAATGAGAGCTGCCTTCTCCCCTACCTAGTTTGGCAGGCCTCTGTGCATACACATGCAGAGTAGCTAATTATTTTCATTGAAGAGGAAGAAGAAAATCCAAGGAAAAGGACAGGCATGGTCACCTGCCCTCATATCACCTCTTTGAAGTTCCTTTACCGTCTACCAGTTCATTCCAGCTGTAACACTGACTACCTGTAGAGACTCCTTGATACTACCTCTCTTTGAACCAAAGAGAGATAGCAATGGCCATCTCTGCACAAAACCCTTCCCACAGCAAATGTCCTAAGACCCCACATGTCTTCACATGGGTTAGTGCAAAGAAAATGCCAGTATTGTAGTTAAATTCATTTTTAAACCTCCAGCATGCTTATTAAAAGCATAAACAGGGGGAGGAAAATCCAGCTTTATAGAGTGAGACCCACGTTCTGCCTCTGCCTATGATGCCACAGCAATGGGAAAAACAAATCAGAAGAGAGATTTGCAGCTCTGAGAGCCTAGGCTAGGTCTGCCCATCAGTAATGGTCATTGACTTAGGGGATAACGTGGCTTCTTGTCTAGAAGACTCCAGCTTTCTGTGTTTTACATTGGACTTCTCTTAAATATAAAGGAGGCTTACAATGCATGCTTACTGTGCAGTCTTTTTATGGAAACAGAAGGAGTTCAAAAGGAATTTTCAGGGACGTTTTCAGAAACATTAAATTACTACACTGTGATCTGAGAGCAGTCCCCTCATCTCCAACTGCTGATAATACCAAAACATGAGCTATACTGGGGCTGTGAATGCGTTATGTCTATAAACAGTGAGCATTAAAACTCTTCCAAAAAAAAAGCTGTTAGCTACACAAGGGTTCAACATACTTCATTTTAATGCTGTCACAGTTCTGTCAAGTTGAAATTTCCCATTTTGTTCCAACTTTCGTATCAGTTTTACAATGATGCTTCCCTCTTCTTTCCAATATGCTGTTTCTGGAAGCGTTATTCACATTGCACTGCAGCTCCTTTTGCCATGGTGAAAGGTATCAGTGCAGTGACCCGTGAGACTGAAGTGAGCATCCACAGAACAACAGAGAGGTTGCCCATTCGTGATGGTTTGTCGTTCTCTCTCAATTTTCACCCCACGCTTTGCAGTCAGCATGCAGTTCTGATTTCACCAGTGCTTTCTTGCAGCGGTGATGGATGACATTTGTGATACAGATACGGAGTTAAAGGCAAATAGAACTGCCTCTAAAACCACATTTCAAGCATATCATCAGCATTTGATCAGATGATAAGATCAGTTTTGGCCGGTATTTAAAAGCTCTGACAACATTATCTGTTATTCAGCCTATCCAGCCCCTAGCACTCAATTCTACATTGATAACTTGCATCCCAGTTCTTTTTACAAAGAGCAAGTGCAAAATGATCAGACATTTTTCAAACTAACAAGAGGCTGTTGCATTAAAATGGCTTGTAAAGCAGGAAACCACAGCAGCACTTCAGATATTTTGTCCCCAAATTAAATACTTGCGTTGCTGCCATCAGTTCACCGGCACCACTGATGTCACTAGGGGGTACAAAGGGTGTGGGATCTCACTAGCTATGTCTGCAGAAAAAGGGAGAGAAAACAGGGAAGGCAACTAAGTATGAGTGCCTTAGTGAGCCGTACTCCATGATGTAAGCTTGGGAGCATTCAGTGGATATTGTACTGTGTGGTACACCATAAATAGAGCAATGACTTTGGCTTTACAGCCTGTCAAAAAGCAGGAAAGAAGTTTCACTTCTTTTTAGGACTGTTCAGTAATCTCAGATTTTTTCAGTACAGTTACCATCTATATATTGCTCATTTCCAAGCCATTTCCAGCAAGAGCATGCAATTTTTATGGATTTTGCTCACGTGATAAAATGCTAGAATCCAATGATTTTCTTTTTTCTAACAAAATTGAGTGTACTTGCTACGTGTGGGCCAAAATTTCCAGCTGCTCACTTCCTGTGTGCTTTATGTCTATAAAAAATCCCTGTGCAACACAGTATGGACCTTATACATGAATACTTTCAGGAAAAAAAAAAATCTTTTTGTAGTCTGGTTCTTGGAAGGGAAGTACCAAAATAGTAACAAGCAACCTGAAGTTCCTGTAGTCTTATACCCATGGTGCTTGCAAAACTTAATTGCAGCATTCTGGGTTATCAGTCTTAGCACTTCTTCTGTGTGAAATTAGGAGGTGACCGTAAATGCTTGTGTCCATCGTGCAGAATGAAACTGCCTCTTCCATTGAAAAGAAGATGAATGTGCAACAGTTTTCATTAAGTACAGTTACCAGTACCAAAAAGAAATGGTAAAAAGTAGTCCATGAAGGTACACAGCTCAGAACAGACATCCAGAAGAGTGCAGTAGGTCCTTCTGTGGGGCTGCATCTTGACATGGGTGTTCAGAAGCCCAGCAAGTCGCCACTCCCTTCAGGTCTGCAGCTCTTCTCTCTAGAAAACAAAACAAATTATGCAGCTATTCAAGCATACATGTTGCTGCCTGTTGAACCCTGGAAAGGAATGACATTTTTTACTGTACTACAGTCACCAAAGGCACCAGGGGGCTACTGGAGCCAGTTCTGCCTTAGGACTGGCAATGCTTGTTCTTCACAAAAATACACCAGCTCCTCAAAATAGACGTGGTCTAATTCCCATCATACAGCATTGTGAACCTGAGCGAATGCCATCAGCTTCTGTCACCACTTGGGTTCACTGACTGTCAGCATCACATGGGCTGAGACAGGAATAGACGATTCGTAAATAAATATGGCTATGGGGGAAGGAGGAGTATATTAGTAACTGTGCTAGACACTGCATGTGGGATAAGTGCATACAGGAAGCTAAGAAAGCTTTGAAGGGGTTTATTTTGTTTCCTCTTAGTTGTTCCATTGCTCGCTCTTCCTTTCTTCCTTTCTTCCTTTCTTCCTTTCTTTCTCTCTCTCTCTCTCTCTCTTTCTCTCTTTCTTCTCTTTCTCTTTTTCTCTTTTTTTCCTTTTTTCACATCTGGGCTGGGAACCTTTCACAGTATATCTCAGACAGTAATGTATGTAGGTCACTGGTACTCCCATTAGCACTATAAACTTTTTTGCTTCCTTCCCTAGTAGTTGATCTACTCAGAATGGAGGCAGGAGAAATTCTGCTCATAATATTGGAGAAACATCTTGTTAAATGACACCAACTAATTTTCACCACCTAGAGGAAAGCGATAAAAAACTTCCCTTTGCACTTAAGGGAAAAAGCCATTAGCAAAATATTATCATGCTCCTGAAAATCTGTGAGACATAAATGCTTTACTCAGTTTTTAAGCCAGGGAACAGAAGATCAGAAAACACAAATACCTCCTCTTTGATCATGCTCTGCATTAGATGACTGGCCCTGAAAAGTGAGTAATTATAAAGCCAATCTCCAGAAAGAAACCATTTAAGGGCAAGCTGATGACCAAATTCCTTATCTTGCAGTTTTGCATCCCTTAGATCAAAATGGATCACTTTCTCTTTGCTGAGTCTTAACTACAAGAGCTAATTTAGAGTGAAGAAAGGAGAAGAACTTCTGAAGAGATCAAATGAATCCCAATCCACAGTGAGCAATAGCAGTTAACAGCAGATCAGGACTGCCATTCCCTTGGTCCTGTTTTCAAAGGTATATTACCTTTACTTTCTTTTGGTTTCTTTCATTGTATTAAAAAGTGTCTGTGCTTCTGTGGTACAACTGAAAGTCCTTTTCAGGGGGGATAAATAAATGTTTAATCTGAAGGATGTCTTTGTGAAAAATTGTAACGTTAACCTCTAGCTAAACAAAGATTCAGCTGTATTTTTTTTCCCTTGACTACTTCATTAGATGTGACATTTTCATACAAAATTCTTGCACTTCTCTTGCATGTGCAAAATATCAGCCATTTCTAGAACCTATGGTTTGATGTGGGGGAACACAGTGCCAAAGATACGGGGAGGAACAGGGGTGGGAGTGACATGAGAAATAAAAAAATATATAAAGAGTACCAGAGCTCTTAAAGCTTTGGGCATATTATCTTGTCTTCTCTAGCTTTGTTGTGTGGCAGATGTGCATGTGATAGCGTAAACCTTTGTGTGTAATATAGGCTGTGAAAACGGCGTGTGTCATACAGTATATAGACAGAGGACTCAACTGAAACTGTGCTTGTAATCTCACGGTGGGAATTTCCTTGTCTGTGAGTGCTTGACATTAGCACTTCAGTTTGAGGAGGAAGTCTAACCTATTTCACATACGAGATGAGGGCAGGAGTGATTCCAGCATGTGGCAGCATGGCAGCACAGCTGGGGCTGAGGGCTGTGCTGCTGCTGCTGCTGGCATAGCCCCAGTGCTGTTCATTCATTCATTCATTCATGCATTCATTCATTCACTCCTTCATTCCAGCAAATTGGGTGCTGGAATAGCAGTGCTGGATCCTCTGCCTGTGAGGACCAGGGTGGAGGAGGATGGGACCACTTTAATTGGTGATTAGGGTGGTTTTGTCTTGATGGTAGAATAAAATTTAAGAGCCTGTGCATAGGTGCATACCTGTAAGATGTGAATCACCTGGGGCAGGTGAAGATGGCTGTAATGTCCCCCCACTTCCTTCCCTCTGCTCTCCTCTCCTTCCAGCCAACACCCTTCCCCACTCTCCAGTTTATTTCTCCCCCCTCAGCTTCCACAGGACAAATTTGCTCTCAGATCACACATGGCCCTACAGCACCGGTCAGCTATGACCAATAGGAGCTGAACCCTGCATGGCACACATGGAGCAAAGCTACAGCTAGAGATGGAGACAGGGCAAAACCACACCTCCATCTGCTCGTGTATCCAGTCCAGGAAGGAGGTGGTTCGGCTGTAGACGCCTGGCTTGTTCTCTTCTGCACAGCCCACTCCAAAGCTGGTGGTCCCCACCAACTTCCAGATGCTCATATCTTCGCACGCTAAAGGGCCCCCACTATCTCCCTGGAGGACAAAGAATTAAAACAAATGTCAGTGCCCCAGAAAAGGATGGGAATATCTGTTTGGCAGGGTGAGGGGAGAGGCATAGTCCAGTAACTCAAAGTTTCCTGTTTCCATTCTGCTCTGGGTCCTAGGATAAGCATATGTTACAGCAGAAATTGGCGACCTTTTAGGGGCACTGTTAGATCCTATTTTTCTTTCCCCAGCTAGGATACAGTACAACAGAAACAACATCCAAGCCACCACAACAACAGAAATTAAAAAGGGAATTCAGAAAGAGCCAAAGAGTAGGACCATACACTGAGCATGCTGCCTTTGGGCAGGTCTGCGGGCAACAGCAATGTTCTGGTATTGGGTACCTTGCTGGGGAAGTTGTGCAAGCAGGTGTTTCAATGACAACCAGTGCACCTCATGCCTTGGTTTCATCTCATTCCTCATGTAATTGTGACTAGGTAACTCTGGGAACATGAAGTGCCCCACAGACCTTCCCCTTCATCCACAATTAGCTTGGTGATCCTGCATTACTGTGAGTAGGCATGAGTTATTGACAAGCCTCTGAGTTACTCAAACCCTTTCTTCTTCCCCCTGCCTCTACTTTTTCTAAAGTTGCACACTTTGCTTCTCTTCTGATAAATGTTTTGGCTGCTTTTCACCACAGGGTTTCTGAACCTTGCAGTTCTCCGGAGCTGTTCCCAGTGCAATTCTGTGCAGCACTGAGGCCATAGCCAGGGCAAAGAAAGGATGGTACCACACTGTAGCACATACAAGGAATTAAAAAATATCTTAAGTAAATTTGGCTTCAGAAGTAGCCGATATGGTCCACAGAAGAAATATAAGAAGGGAATTGTAGCATATGAATGTGTGCACAGTCAGTGCTATATATTCATGGTGAATGGAGTAAATGGCACAAGAACAAATGTTTGCCCAAGAAAAGCCTGGGAGTGCCTTCTGATAGCTTATCACCCATGTTTTTCCATCGTTGCTGTTAATGAGCACACTTGCAGTTTGGAAACTTTCATACCTGGCAGGTATCTACCCCTCCCTTTAGGAAACCGGCACAAAGCATTGACGGAGTTATGATCCCACCGTAGACATCCCTGTGATTGCAAATTGCGTTAGAAATCAAGGGAACACCTGCATAATTCATTGTGTCGGATGTATCACCTGTTCAAAAACAGAACAAAACCAAAAGCAAACAAGCGAGAGCTCTATCTTTGAAAGTAATCTCTAATTATACACAGAAGGTGTTTTAGTATGTGAAGAACTGGCAGGCAAGGATGAAAGAAATGCAGTTAAAATGACAACATACAAGTAAGGCAACCAGATGTCTCATCACTTACAAATTCCAGTAACTAACGACTGCATAGAGCTGGAAATTATCACAGTATGTAATAAAAAACTGCAAGCCATATGCTTCTGCCTCAAACTAAATAAGCAATGACAATAGTGATCTTAAAAGCTAGATGGGCACTCTCTTCTATTACCAGTGCATAAATTCGACATCTGCAAATATCTGATTTATTTTGTAAGTATTCACGAGAGTCTGAATGACTTCTTCCAATTTAGAACCTTTTTATGCTGTAAACCTTGCTTTCTGTTTTCTCCCACCTTTTGCTATTATCTGTAGGTCAGGTAATATTGTTTTGTTCTCTGAACAACGGGAACATTTTAAATGAGACAAATGAAGAATGAATAGAAAATAATGACCTGAGCATTCAAGCACTTTCAACTGAAAGTGGTTCAATATTTATTATTGACTAACATGACCCGTGAGTCATGCTAAAAATAAAAAAAAAAAATCCCTTTTTGTTGTAACATGATTCACAAATCCAATTTCTTTATCATCCAACCTGCCTGAAAATACATACATGCTTTCACTGGAAAAAAAATGAATGTTTGATTCTTGCCTTCATGCTCCGCTTTCAATGCTTGAAGTTATAAACAACACAGCTGGTTTGATTGAGGTCTCAGTACAACACTCCGGATGGTGCTGCTGTCTATTTGTGGTTTTCATCCTTTTCATAGAGCATGCCCATCCATTCCTTGCGATAAGGGTTTGTACAGCACTTTTACCTCATCTGCCCCCACGTAAAAGAATGAATTCCCATTCTAGGATGACCATAAAATTTAGGAACGTCATCTTCCCCCCCCCCCCCCCCAATATTCCACAAAATTGAATGTTGAACAAGGCTCCAGCCAAATCCTCTATTTACTGTATGTGAGATGTTTTAATGTACTGAAATTAACAGCAGACATTTAAAATACCTCCTTCAACAGTTGCTCCCCATCCTGACACCCAACACATTTTCCCTTCTGGGAACTGTTCACCAAAATTAGGCAGACAAATTGGCTCTATGTGACCTATTTAAAAATAGAGAGAGAGAAGACAGAACAGCTTTTAAAATTTAGTAAAAGTTACATGACTGAGTAAAACTTTCAGGGTTTGTCTTGCCACGAACTTGCTATGAAAACCATCCAGTCCCCACATAAAATAGCTTGGCAGTCCTGTAAGTTTTCTGCCTTGTGGCCAAAGTTTGAAACAATACCTACGCCAGGCCTCATTTATTTCAAGTAGGAAGTAATAAAGAAGGTGTTGGGATGTCAGTAAAATGATGAATGAGCAAACAAGAAATACACCTTGTAATCAGTTGACAGGCACAACGGAGCCCCCATGGCATGCTGCTATGGCAGCAAAAGGTCCCTCGTGTGGTGGTACGGCACCAAAGGGAGGGAAGATATGACATTATAGTGGGTAATTCCTAGCAGTTCAGTTCTCCAGATTGCAATGGTCCCAGCTTCAAGCATCAAGCCCCCACGGTGGAGCCTCCCTGGCTGCCCCTAGCCCCCAGCTCAGGTGCAGAGACTTTGCTGTTCTTGGCAGCCTCACAAACTTGACCCTGAGCAAAATTAAACAGCAGTAGCTGAGATGTGAAATAGAATAAATCCAAGCTGAATTTTCATTTAAACTGGATGTTAGAAAGATTTCAAGAGTATTGATTAAGGAATGGACAATCTAGATGTGTCAGAGAGAGCCAGCCTCCCCTTGGTCTTGGTAGGTGATCATTTACATTCACACAATATTATTATTTATAATTTCCATTCACGAGCTGTGTCAGCTATAGGTGGCACTCTGCTGAGTGGTTTTAATTTAAATACATAATTATGTATGAATTGTTTTGACTTCTCTTTGAAATTTAAGTTTGATTTTCTGCTCTGGGTACTGCTGGACCTCCCTGTGCTCACAGGAATAGGGACAGCAAAGACATAAAAATCTCCGTGACGTCCAAAAAAAATGAGGTGGGGCATTTGTTTTAGATAGGCAAAATAATTTAGAAAGACTAAAGTTAATGTTTGCCCATTATTAAATGCCTTCAGCAAGCCAATACCAGAATGGATTGGAAATTTTCTGCAGCACTTGTGATCACGTTCTCCTTCTCTGTGCCTGGAAATGGAGCACAGAGGAGTTCCTGATGCTGGGGTCAGAGAGGGCTTTCTGCTGCCACGTGAGGCCAGCACCTGCTGGGGCAGATGAGACTTGTCCCATGGCTGGTGACATGGGACCACTGGGGACATGGCCATGTCGTTTCAACAGGGATCCCTGCCTTGCCATCACAGCAGCACTCTCAGTACCTCTTTGCTGCTCTTCTCTCATTGCATTAAGAGGATGCACCCAGCTGGCCTGGGTCAGACCTAAGGAATTTCCTTTTCTCTGCTAGGAAAGATCCTGCCCACTCTTAGCTAGAGAGGTGAGAAAGTCAAGTGGGAGCTCGCAGAAAGAGTTACCGTTGAGAACAAGCGGTGCTGCCAGTTTCATCAGTGCTATATCATTTCCCATTGTCTTGGGTTTATAATTTCGATGGTAGATAATTTTTTCCACTGAATATGGGTGAACCTGGGTGTCCTGCTGAGTCACAAAACCAACTTGCACGCTCCATGAGCTCGGCAAGTACAGGCTGAAACAAAGAGGTAAGAGAGGGTGAGAAACCTTCAAGAAAACTCTCATTTTTTCTGCGTGTCTCCTGAGATTACAAACCACATCAATCTCTGCAGGCAAATAACTACAGTCCACTGCACTGGCTTACTGATCTACTAATATTGGCTACGTTTTGCATCTAATTTCAAAAACACAGAAAAGGTGGCTAATATTAGCATCACACTGGCTTACTGACATGTTGTCTGTGCAACTTCTTACAAATACATGAGAGCTTTGCATTGGTATACCTTGAAGAAAACCGTCTGTCTTTCTATGTCACCCCACAGCTGCTGATGGTACAGCCTGGGATGCCTCTGCTCAACCATTAGGCAAACTGAATTGGCACTCATGGCAAGGTATTTTCAAGGCAGAGCCTTTCCTTCTCAAAGGTGCCTCTGTCCCCAGCTCACGAGCAGCCCCATCGTTCAGCTGCCAGCACATGAGTAGCTCCTCTCCTCTTGGCTTCACCCCACCACTCTATCTGTAGGCGAGTGGTGGTGCCAGGAAAAGTCCCCAGGAACATGGCTGTGTTGCCAGCTCCCATCTCCATCAGCCTTTGAACACATCACAGCCAACTGGGTTGTAGGGGACAAAGCTGGGGACAAAAGTCCTAAAACGCTTAACACCTAAGTAATTATTTTCATGGCAGCATAGGGCTCTAAACAGAACCTAGGAGTGGGATTTGTCTGTCCTGTATCCGCTCTCCACTGGATATAAAAGCACCCCAGAGGACTTGCTTGGAAGAGGGCATCCATGCTAAGGGCACTTAGAACTGGTCAGATGAATCCCATTTTAGTTGCCTAAATGGCTTTGGTGACAGTGCTCTGGGGCTTGTAAGAACTAGAAGAGCTCACCTGCATCACAGGCAGCAAGCAAGACTGCAAAACCAGACAATAGCCCTCATGATAAGTAAGAGAGGACCATGTGTATTACTACACAACAAAGGGTCTAAACAATTGTTTAGCATCTATTTACAGCTCAAAGACTATCTGAAAGTAGTCTTTCAAAGAATATGTGGTAAGGGGTATTAAGCACACTATAGCTCTTAACTACAGCTGATTGATCCTGTCAAACTGAAAAGAGTCTCGTGATTTAGTTTGGATCTTCTGAGTACCAGAGCAGGCAAGTACAAGTTTCTCCTGAGCTATTAATTCACATGCAGCGTAGAAGAGTTGCTGATCTAGATTCCTAAAATATGATTTTTATATGTTTTTTAAGTAGTTTTCTGAGGCAGCTGGGAGTGTCCAGAATATTTGAAAACTGGGCCCTTTTATTTGGATCACTTTTTGGTGAGAATCTCTTTTCATAAAGATTTGCACTAGTGCAAGAAAAAAGAGAGATGGCTTAAATCTTGTGGATAACCCAATCTCTCCTGCAGTTTGTTGGTTTTTTTTTATGAAGATAAAGCACAGTGCATGAGCCCTTTTCTGTAGTGACCCCAGTGATGTACTGCAAGTAGGGTCAGTGGGACACCATGATTCAGGGACTTACTCGTAGACGCAGTGGGCGGCTGTGACGATCCAGCGAGGGGTGATGACGGACCCTCCGCAGAGGTGGTGCCCAGTGAAACTGCAGGCTGACCTGCCAGGGCCACTGACGGGGGGAGGATGCGTTTCCTCCCACAATTCGTGGCCCGTAGCTGGCCCGTGTCCCACATGCTGCCAGAAAGCAAAGGTTATGGTTTACGGGGTAAACACAGACACATATTTTTTTGTCACCTTGAGCCTTCCTCCTCCCAGTTCTCCCAAGACCAGGTGGTCTTTGCAGCAGGACCATCCTCAGGCCCATCTCCATCCCCATCCCCTACCCTACGGCCCACGTCTTGGTCTGGGGCTGTCCCAGAGGTTTCATCTCCACCCTCCTGTTCCTGCAGCACTGTGCCTGGCAGCTGATACGGGACTATGGAGTTCACATCTTCTCTCCTGCAGACATAGTGCTCGGCTGAGCCATGAAGCCCACTGCTCTGCCCACGAAATGTATAGGTGCCCAGGAACCCACATAAGCAGGCTGAAGCCTCTCATCTCCCTTGGTGATTTTTTTGCTGCTGTTTTTTTGACTTTTCATATCGTAATTTGGGGCAGGGGGGGGTTGGAAAAGAGTTGGAATTGTGGTATCAGCCCACTGACCTGAACTCACAATCCTTAAATGTCTGCTTCCTAGTCTGATTCTCACCAAAATGCTCCTACTGCCTAATACTCCAAATCTGCCCTGCCAGCTTATTCAGCTTCCTGAAATTCTTTGAAACGTTATGTAAGAAATTCAATATTTTCTTGGGTGTGAAAAACTGATGGTGTTCGCCTTTGTATACAATTCTTCCCACCTCTTGCCCTGCAGTAGATGAAGAAGGACAGATTTATTTTCTTATTTTCACTTTTGCTGATACTTACCCAAACATTTTAAGATGATTACATTGCCAGAAGTACATTCCTCTCTAAGATGAAGACACAGTGCAGTATTAGTTTCAGTTAAAGAATACCATTTTTTCCTATACAGTTCTGTGCACTTAAATATACGTAACCCATATATTAAGAGAGACACAAGGTCATATACTCATCCAATCTACATGTACTTAAGACATTTAGCTGGAGTAAGGTAGGAGCTTAGACACCATTGGGAGTCTGCAGATTATATTCTGTCCTGCTGAAGAGTGGTTCACCCTTCTGTGAGGCGAGGCTCATCAGAATGTGATCTGTAGTCTCCTTGGATCCATAGTTTGCTTCTCAGAGAAAACTAGCTAAGAAAAGCAAGCAGCTGTCAAGATAAAGAAATGCACCATAAAGGGTTCATATGCCCACTGGGAAATATCTAGGAATCTGTAAACTGAAAGAAACTGCTCTACTGTAGAGAAAGATAAGTGCCTGGTGTCTATCCATTTGCTGTAAAGGAATGATGGGACAAATAGGCTTTCCAAATAGAGCATTATAAAGCCTGTGTTTGAATGTAATGGGCCTTGGATTGGATTTTTAATTAGTATTCCAACTAAACTGCTACTGAACCGTGGTCTATGATGCCTGACATCACAAATCATAGCACCACAGTATCAGAGAATATCCTGAGTTGGAACGGACCCACAAGGATCATTGAGTCCAACTCCTGGCTCCACCCAGAACCACCCAAAAATCAGCCCCTATGTCTGAAAGCATTGTCCAAACATTTCTTGAACTCCATCAGGCTCAGTGCCATGACCACTGTCCTGGGGAGCCTGTCCCAGTGCCTGACCACCCTCTGGGTGCAGAACCTTTCCCTAACACCCAGCCTGAACTGCCTCTGTCACAGTTTAATTTATGAAGGACTGCATGCCAGAAAAAATAGGCAACAATCTCAAACTATTAGTAGTTCTCTTTCTATTAATTACTCTCTTCCTGTCATTACAGAAACAGCCTGGTTTTCTGCCATTCAACCAAGAAGATGAAGTGTACCTCAGGTTTGTTGCGTTGTGCAGGGACGTCACTTGATCAGCTGATAACCAGTGGCTGAGGGATACAAAATGTCTTTGAAACTGTTTTTCGACTGCAGTCACCGGCAGGTAACCTGAACTCACATAACTGCAAATAAACCATAAACACAGCTCCGTCAGACAGACTTTCAGTAATCCTTCTGAATAATTCAACACTTCTTCTAGTGAAAATCCAGCTCAGCAACCACAGTGACCGGATTCTGACACTTGGTAAAGCAATCCTACCCTCTCCAAGAAGCCCTTTCTGTAACGTGTGTGTACTATTGACGTAATCAGGTGCGGAAGTCACACATAACGAGAGGCATTGAACTGATAGAGAGGGTAAATTTTAATTCTAATATTGTGGTAAAGTTCTTGTTGTAACTGCTTGGCACATTTCCTGAAACACTGCATATTGTCTCCTTTTCCTAGAGTTATATTTTGCAGGAGGAAGGATGACTTTTTCTTGTCTGTTGCACTGAGCAATTGAGATGTACCTTATCACAAAGGCAAAAAGAACATAGAATCATAGAATCATAGAATATCCTGAGTTGGAAGGGACCCTTAAGGATCATCAAGTCCAACTCTTGACACCGCACAGGTCTACCCAAAAGTTCATATTCAAAGAAGCTTTATATTGCAAATATAATATGCAGAAATCAATGTGACACCACCACAACGCAACTCACAGCTCCAAACTCTTTCTCAGTTGTGTGAAAATTTTTGAAAGAAATGGTGCTTTTTTCCAGGAATCAGGTCAGACCATTAAAAACTATTCAGTGATTCTGTGATAAGTGCCTCATCAGGTTCTTCCCTAGCGCAAGGTGGACCTAGCTTGGGCCTCAGTAAGGAAGTGGAAAGCATTTCCTAGCAGATTTAATGACACCAATTCTAAATGCAATTTTTCTGCTGAGGAAGTGAAAGAAATGGAAAATGCTCATACATCGTTCAGTGCTTTTCCAACAGGTTGTAGTTAATAGACAGACGGGTAGGATTCAGGTACCTGCAGCCCATAGAGCAGATTTAACCAGATCATTGCAGTTAGCTGTCATCCAGGATTTATAGGAGTAAATGAGGAGTAAATGTCATTTTTGATGCACAAATATTCAGGACTATTTCCATATCAACCCAAACCTCCTCAAACATAACCAACTAACCCAACCTCCTCAACTACGTTGTTGAATACTCAACTATTCACAAAGGCGGATTGTTAAGTCACTTTTTCTTTTATAGCCCAGACCAACACAAGGTTTCATTAGAAAGACTGCAAACCTCAGAGTTTGTTCAGAATGTCACGTAAAGTTTCTTCTGTTTTACATTCATACCTTGAGAAACCCAGGTGTTTGCAGGTAGTATTTCCATACTCTGCTTTCCAGTCATCCGAGCAGACGGTTCGCCAGGATCCAGAGGTGAACACCTGTAGCACTGCTCTCTTGCCACTCAGCCTGACTTTGAGATGCAGAGGAAGAAAACCTTGAGTGAGCTGCAGAGGATTACCACTGGGTACACAACATGTACACAGCCGTGCAATGCACCACTGTGGCATCCACATTTCTTGGTTCATGCAGTTTTTACTACTTGTTCTTTTTATCACTTGGATCCTTCGATGGAATTTTCCTATGTTTTCTTTTTTTTAAAACAACAGCCCCTAGGCTCCCATGGAGGTTTCTGCACTCTTCCCACTGCTGCAATGGGGCTGGCACATCTGAGCTGATGGGCAGGTAGGGGCTGGGGAGAGCTGGGGAGATGCTCAATATGGCAGTAGCAGTGTTCAGCAACCATCACATTTATCCTAGGAGCAGTCTGATTTCTCATAAGCTGTCAATCAATACCCCAAAGAGATCATTCCCCTTAAGTCCTGATCTAGATAATCCATCAGTCTCTATCTTCCTCTGTCTCACTGAAATTCTTTACAACACATATCTCTAAATAATATGCCAAACGCTTCAGGAGGAGGTAGGAGGGATTTATAACCAAATCTGAATTACCACATCCGTACTCATCCTCTCCTTCTTTACAGTTGAAGACACCATTGCACCTGGCTGACTTCTGGATACACTTAAAAGATGACCGGCAGCGAAACTTCCCAATGCAGTTGTATTGGACTAGCAAGAATGAAAGAAAACAAGGTGATGAAAACACACTTGGATATTAATTTAGCACTTCTGGCTTTCATTATCAGTCCATATTTCTGTCTTGCTGAGGAAAAGGCAGCTCCTGTTCTCTAGGAACTTCTGAAATACAACCTGAACATTGACAGTGCTGCTAAACTCATCCATTAGTGATGAAATGCTGGATGAATAGGCCTTGCTGTCTATGCTGGCTCCTTCACAGCTGCCTTAACCCAGTTTACATTCCACTCCAGGGTATGTTTCTGTGTGCCTTGGCTCCTCACCAGCAAAGCAAGAAGACCCTCGCTCATCCCAGCTGCAGATGTGAAGGCACCGCTCTGACACCTACATATTTGGCACCAGCCCGTGGGCAGGTCACACTTTCCAGCCACAACTGAGCTCATCCTGTTCTCTTTCCTTCATTGAGGTTGTTTGTTGTAGGGGAAAGTTTGGTAATTCTTTGAAACCAAACTTAAAGAAAGTGATTTACAGGACGAAACTATGCACATTACATTAAATTGGTTTCTCAATTCTTAGGTCACCACCCAAGACAAATCAGTGAAATTTGACTGAAGAAAGATTTCTTAGGGCTGCAGGTTCCCTTATGTCCTAAATATTACACCAACCCTCTCATGAATGGTAGATCTATTTTACTCATACATGTAAATAAAATTTAAAGCCATCAAAACAACAAGATTTTTTACTTCAGTAAGCATGCCACGGTTGCAGTTTAATTCAATTCTAAGTAGAAGGCTCATGAAAAATTAAGAATTTGAATGGTTAATCGAGAACTTAATGAATAACTAATTGTACTCACCACCCAGGCCAATGGCAACTGCTAGGATTACTAGAAGGGATGTAACACAGACATATGGAAGGTATTTTGGGGAGATTAAAACATGGCACATCGAAGGTGGTTCGATATCTCCTAGAAACCAAGCAGAGACAACAGATTCTGTGACGTTAAAACAGCTTGAGTTTGCAGTGAAGATTTATCTAACATTCAACTAGATGAAGCTGTAACTGCCCCATTGCCCTTTGTGATTTGAATCACACCCGTACAGAGCTTGATTGCTCTGTCCTCAATGCCACCAAGAGCGTGAGCTCTCAGTTTTGGTTATCATGAGTTACATCACACTGAGAGCCTTAAAAGTATGCAAACACCTCTCTTGAAAACATGAAACCCTGAAGAAAAATGAAATTCTGACCTGCTTTGTTTGTGTAATCAAACCTGTGCGCACGGTACTGATATACTTGCTGAAGAATTCAGAACACTCAAATGGGCTAATAAACTCTTTAAGTGGAAATAGCAAAGGATGAACTGGTTTGATGAGGATGAAAGGATGAACTCTCCTTGTTATGACCTTTCCTGTGTGTGACATCTGATTCTTGCCTGTACCAAGTCGTGGTCCTGGTGCTCCCTCCAGCCACAGCCCCTTTCAGATGCTGCTCTGACCACTCCGTACTACCTCATGCACCAGCTTTGTTCCTCCAGAGTCCTAAAGATTCAAACATGAGCAGGCATACTGGAAAGAAGACAGGACTAGCTAATAAATAGTATTCAAGACAGGAAGGAAGAAAGTTGCTTTTGTACTTTGAAGCAAGGTTAATTGAAAATGGTAGGAAAAAAAAATAGTTGCAAAAATAGGACCTCCAAATTATAAGATAGCTTGAAAAATGTGGGAAAAGGTGATCTGGCCAAGGTTTTTCTATAATGAAAAGGAGAGAACTAAGTAATGGCTCAAGGCTGAGATTGAGTTTTCAGGAAAAAATATGCATCTAAAGTTAAAATAGGCACCAACAGTAATTGCCGAATACATCTCATGAGCAGGTCCTGCTCGCTGTTCACCTCCATAATTGACCTCAACTTAGCAGCATTGTGAATCAGGAAGAGAACAGATTCCAATGAAAATAATGAAAGGTTCACTTGTGTGTAATGTATTCTGATATTCAAAGTGCAAACTATGGGAAAATAGCACACACAGCTCTCTCATCTGTACACACAAGTACACAAAAGAGCTGGCAGAACCTTTTCTTCAATTTTAATTCATGCAGCTCTTCACCCACTTATTCTTCAAGCTTTGAGTCTGAGATAAGCAGAAACTTAAAATCAGTCAAGGATGACGAGTGTCTCCCAGTGGTTATAGAATCGCAAGTAAATCCCAGCCTACCCAGCCCCTCCCAGCAGCAGCTGAGTAGCTGTTTTTGACAATGGAGTTGGTGTCTAGTATGACAAAAATTTTAGACAATTGTATTAGCTATGTACTGTAAAATTAAATTGCTTCATCTTCACCCTTGATGCTCATCCTGTCCTCTGTTAAGGTTACTGGGTATTTTTGCTGTGAAACCTATGGGAAGTAGCAAACACTGGTGTTATTCCTCCAAGGCCAATACATTGTATATTCGGGTTTTGTAATGGTCTTGATTTCCAAGTTGAGAAAATTTCAAATAATCCACTGAAAATCATGTCAGAAAAGTGTGGGCAAATATTTGCTATGTGGCTGAAGCGTTTGAATAATCTGGCTGCGAAAAACACTTGTGCATGCAAGCAGACACAAGATGTCATCACCTGCTAATACGGTGGCAAATCTCACAGCTGGGGGTGTGAGGTTGTGTTTCTTCCTCTAAGTAATTGCTTTCTCTGAATGAGTGTGCAAGCGTAGTTTTGCAAGGCTACAGTAGCTGTTCAGATTACAAAGGTCACAAAGCTATGCCATGTCCTTACCAGATCCATCTGCACTGGGGTCAACTCTCACTTGTATGCTGAAAAATCTTTTGAAGGAAAAGTGAATTTCTGGTACTGGAGGTTCATCTTCTGCAACAGAGATGATTTCAAGACTTCCAGTAGTGGGATTTGTCTCTTGTGCCTGGATCAACAGGAGAAAAAAAGAAAAAAAAGACAATTTTTAAGCAATTTTTTTCTATCACCCTAAAAAATTTGATGGCCTCCTCATTATAAGAAGGAACATTTAGTTTTTTTTCATGCTTTCTTTGTTAATTTTTTAATGTAATGCAAATACAAAGTGAATCCAGGGAGACACTTTCAAGAATGCTGTTTTTGCCCAAAATAAATCACTTCATAAAATTTTATGTACTTCATGAGAGAAGCTCTTATAATTAATTAACCAGCAAACCACTGAATTTAAATTATTTTCAAGTTCATCTAAGCACTGTAGCTAATTTAAATAACTTATACTGGAGATGTCTTCCCTTAAATTTCAATCTATTCCCTGTGAGGTGCTCCTTAATCGTAATCAGGAACAAGAGAAAGATGGAAAAGCACATGACACCTGTACAGCACCTGGCAGCAACCTCATGCATGGGCCCATTGAATTTTACCCGAGAAAACATTTGATCACCTACTACACACTGGAAAATGATTAAAATGGGCTGCACAAGTACTTAGGGTAAATAGCTTTGAAATTCTGATTTCTGGCTCTAGTTCTGAGCACTATCAGTGAGAAAATGCTTTTGAAGTCACAGTGGTGTGAAATAGGTCCAGGCTTGTTAAAGACAGTGGAGTTGGTAAGCTGTAAAAGCACTACAGGTGCTTTCAAGGTCAGTCCTAGAAAATGTTTACAGTGACATATTTTAGTCAAAGTATATGCATTTGGTTGGTGACACAAATCTTTAATCACCTGAAATGTCTTTTCACCTTTCAGCAAACCGCTGCAATAAGGTTTCTACGCTTTCATTTGATACATTTCAATGTACATTTCAAGGGACATAAATTAAGTTTTACATGTAAACCATTAGCTTTAAGGCAGAGAAAAGGACAGCTTGCTGTGCATGATTTTTAAATATTTAAAAACCTTGTCACTGGTGCATAAGTTGTTCATCTGGAAGTAGAGCAACATTGAGAAGTACACTACATGAGAGCAAAACACAGATGTGTCACTTATTTAGAGGACATCACAGCCCTCCCAAAGCTTCACTCACCTCTTCCTGAGAAGCCATAGTTTAAAGCAAAACTGTTTTCTCTCTTCATTATCAAAAGAAGCCGAAAGGAAGTCCCACAGCTTGCTAAGCCAGTCTCCTCTGGAAAGGTTTCCCCCAGGCTGCCCATTCAGTCACTGATCAGATGCAGCATTGTAGAGGCAGCCTGTGAAACCCAACCTGGGGATGGGTATCAGGTAGCCCTGGATGGCACAGGCTATGGAAAGGGGGTGATAAAAATTCAGCATGTGTTTTAATCAGTGAAAGAGCGTAAGGTAATATTGCAGTATTTGCGAACCTTGCTGTAACCTCCCAAGCAAAGAAACACCACAGAAGTTAAACCACACCGGCTTGGGCTTGATCATCTTTTATCAGAAATCGTGCAGCTGAGGAGTCTGTCCCGCAGCCCTGAGTGGCAGGAGGCAGAAGCATCAGGTGCTTCTTCTCATCCACAAACAAGGTCCTTGGGCAGATGCTGCTCCTCTTTCACTTCTTTTACCTTTTTTTTTTTTTTTTTTTTTTTTTTTGGTGCACTCATGGCAAAGAGCACATTTTAAGAGGGGTTAACTAAATATTGTACAATGTTTTGGAAGTACTTTGCTAGCTGTAACTCATTCCTAAAAACGGTGTGCCTGTACTGATACTGTTATATCAACCTGTAGTCCAAGATTTAGAAAATGAAAATGTATGTTCAGATTCACAAAATACCCAAGAGAAGTCCAAATATGGCTTGGGGTATTTTACTAAATAAAGAGAGGTGACTGAGGGGAGGGTGGAGGGAAGATGGGGGAGGAGACATGAAGCAAAAGGCCACAGTAGTATACAGGAAACAGGACTCCTGAGAGGCCAGGGAAGAAATGAAGGTTTTCCATGAAAACATCCAGCTCCTGGAACTTGTTTGCAGTGAGGGAAGCCAGTCAATCCCTTTGCTGTGCATGATGGAAGCTGGCACTCCCAAAGGACAGGGCACTGCATCACCTTCCTATTAACCATTCGCCCCCAGGGCCGTGGCATCAAAAGCCTCTCTGCATCTCTTAAGCCACTTTTACTGTAGCCGTGTAAGAAAGTAAATTAGGATGTATAGAGATGGCTGTGTGAGGGCTTGTACTGTGAGCCCAGCAGCTGTGGTGACTCCTTCATCCCCATCCGCCCCGGGAAGAGGCTGTACCCTCAGGCATGGGGACAACCCAAGCCAGGGAAAGCTGCCTCTGGCCATTTCACCTGCTCTGACCACACTGTGAGCCCCAAGGATCCACCAGCACCACTCCGTGAGGGCTCCTGTGGTGGCATCGGCACCACCAGGAAGGACAGGCTTCCCCCTGCTGCATCTCAGGACCAGATCCTGCATCTAGGTGGGACACTGGGTTTGGCTTTGCACAGTTGGCCAGCTTGTGGCCTTCGGCTGAGAACACAAGGGGATCCATGTACAGGAGATGCTGGTGAACATGAATGTTGAGCCCAAGAGGAATGAGTTCAGCCTACAAACTAACTTACATGCCACCGGACATCCCCTCTCACCTCCCTCCCTCTGCGGTAGAAGCTCAGGTGGGTTTCTTGGCTTCAGGAAGATAAATTAAATTGAAGAGCTGAGCGATCCTGTGTCAAAACCTTCAGCCAGTCCAACCTGTCTGTGGTGTTTGTCCCTGGACTGCTAGTCATGTTCTGCTAGGGCAGACGGGACCAGCCTGCAGATCCTTTCTGCTCTTTTAGCTACCCTAAAACAAAAACTCATAGGTGCACATGCTACTGAAAACAGGATGTCAGCTTTTGTCAGAAAAGATCACAAGAGGTTTGAGGTTTTTATCTTTTTTTTTTAGCTGCCTCTTTCTCTTTCTCTCTCTCTCTCTCTCATTTTCTTGCTCCTTCCCTCTCTTGCTCCCTCCTCCCCCCTCCCAATATCTGTCAGCACCGAGCACAGTCAGAGGGAGAGCGGAGATGGCGGTGGCCGAGACGCAGCTGTATGCAAAGGTGGCCAACAAGCACAGGAGCAAAAGCCCCTCTGTACTCCTCGAGTCTCTGCTGGCCAAAGGATTCCCAGCTCACATCGCGTGAGTATTGCTTTCGGCTGCCTTTGTGCAGTACAAGGTGTTTATCTTAACAACTTGAAAGCAGACAGCTTTCCATCAAGAGAGCCTGTCACTTCTCAGGGGTGATGTCTCCACATGGGGATCAGGCTTGTCTGGCTTTGAATGCCTTGTAGAGCAGCATGTGTTTTTCCTATTGCTAAAACAGCCTTCTCTGGCTCCATTTTTAAAAATACTGCGCATATCAGAAGACACACACCCTTCCGCATCTTGAGGTTGAGAGGCTTTGCAGTGAATTAAGTCGATATCCGTAGTTCACTCCTGGGGTATATCCTTTCATTTTTTCCACATATCATTGTCATTACAAGGGAGCTACATGTGGATGTAACTTCTACCCAAAGTTTGCTTCAGGCCTGGCAAAAATCTCTTGCTGAGTTGTGTCACTGGAGACTGTTTTAAAAGAGTAAGCTCTTATGGCAAGATGCCACGTAAGTGTCACTTTTTCTTTCTGTCGTCAATCAGGATCTCTTTCCAAATGCATGTCCTATCTGGAAAATGTCAGGCACTATCCTTGGCAGCTCTATAGAGGGGAGATAAACTGGCGGCAGCACTTACAACCAGGTTAATGAAAAAGAAAGATATTGGTCAGTCCTCCTCCAGGCATGGCACTGGTCAGACAGGGATGTTTCATGAGGGATTTGCAAAGTTCTGAAGGGCAAGTCTGGACACCATGGTTGCAGCCAGTTGTTGTATCTCAGACTTATCAATGCCAGCTGTTCAGAAAATGAATCCTTTCATTTGAATGTTAAAGGAACCCTCATACGAGTATTTGAAAAAGAAGACCAATATCTATGCAGCCTCCATTTTGGCTCTTAATTGAAAATTAAAGAAGTGGAACTGGCTCTACATGTAAGTGCTGTGTTGAATTTCTAGTCGATCATCTTTAGACACAATGGCACAGCTTATAAGGAAGCTGTGGGTTCTTTATTCCTGGGGTTCCTAAAATCCCAGTGGAATTTTAGCTGTGGAGCTGAAAATCTGGCTCATGATTTCTGTAGCAGATACAGTAAGTTCGGTCACCCCAAAGTAATAGCTAGTTTTCACTTTTTTTTTTCTTTCTTTTTTTTTTTTTTATTCTTCAAATAAAAAAAAAAATCAAATCCTCTTCAAAAGACTTTCTGCTATTACTGACATGGCTTTGTGCTTTCAAGAATCACGAAACTGTGGACAAAGTGCAATGCAAGTCGACATAAATTGACAAAATGTTCAAAAGCACTTTGTTTCTTTTTTAATTTGTCTTTACTGACTTTAAGACATTCAAAATTTGGATGGCATTTTATAAAAGCTTTTAGCTGTCTCTTTAGTTCCTGGATTCAACCATAAATGAAAGTAGTTAAAATTTGTTCTTTTGTGATGTCCTGGCCTGAGAAAAATAGGGTTTGTTGGAAATATTATGAAATCTTACATAATGTAGCTGCATGCAAAAGAAACATTTTCAGAAAGAACAAAAAAAAAAATACTTGAAGATCAAGCCTAGCTTCAGATCAGAAAAATTGACATCTTAGACAGAACTGAACCATGTCAGCAGTTTTCTGCTTTAAGGAAGAGCCAGCTTATTGTCCCTGTAAAGATACCATTTTTAATATAGATTTTCAAGGATTTATTCCTACTGTTTATCTGAAAGACTTTGGAATATACAGAACTTATCTTAAGCATTATCTTTCAATTGTTCACCTTGAAAGCACAGGATGTTTAGTTACAACATAATGTTCTGCTTATAGTGAAGGCTGAATAAACCCTGCTGCAAAGTACTTACAACCAACTCATGTGATGGGATACAAGGCAGGAATAGGCACAGAGGGGAGTACGAGGGAGCAAGGTGTTGCTGAGCATCATGGCAGGCTGTGGTCTCAGGTCACCATTTGTCTTATTACTTTTATAATTGTGCAGGCCTTATGGTAAAGAAAAGCTGAAGTCAAGTCTGTTTGCAAAGCCAAGCTCTTTCAAAAGTGCTTGTTTCTGAATGGAAGGAGCAGCACGGCATGAAGTGATAAAACACTTGCACTGAGGTGTAGCAAGTGGGTGACAAAGGCTGGCATCACCAGCAGAGCAGGAAAGGCTATGTGTGGAGCACAACAAAAACACCAAACATTTGTGTTTGATGTGATGGAGAAAGGGGAGTCAGAAGAGTAGCAGAAGTGCACTTAAACACTGGGGACCCTTTGTCTTCCAGAAACTTACCACTAGGCACAAAAATGTGTTCATATGAAGAACATAGCTTGTCATTTTGAAAGATCTAAGGAGAAAAGGAAATGTAAATCAAATTTGATCCCAGAGAATGACAGTTGCGTAAGTGAGAGAAAACTGAGACATTGTCCCTTATCTTAGATTGAGCTGTTGGCTCAGATCTCGCTCTCTTCTGGACTACATAAGTCCTCGCTCTAGATTTTCAAACCCCAATGTAAGTATGTTTTGCTTTAGTTGTATGTGTGGACCTGAGCCTGACATCTGAATCTGGGCTTATCATTAACAAAAAGATTATCCCATGAGCAGAGCAAACACTGCTCTTACAGTATGTGGAGGGGATGGCTTACCCAACACTAGGGAAATCCACGTAGTGAGTAGGACTACTGAGGAAACATCTCCAGAATACATCCTGTGGGCATTGTGTGGACAGGTTACCATTCTTCAAGGCATTAAAAACTTGCAGTGGAACAGACTGTCTGGAGGGCTTCAAGAACATTAACATTAGCCAGGAGTAACCTAGTCATTACAGGTCCTGTCTGTGCTGGAAAATAGACCCAGTGACCACTGCATGTCCATTCTTCTTTATTTTCTAGGAAGCCATAGGAAACAAAGCTTAATGTATTTTGTTATTCTGATGAATCTGTTTTGTTTTCTTCTAGGCAAAAAGCCTTGGCTGCTACTGGTCAAAAGACAATAGAAGAAGCTGCAAAATGGTAAGTGCCAGTGATTTCTAAGGTGTGCTTTCACATTAAAGCTGACTAAAAACACTTGTTCACATGCTGATTCTGTCACTCAATTTAAAGTTAGCCTCTGTTAAAAACCCTGCGTATGAGGTGGGCAGTTTCTTGTTTGTTTTTTCATTTTAATTCATGCAAAGAAAGAAATAATTTTATTTGTGCTTCTTCTAGGAAGCAAGGTTTTTTGCAGAAAGCCTGAGGTAGATCAGGAGCTGGGTAGCACAGGACAGTCTTGGGCACAAGCAGCTATTTTTCCCTCAGTGATGTTTCATGGGACCTGCTGCTCTGGACAGACACTTGTCCTCAGTTTAACCTCCTGCTTAATTTTGGACTTGGCTGCCAAGTTCTGCTCATTGCAAAGGGACCACAGGCTCTTTGGCTGGGGGCATGCATTGGGGCATGCCCAGGAAGGCACTCAGTGAATGCACCAGGGTAAATATCCATCCTGGCACAGCACTCACCCCTTGTGGGATCTCCTGGTGTGCACCCTAGGGCAACAGGTACGGGGTCATAGGGTAAGACCTGTCCTCTCCATCCCTAAGGAAAGGAGGAAGGAAACAAGGAAATACCTGTAAAAGAGTGGCTGCAGTTACAAAGCCATGTAGTGCCAACGTGGGGTTAAATGGCAATGACTGAAGGCAAACAGACCATATTCTTCCCTTGAGAAAGTGTAATTACAAAATAAGCTGAAAGGCTGATGGCCAGAGGGAGGTGTCGTTAGAGCCAAAATCACTTGTTAGCCTTGACAACCCCCCTTCAAGTTTTTTTATTTGTCTGTACCAAGACTCCCAGCGAGTGGTCACTCTGTTATCAGAATGTTGATAATTCACTTTTTTGTTTTAATCCATTCTCAAATACAAGCTAATCTTTCCTGGGTTTTGTCTTCCTTTTGGGGGGGAGGTGTTTTTTGTTTGTTTGTTTGTTTTTAGGTTGTTTGGTTGGTTTGATTGCTTTGTTTTTGAAAGCTAGATAAAACATTTGAGAGTAATATGTTCTTCCCAAAGTTTTGTCAAGGATGCCACCAGGCTTTCTGAAAATCACCCCCAGTCCCAAAGCTGTGAAGCTAAACATAGAGCATGTGCAGAACAAGGTGGGGTATATCATCACCTGGGATACAAACCTCTGATCTTTGCCTATGCATTTTCTGATTTGTCTTGTTTGCTGTTATTAGGACTGAACCAATATGACAGATCTTTTTGAGTATTTTTTTAATCTTTGAATATTTTTCATTGTGTCATCTTTCTACCCACTGCCTCTTTTCCCTCTTCCAGTCCTCTGTTTCCAATTGTGAAAAAGGGGGAGAAATAATCCTAAAGACCTAAATATATATATATTTTCTTCTTTTTGCTTTCACACACTAAAAGAATTGAAGGCACTTAATAAAAACAGGGTACACACACACACACACACAAAAAAAAAAAAAAAAAAAAAAAAAGCTGAAAAAAAAAAACAGTAAAGGCCTTTTCAGCTCCATTGGTTAGTATACGAGAGGAATGTTATAAGAAGCTTTCATTTTAGCTTTTCATTTGTCAGAAAGTACCAACTTTGTATTTCCTTTTTCTAGTTTCTACTATGGACATCTTCAACCAAGGAAGGAAAAGTAAGCAGTGCATATGCTTACACTGTGTGACATGCTTTTAATTTCAGGTTGCACTCTCACTGCAATGATCCCTCTCTGGATGACCCAATCCCTCAGGAGTACGCTCTTTACTTGTGTCCCACCGGCTGCTTCTATAACCGCCTGCAGGAGTTTTGGAAGGAGAGCAAACGCCAGTGCGGGAAGAACAGAGCACATGAGATTTTCCCTCACATCACTCTCTGCGACTTCTTCACGGTAAGGCATGAAAAATGTGCATCTCCTTCTTGGAGATCTTCAAAAGCCTGGGCTTGGCCCTGGGCAGCCTGCTCTGGCTGGCCCTGCTTGGGCAGGGCTTGGAGCAGGGGGCCTCCAGAGCTCCCTGCCAGCCTCAATCTATGCTGTGCTCCTGTGATCCCAAGATCTGTGATGTTAAACCTTCCTGCCTAGGGTAGCTGTGTTCAGACAACTGTGCAGGCAGGGACAGTGTTATCACTGGATGTAGACAACTTTGATATTAGGCAATCTCAGGAAAACTCCTGCCTCCCCAGTGAGCCCCAGCCAGTAGGCCATAGCTTGTGAAATAGCTGTTGAAGCTTGTGAAAAAGAGAGAAGCAGAATGAACAGGGTCAGAAGGAGCAAGGGGAGCTGGAGTATAGTCTGGCAGTGCAATTAAATCATTTTCTCAATAATTTTACATGGAAATTAGGCTCCTGACCTGGACTTCTGGTTGGTTATTTTCTGCTTCTGGATGTTCCTGTCCTCCTGCATGGTCTTCTGAATGCTGAGTAACCCTTCAGCAAACATCTCAGCAAGGCTGCTTCACCTCTGGGAGTGAATGTGCCAGTATCAGCAATGACCAGCAAGGAATCACTGGTCTGGACAAACTCTGGAGCTACCTGGAATCCAGTTTTTGCATGTTGTTGATGCTGAACATGAACATCAGCTGCATCCGAGATGCACTGAAAAAGAGATGAGATAGAGCAGCTGCACAAAATCATTATGTTAATTATATTTTCATACTAAACCAGGCTGCTAAGCACAGACAAGACAGTAAAAACAAAAGTATTTTGTTGAAAAATATTAAATAGCATAGTATTCTGTGGCCATTAATCACAATTATGCACAACAAAATCCATTAATTGATAACGAATGCCATGCTTATGAAAGCTGTCTAGTTTAAAGGCCTGGCCCTGGAAGATATGATTGAAATGTATCCCTCACCTCGTGTACCTCAGCCCTTGTTTCAGGTAGCATATTTCTAGGGATAAATGCACCCTCCAGTGCTATTCTCTGTTCCTCAGCTGTCAGCAAGAGCTGGCCTGGCTGCTTCACATGTAGAAAGTGAGACCCACTGACCTGGCTCCCACCTCCTCCTCCCAGCCCTGCCCCTCCTGTTTCCCAATGCCCTACGTCTCTTGCATCGCATGGACTTGTCAGCCTCGGAGGAGCACAGCACTTGCCCTGGGTGCAGGCTCCCACCCACCCCTTTCCCCCATAACCCAGCCTGCAGGTGCCCCCTCAGTGCACCCCTCCTCACCTCACCCGAGCCTCACCTCTATCCACTTCTTAAATTGCTTGATTGCCACTTTTTGTGGAAGTGTGGCTTTGTACAATCCTTTAATTTGCTGTGATTAGAGCATTAAAGATCATAATTACAAAGATTCCCTATTAACTTTCCCGTGTATGTTGCTCAGCATCTGAGATATTAAAGTTTTAACCAGAGTGATTCCAGCTAAGGACTGTAGGATACAAAGTGCAGTAATAGTAGTAATACAAATTCCAGTAGTAATACAAATTCCTGTAGTAATACAAATTCCTTCTTAGAATTGAAAAGGGAAATCATGTTTCTTGCCTCATTTCAGATTGGTTAGTGCACACTGTCAGCTGGTAAAATCTTTTGGCCCTTTTCTACCCTGTCTAGATACAAGTAAAGGTAAAAGATCATCTCCTATTATAGCACCAGGTTACCTGTGCTGCCCAAGCTGCCTGATATTAACGATTTTAATACCAGGAATTTCAGGCAAGTTTGTAAGTGTGTTGTCTTTCTCAGGAAATAATGCCTATCCTGTTTTCTGGTGTTACTGTACGAGACAGTCTACCAGAGCAGCTGTTGGTCTGGTGGGTGAAGGATGTTCCTCTTCTGTTTTCTTTCAGTGCGAAGACCAGAAAGTGGAGTTACTGTACGACATCTTAAGGCAAATCGTCAACAACTTTTCACAAAAATTTCCACAAACTATTTCCCTATCACTACATTCATCCACCAGCTACCTTGGTTTCTTTATCAGCGACAGCCACGCAAATATCCTCAAAGAGATTGCTGTGGCCTTCTCTTCAGAGGCTTCAGCCCTGGCAGGTAGGATCAACATCGGAGGGAAAATGGGTGGCTCGTCACACAAATGCTTAGACATGACACTGAAACCAACTCCTGTGTCTCCGCAGCAGCCTAGCAGATGTTTTACTGCAAGTTTCCTCCTACAGATTCAAAAATAACTTGGCATGGGGAGATTGTTGTAGACTCTGAAGATACAATGCTTTGCACTAGAAGGTTTCGTTTTAGCTGAACTCAATGAGCAAGAAAAAAGAAAAATACTAAAAGCTTTTATAAATTTCTTCTTCTTTAAGAAATCTAGTCAAAGGTTTTACATGGTTTTGTTTTGGTTTACCTTTATTTTCTTGATCTACACGCTGAAGTGTTTGGCTGTGTAACTGGAGAGGCCATTGATCGGGATGTCCAAGACAAGCAGGGATTTAATCCTCCCTATCTCCAGACCTCCAATACCCACCTTTTCTTCACCACCGACCAGTGTCATGATTGCGAGGGGACAGAAGAAAAAGAGAAAAAATGTGTCTGGAGGAAACAAGCCAAATCCTAATTATGCTTACTTCTCCATCTCACATGCAGCCTTGGGAAGACAGCAGACCATCTTGGGGATGTTCAGCTCTCTGTGGTCAGGCTGAGAAGGAAGGCAGAAATGAAAAAGCAAAGAAATGCAGCCTGGCAGGCCTGGGTTTTCCCTAGTGCTCGCATACGTCCTTCTCCTCCTGAAACTGAGTCACCCATCTCCTTTCAGTGGTTATGTGCCAGCTGGGGATCTCCCGCACCCCCGTTTTTTTTCATCCGAAGCACAGCAAGGGCAAACAAGTATTTTACACTCATATCACCAGTGGGTGAAGTGCCTTGTACGCTAGCAGTTGTCAAGGTAACAAATTAAATAAGGAAATAGAAAAATATATTTAAAATCAGGCCTGCAGCACTAACTAAAGAAGGGAGACCTAAAGAAAAGAGGTAAAGCCCTAGGAGCAGGCACATACTTCCAGACACTGGTGCAATGAGCACTGTAGATATTTTCCAAACAACACCGAGAAACTGCATCTTCAGTGGAGACTGAAGGGTTGCTGCCCCAGAATAACTAGGTCTGAGAGAAGAGAGTTTGATATATCTTAGACTGGGAAAGGAAATCAAACATTTATTGTTTTGTTTTGCTTTTCTTTTTTTCTCACAGCTGAAGCTAAGGGGCAAATCCAGTCCAGATTTCTGATTTATTTTGGTATTATTAAAGCCATGACATGCAACAAAGCAATGATTCAGTAAAACAATGGTCCACTCTACTACTAATCACTAAGATATTTCTTGTATCATGCAAAGCATGTAGGATAAAACAAGAGGAAGAGCTTTAAATGACCTTCACTTCTATGTTGTGATGTGAAGCTGATTGCTTTATTCCTAGATTGCCATGTGAAGCCCTGCCTAAAGCAGCTCCACCTTACCTTGGCTCACAAGTTCTGTCCTCACCACCAGAAGACTTTGGAGCAACTAGCCAAATGCATTAACCCAGGGGAGACCTGCCAGTGGGTAGCAGCTCTCTATTCAAGAGACATGCGTTTTGTGCATTACCAGGTACTGTCATCAGATTCATTTAATTTTCTGAGTCTGTGATTAGAATATTTCCTACACTTATTTTGCTTTTTTTTTCTTTTTTCCATGAAGAAGTCAGTACATGCACAGTACAGTCCTTCAAAATGCATGGTTGTTTCAAGTACCTCTTTGGGCTCAAAAACTGTGCTCTTGAGTCTGTAGGAGATAAGTTTATGGTTACCTGCTTAACCTGCGTGTCAAAAAGATCTAATTCCAAACTCCATCAGAAGAACTCATCTTACAATTAGCTAGGAGAAAACAAAATACTGGAAGTGATGACCTTTGAACATTTGCTAGGACTTGTCAGATCACAGCTCTGCAGTAAAATTTTATTCGGCAGAATTAATTTTCTTGGTTGTTGAACCATGATGCACCAGTGAGCAGGGCACAGTTGTCCTTGGTGATCTTCAGCTTAACAGACTCCCAGTTAAAAATAGTCAATATTTTTCTGGTTTTCATTTCCAAATTTAAACTACGGAATGATAAACCGTTGGTATTTTTCAATCAGATCAGTGTTTCGTTTTATTTCAAGTCTCATATTGGGTTTTGGTCACACTCAGGAGAGCTGCAAATAATCCCCAAAATAGATGATAAAGATTTTGTTATGTTTGCTTTCAAATAAATTTGTACTAGTTACAGGAAAAGCAATTTTATGAATACCAAGTGCCTATTTTCACATGCACTTCGTATGCATCGTTATGTATCTGCTGAATTGCCATGAAAGAGCAAGCTGCAACACAGGAAATGGTGGTGGTGGCAGTGTCCAGTGCAGGGTTGAGCACATGTCCCCCATTTGCTGCCACCCCTGCAACAGCCAGCACCAGCCTGACCAAGCTCTGCCCTTCCCCAGACACTGAGGGCCCTCTTCCAGTACAAGCCCCAGAACATCGACGAGCTCATGATGAACGCCGGGGACTTCATCTACGTTGATCCAACACAGCAGTCTGATGTCAGCGAAGGCTGGGTCATTGGGACCTCGCACCGGACTGGCTGCAGGGGTTTTCTTCCCGAAAACTACACAGAGAGAGCCAATGAGTCAGACACGTGGGTTAAGCACAGGTTGGTCACAATCCTCTCCACAGGCGCTGGGGCTTCGTGGGTGCTTCTTGCTTTATGCAACTGGTTCTCCTCCTTGCTGCCAGCTGTGGGCTGCCAGGAGAGAGCTGGAGGTGGGGTGGGATGTGGAGGGCAGAGGGGGTCCTCAGGGTCTGGTTGGGAAGATGAGATTTCTGAGTGGAAAGGGAGAGGACATGCACCCATGGAAACCCAGAGTCCATCTGCTCAAAGGATGGCCTCTCTCTGCTCTCGAATAACCTGAACATCCTGACGATTTTTAAAAGTCCACATTCTTTAGAGTAGACTGGGCCTTCAGCATGGCTTCCAGCTTTCTTTTCTTTTTTTTTTTCTTTTTTCTTTTTTCTTTTTTTCTTTCACATCTTTTCAAGAGGTTGCAAAGCTAACTTGAAATGAAACCACGCGAATGTTACTCTACCACCACGCGCCCACCCTTGCCTTGTCAATTCAACCTGTATCAGCAGGCATCTGCCTGGCTTCCTGCACTTTGCTCTGCAGCTGACAGCGTGGCTGATGCTACTTGTAGATTAGAGACAGCTTTTCGGAGCAGGAGGTGTAGGTGCGGTCCTTGCTGAGCTCTCAGAGGCAGAGAGGAGGCGAACAGGTAGTGTTTCCTGCTTGAAGCTCACGCTTAGAAGGGTTACACCCAATACATGCCATCACTTCATATTATTTTAGCCTCATTTCTACCAGACAGACCATAACTCAAGAGCAAAGTGGTAAACTAGAATGCATGTCTGCGAAAAATATTGAGTGGAATATGCATTGTGGCTGTCACACCTGTGGACAAAATTGTGACTTAAAAATCCCTTCTTTTTTTTTTGTGTGTACACCCATATGTTTGTTTGTGTGTATTTGCGTGTGTTGCTTTTGCTTTTTTTGCAGAGAATATGCTTTCATACCAGGTTCAAAATTTGTGACCCAATCAGCAAATGAACCTAATGTAAAGCTGAATGGAGAAGTCCATAATCCTGTTACATCAAGGAGTGTAACCAATATTCTTTCACTTCAGGTAGTTGTTTTTTTTTTTTTATTTCTTATCTTTCCCACATAGTTGTGCAGATATGCTACTAAGTAAAACCATTTATAAAATTTAATAGTTTCTTCCTGGTTCTCCTTAATATTTTCATATCATGTTGTAATATATATATATATATAACATTGCATATTTAAAATTAAATATGAAATTAAATATGCATACACTCACACTGCACATTATAATGTCTCATATACATTTTGTAGTATATACAATGTGGTATTACCCTTGCCTTCTTTCATAAAACTCTGTTGCTGTCATAATAGCCCAGCACACGAATTCTCTGTGCACAGATGCACAGCACAGGCTGTGCAGAGGTATGGTGACAAGACTGACAAGTAAGGTGCAGGCAAATCTTCCCCTATCTTTCAAATGGTTTCATAGCAGAGTAGCTAGAGCAGTATCAGGGTCGTTGTTCATTGTTACTTTTATGCCCAAATTCTACATATGACACGTTGGGGGGTTATGTACTCATGGATCTTAGCACATGTAAATGTTTCATCTTCTTTAATGTTTTAGGTACATAGCTAATGCAAATAACTGCACAGACCTGTAGAAACAACGGCTACTTGGACAGGTTAGCACCACTGGGATTACATTTTTGTCGAGTTTCAAAGCCAATTTATCAATTTTTCCTAGGTTTCCCAAAGAGCTCCTAGTAGGAAGAGTAAAATAGAGAGGAACTCTGGCTTTTCCCTACAGCATGTTTGCTCCTATACTGCCTTATTAGCTCTGACTGTCAAGGTGGTCAAAACTGTATTTTACATCTCAGATCTTTCCTGACATGCTGCAGAGACCCCTTTGGTCTTGCTGGTCCTGCAGAGAGTCTTCTCCCCATGCTGGGGGATAAGCCCGGGTTCCTTTGTATTAATGTCAGAGAAACTTGAGAGCACCCTGAGGGAACTTCCATCCTGGGGCCCCACAGGACAACTGTGCATACAGCTGTAAGACAGACACTTCTGCAAGAGTCACATCCTCTCACCAGCTCTCGAGTGCTCTTGGCCCCCTTATCTATCTCAGATCTGTGGCAGAGGCACAGCTTGGCCTGAGGAACACTTTTTGCAGATGTGCACGTCTTCAGTCTAGGAGCTTCCCCAGCCTCTGAGCTCCCCCCAAACAGAAAAGCAAGACCACAAAACCTTAGTTTTAAACTCTGACCTCATGGCGGTTGATTAGTGCTGTATGGCAGAAATGCAGTAGTGTTTAGTAAAATACATATATCTCGTACCACTTCATAAGAATTCCCTTCAATGCTAATGAAGATACACATCGCTAACCTCAGCGTTGCAGCAGTAATGCTGCGAGGGGTTGCTGTTGAAAAGGATTTTAAGCCTTTGAGCAGTTCCTCTTTATCTTTTCATCTCTATCTATGTTCATTGTAAACTAACCCCAAAACATTTAGAATGTAATTGTAGTTCCATGCGGACTGAGGAAAAACGTGGCCTTACAGGAGATCTGGGTTCACTGCTAACTTGACCACACACCATCAGAAAAGTGTGAAACTAGTATTTTCAGTAGGAAAAGAAACACTTAAACCACTTAGCTAATTTCTCTCTTTTGTTTATACCAACTACACAATATAAACTAGAATTATAACCCCTTACCACACTGGAATTAAAAGATTTAGCAGCACTACCTTTCACTAGTGTAAACAGAATTAAAACCTAACATGAAGATCAGGGATATTCTTCATTTGCCTTCAACAGAGAGCCAGTCAGGGTTACTATTTTCATAAAAAATATGTTTTATCAATTTCTTTCTTTCCCTTTCCTGTGCTTGTTATAAACATCTTGGGACAGCACTGCTGTTCCTTGCTCTGTTGTGCAGCATCCAGGAACCCAAACTTTTCATGCAGGTTATATATTTAATGTTGTAATGGAAAACAATTTTTATACAGCTTTCTCAGAATGCTACTCTGCGAAGAGGTGTGTTGGTGATGCGCCACGGGGAAAGAGTTGATCAGGTCTTTGGGAAATCTTGGCTTCAACAGTGCTTAACTGCAGATGGTGAGTAAGATAATGGGAGGATCTTAGCAAATCTGAACCAAATTTACATAGCAATGGGTAAAAAAAATTCTGTCTCCTAGGTGTAGATGTAAATGCTGACACAAAAGAGTGACTAACATTATACAGTCAGGCACAACACAGCTTTGACCTGCAAGTAACCAGTACTTCATAATGTCCTACTGCCTTTCAAGTTTATGTTGGATAAACACCACAGGCCAAAAAAAAAAATAATAGTGGTACTATTCATATGTCTCAGTGGGAGATGCACAGAACATGAAACCTCTACCACTAGTTACTCAACTGACCCAGGTGGTGTTTATCAGGTCCCTTCACATTTCTGTGCTTGACTCAGTGTCAATGATCTGTTGATACAGCACATCCCTAGCCAGACTTGCAGAGGAAAAGCAAGAGCAAACCATGGTGGAAACGACACATCAACACGGAACTAAATGAAACGTTGAATTTCCTGGCTCTCTGTCTGTCTCTGTCAAAAAAATATTTGTGGTGGAGACAGCAAAACTAGAGTAGGGAAGTGTGTATTGGGAGGAAGAAGGGGAACAAGAAGGAGGGGGTGTTCAAAAGGAAGCTTTGTGTTGACAGTCTCCTTCGTTATGCTGGAGATCTCTTATATGTGTGAAATTCATACTAGATAATGAGGCCGGTACCTTCCAGCTTCATAATCAATTCATTAGTTTCATTTTTCTTCAATGGAAATGTTTTTGGCAATGGCAAAAGAATATTGATAGGGGCTTTTTATTTCATTTGAGTCCCACAAGGCCAAATTCTCATGACTTTTTGTCCTCTTTTTTCTCTACCCCCTTCTTTATCTCCTTCAGAGCTTGCATAAGAGGTGCTCTTTTGTTAGTACAGGTGATTTCCCAAGTCAGTGTTGTGACCTTAAAACATGTTCTCTTGAAGGTAATGGTAGTCACTGCGGGTTTTCATAAGTGAGGCACTATGTCCATACTGCTGAACTGATCCATTATTCAGGCCCTGACCCATGATCTCCCCACGCCACTTAGCTATTAGCTCTCTCCTCGGCATGGTCTTGGTTGATGGCAGCTCCCCCTCACCCCCAGTTTCTCGGCAAGTTTTGGAGAGAGCACAGACCAGGACCTATCCTCAGTGTTCAGTGTGGGTGTTGGAGGCAGAGGGAAAGGAGATTAGCTCTTCATGCAGGTGCCCTGCTGCATCATTTGCCCTTGTGGCCAGAGAAGGGCCCCTGGCCTGTTCTATTTGCCAGCAGAGGTGTAACTCTGGGCTGAGAATTCAAAAGAAATGGAGCCATTACAACGAAATGCAGACTGTATGTATGACTGCTGCCTCCCTCATACCACAGCAAAATGTTCCACCTCGTTTCAGGAAAATACTACAGAGCAGACCTCAACTTTCCTCCCACCCTACCAAAACGGAAAGACAGCATGAAGCATTTTGAGCAAGATCCTCCTTTATCTTGCTGTGGTATTTTCCAGTCAAGACTTATAGGTAAGGTGGATAATATCTTAAAGTAAATGTAAGGTTTTGGGAAGCAGGCTTTTATCATCTGCCAAAGCTCACATTGGCTCTGTCGCAGAAATACTTCCTAGCAGCACTCTTTTTGGTAACATCTTCAGTTTTGCTGTCTTCTTGATGGGCGACCACTGCAGGATCTTGTTGAATAGTAAAATAGAGAACAAGGCTGGTTGCTCATCTTGGAGATTCAGACTGCTAGTTACTGGCAAATAAATTCAAAAGAAAGAAACTGCAGTACTAGCTGTGTCCTGCTTCAAGTCTGCAAGGGACTAACGCCTTACTCAGTTGTCACTAAGTGAAGGGGCTGGCTGGAGGACGCAGCTTCATGGTCAGCAGATTGTGGCCACCTCATCACAGATAACTGCCTGATGGGTGATATGGGTTAGTCTGACTCGATTCACTCACCAAAGTTGTTTCTGCTCCCTGAGCTTGCATGCCTGACTTTGACATAGAAATCTGGTGCAAGTGCTTATCTCTGATGGTTCAGACATAAGGAGACCGCCAAATACCTAACTGCTACTTGCGTGTTTGGAGTGCATCTGCTGTAATTTCCCTTCCAATGCTTGGTCCCAGCAGTTTTTTGGCAGAAAACATTTTGCAGCAGTTTCTCATCTATGACGATTTGTAAAAGAGCACCTCACATTGCTGTTCCCACCAGGGGAAGCTCTGCTGGACCAGGAGGTGGCAGTCAGCTATGTCTACTCGTCACCTGCCCTCCGCTGTGTACAGACAGCCCATCTTGTGCTTCAAGGTAAGGCAGAAAAACTGATCACGTGCGTTCACCACTGTAAGAAAGTCTTTGTCAAACTTCTTTGAAGTCTCTGAGATGAGCAACTAAGAAGATGTACAACTCTGTGTTTATTTATTGTCGTATTTAATCAGGGAAGACAAGGTGTTTTTGTCTGGCTGGTAATATAGGCAGCAGTAAATCTGCTGCTGGGTGTATGATCTGAAGAGCTCTATCCTATTAACTCTAACCCTCTCTCTTTAAACTGATGTCACTTGAAATGGAGGCATTTCACAACAGGTTGAAGTCAGCACTAGGAGCCACAAATCAAATTACTACTGGCAGCTCTTTCAGGAAACTTCCTGAGCCAAAACAGAAATGTTCCCAGTGCTCTGAAGGATACCTGTTTGAATCAGGGAACATGGCATTCTCCTCAAAAAGTTTGCCTTTTCGAGCCAAATTATTTTACTTATTTAGGGACATGGTTTAGTGTAGGCTTGGCAGTGCTAGGTTAATGGTTGGACTTGATCATCTTAGAGGTCTTTTCCAACCTAAATGATTCTATGATTCTATGATACTTCATATTTTACAACCTCTGTCCTTCCTCCTCTCCCATCCCCTCTGCTTCTCTTCTTTTCCCTTTTCCTCACCTCTCCCCTCCAATAGGTCTGTTAAAGGTTCACAGGTTATCATCTATACGTCAGTATTAGTAAGAGTGTGCATTTCTTCTGAGAACTCATGCCACTTAGTAGCCTCTCTTGAGAATGATGAATAAAGGAATGCATCTTTTTACATGAGAATTCAATTTTTGACACTGTAGGATGATTTATTGCTGCAAAGAGGGTCACTGAGCAAAATGCTATATAAAAAAGGTTTTAAAAATCCTTTATAAAGTTTATTCAGATTGCAGCATTTTTGAGATCTTTTCTTCTGTTCTCTTCTGTACCTTGGAGATCCTTACAATAGAGCTCCAGGAATAACAACAGTGTAAGAATTTTTGGTGCCTTAGCATCTGTCAGACAAGAATATGTTGACTTCACTTGAACAACACGATCTCTTTTGTTCAACAATAAGTAATTCATTTTAGTAATGAAAATATTACAGCAAACAAGGCAGAATGTGCTGCCCAAATGTAACACTTTGTGTGTACCTTTCTCTTTTTAAGGAACACTTCCTTTTTTTTTTCAGGGCTTAAATTAGACCAAAAAGTCAAAATCAGAGTGGAACCAGGACTATTTGAATGGACCAAGTGGGAAGCAAACAAAGCAATTCCCAACTTCATGACTCTAACAGAACTGACAGAGGCCTCCTACAAAATAGATACAAGTTACAGGTAATTGCTCAGTGTCTAGCTGATAAACCTGGTTCTTTTTCTCCTGAGGTACCTCCTCATCTCTTCATATATTGTAAACCGTTATGAATGTTGCAAAAAATGGGTCATGCTGATCAATTTCAAGCCTGCATGATCTGTTCTCAAAGAAAGATATGCTGTTTGGGGTCTTGTGGCAAGAGTCAACTTCGCTGTTCCAATGTGGAGTCACACAGGCAGGTAGCATGTGCAAACATATAGCGAGCAGGCTCACAGGCACACATCTGATGCTTGTGTATGGGATCAGCCCTGCTCTGATGTCGCCTTTAATTCTGCCATGGGGTTGAGAGAGGTGACTCCAACACAAGCCAGCTGTCCACCCGGTTTTGGGGGCAGGCAGGATAACAGCACTTCACTACAAGGAGTGTTCATGCCCCATTCTGTTGGGGAAGGGGGTGTTATGTTTTGACTTGCTCAAAGAGAAACACTGCTCAGAAAGGATTTCTGGGGGGGCCCCCACAGCTCGGGGAGGGGGGTGATGCCACCTCTGAGTGCTCACAAACCACAGTGGAGCAGGAAATGATCAGCCTCCAGTTCAGCCCAGCTCCTCGCCCTGCTCTCACTCAGGCTGCTCCGTACGTGCAGCACACAGCCCGCTCCAGGAAATTGCTCAGCTAATAAAATTTTGTGTCTGGGGTTTCTCACAAGTATAAGAAAGGAAACTTCTAGGCTCTTAATGTATGTCTTGCAATTAAGCGAGAATCTTCATTTGAAATTGCATAATGGAATAAAATTCTTCATTTTCTTGGGTCATTGTACATGCTGGTGTGTTTTACCACCAACAGACTGTTTTCCCTGTTTATTTCAATACAGAATAATTTGCCTCAAACTTCCACAGAGGAAAGGGTGCAACTGTAGAGCAGTAGAAAGTGCAGAGGAAAGCTCTGAAGCAGCGCTAACTGCAGCTTTCAGCCCCCTTGCAGCTCACTCGGGTCCAGGCAAAAACAGAGCAGATGAGCTGTAAAATTGCACACATTATTCTGCTTTCTTCCTGTCACGTGCAGGGTGCAAAATCCTTGGGTTTCGGGGGGTGGCTTTACCATACTCACCCACTGCAAGGGACAGCAATCAGTTGGGTCCAGTCCCAGGCTGTTCCCTGTCAGTGGACTTAACCTGGCCAGAATTAATATTAGTTATGATTAACAATATAGTAGGAGCCTGCCACCTGGTTTTACCACTTATTTTCTAGTTCTGCAGTTCGTGCTGACGGAATGTACTGAGGACTCACCTGTAAAAGTACACTACGATACCAAGCCCTACGACAATGTGTTAATCTAATCTCACTCCTGCCTGTTCACTGAATAAAGAGACTATCAAATTGGTGGGGCGGTTGTTTGTAGAAAGAAATTAACACCCTGGGAGGCCAGCAGGGCCTCTCACCACCAGGAATTTGGCCTTCCCAGCTGCCTACCCTTGGCACCAATGGACACAAAGCATCAGGGCACCACAAACTATTCCCCTACCTCCCAAGGACAGACACAGCTGGGGTCATGGAAGCTGCTGAGAAGCCTTGTGATGTGTCTGGGCAGGATACATGGTGTTTATCAGGTTTCTAACATGGTGTTTTGCTTAGGCATGGTGCATTTTGGTTTACATCCTTGGAAACATACTGTTTTTTTAAATCTAGCAGTGAGAGCCTTTCCTATGCATTTGTCCAGCTGATATTGGCATGCCTTTTCCATTGCTGAATTTGATTTGATTTGCTTACTAAGGAGGTTAATACTGAGGGACTATCTCTTGAAAGCATTCATGTCATCAGCATCTTGGTTTGAACCCGGTCAGGATGGCTGGAGCTGGAACACTCCATGTGCCTGCAGCCACACAAGGACAGTGGTCATTACCAACAGAACTGCTCACAGCACAAGCTTTTCTTAGGAATTAAATTTTTAACAGCATTCACTGTAAACTACAGGTTTAATTAAAGCACAGTTTTCCCTGCATCTGGTGCTTTATGCACTACAGAGTGTAGTCATAAGATTTAATGTAAGTTATTGTGGGGGAAGCTAATGCAAGCTGAGATATCAGCATGCCAGCTAAGTCAGTGGATTATCCAAGATTCTTTTAACAAAGTCTTTCTTCTCTGGTATACTCATTCAATAGTGCTAACAGTGCCCAAGTATTCATCTAGAGTAACATACATTTGTGATTTTATTGTCAGAAGCAACATACCACTCTCTTCTCTGGTACCATCAGAAAGTTATGAAGACTATGTAAGCAGAAGTTCTGCAGCTATAAAACAGATCGTCACTGCTTGCCCCAACAAAGGTAAAGGTTTCAGATCTTTGTATATTCTATTAGACACTTTCAATACCAGGAACAGGCAGAGATTTGCCAACAGAAACACATTTATCATGGGTAGTTTGTATTGCACAGAGTTCAAGGCAGACTTGTAGTTCTTGGCCTCATCTATACTAAATCAAAATATATTCAATTTATGGGATAGGGAAAAAAAAAGGCAAAATTAAACAGAAGACTGCTAAATTGCAAGAGTTTGTACTTTGCATGGTCATTCTACATCAGGTTGCAGCTCAGCATAAGATAACCTATTTTTTCTGGAGAGCTGTTAAGAAATGTGTTTTCTCACTAGCTGGCAGGTCTACAACAAGTTTGACTTTTTCTGAGCAGCACAATTCACCCTGCCACATTGTCAAAGATGTCTGCAAAGCCAAACAGCCCCTAAACAACCTTATAGCATCAGCATGGCAACCTGACAGTGCTTGCTGCAACCCCCTTACTGCTTCTCTTTGCTTACTGTGGTGTACCAGGTGTCATCCTCATCGTGGGCCATGGCTCCTCCTTGGCATCTTTCACCCGGCCTCTCATAGGGCTCCCTGCCAAGGACAGCAGCGACTTTGCCCAGGTGGTCCGAAAGGTAAGAAGCCTTTTCATTCAGCTTGAAGCTTTCTCTTTGTGTTGCTGTGCTTTTAATACGGAGATTTCTTAAGCAGCGAGGCATGTGTATAACTGCATGCCAATACCAGTAACACTAGCTTGCTCAGTACAAAGGGAATCTCATGGAGTTTTAGCATAGCACTGATGGATAAGAGAAGCACTTTGTCCTGTTGAACAGCATGTACCTAGAGGCTAACTCTTCGGAGGAGATTTTCATCCAACTCCCATGGGAAGTCAGTGCCAGGTAACACCTCCACATGAGAGGCACATGTGGAAACTTCTCCCTCTGGCACAAGTCTCCTTGATATGGAAGCAAAGCTAAGAGTCTTTCTTCTCCCTGTGGTGTTGTGAGTGTGAACTGCAGCTATATTCAGTGACTCACTCTAAGCAGTATGTTTTTTGGGTCACTGCAAGTTCACAGCTTAAGTGCTCAGCTACAGAATGAAGTGGAGGAGGGTTTTCTGCTAGCTTCACAAGTGAGGCCTGCACTTGAGACTTTGTCGCAGAGGTTTTTTGTTTGTTTTATTTGTGCATTAGCACCAGTGGCAGATTTTTTCACCCCCATTTTCTTTACCATCTGCCTTGGTAATACCAACAGGAGAATTCAGTTGTTAGATATATTTTTACCACCCGCTGTCAAAGCATAAGGAGTAAACACATCTTGATCTTCAAATCCAAGCATGAGTGCAGGGTGATGACACAGGCTCAGCTATTGCACCACAGGCCTCCAATCTGTTTTCAGTGTGCTTCAGAAGCAGCAAAATGTCCCATTCTCTGTTCCCAGAATGGTCTCAGGATCTGCTCTTCTGTTCTGCTACGATGACTCCTTCGTGCCAAAGCAATGGCCATGCCGGTAACTCCTGCTTGTGTCCTTCCTTCCTAGATCCCTTCACTGGGCATGTGTTTCTGTGAAGAGCTCAAAGAGGGGAACAAATGGCAGATGGTTAACCCTCCAGTGAAGACATTAACTCATGGAGCAAATGCAGCATTCAACTGGAGAAATGGTATCGTGGAAGACTAGAAAGCCAGCTCTGTCGTAGCAGCTGTCAAAAATGAGGTGGAGACAGCTTCTGGTTCAGCACAGTCCGTCAGTTCATCCAGAAAAGTTACAATGGGTGGAAATTGCCCTCTCTAAGTAGTCAAAGCACAGAAAACATTTCCGAGTTTGGTGCCGAAATTTTGCTTTTGCTTCTGTGACTGAGAAAAGGAACCACAGAACTGGCATACAAGAGAGCAGTGATTCTTCTGGTGGTGATGAAATTACTTTTTAGCCTTTTTTGAAGGTACCATGTGCAACATTTGACACATACAGAACTACCTGGTTATAAAATCTATTGGTAAAGGCACTAAAGTAGACATTGTTGCATTTTCTGAGACCAAAACACAGCCAGTCAGAATTGCTTTTGTTATTTGGATATTTTCAGACAAGCAGAGAAATTGGGACCAAATAAAAGCCATCACCTACCCGAAGAGATCATCTCTACCTAAAGCCACTTGGTTTCCTGTTGACTCCTCCAGTTCTGCAAGAGCACAGAAGGAGGAGACATACCATAGTGACAATTTATTTACCTCTGCTACAAAGGAGGTTCATTTTCTTCCACAACAGCTCCCCTACTCAGTGATTCCACAGTGATCCATACTGCAAAAGGGACTACAAGATTTCCTGTGGAGAAAACTGAACTGATTGCTTTATCGTTGCTGGGGCAAAGAAGGATGCCCTGCATCACTGTACTGGTGACAAAACCTTGACGTGAGCAACTCTAATTTCTGAACGCTTCCTGAGATGGCACTTGCAGGACAAGAGCTTTGCTTTGTGCTGTTCTGTGCCAAATTATATAAATGGTGACACAGCTGCCAAACCGGTCGTCTGACAGGTCTCTGTAGCTCTTCTCTTGGATGTTAGTTTGCTTAAGGTAGTGTAGCCCCAAAAATTTATGCACAAACAGGAACACGTCTTGCCACAGAGTCAGGTTTCCTTTCTAAATGATCGTTTTGGGTAACTACCTCTGGGAAAGCACAAATGTTTCTTTCAAAGGGAGGAGAAAAATGGAGGTTTCACTTTCTCTCTTAGCGTGACCCAAAAAAAACAGCCTCATTATCATTCTTTTTCTCCCTGCACCTTCTTGACACCTCTTTGCCTGTGTGCCTTTAGCCTGAGAGCATGCAGCAAAGCCCACCCAGCATGTAGGCTGTGGGGTGTCTAACAAGCACCTTTATCTCCTGTCTCAGTCCTGCACCTGAAATGTTCTGTTTTCACTTCCCAGATCTGGCAAGGAAGCTTGGACTCCTGCTTTTCTAACAGCAGGGGGTATGACAGGGGAGTGGGGGTGGCATGGAGCAAGGACCTGGCCCTGGGCATGTTGCTCCCTGGAGCTTCCAGCTCTATTTCAACTGAGGCATCTGCTCCCACCTTGCAGTGCTCCCTTGGGGCCTTCCTCTCTGTAACTAATTGCTGCTTTTGGTGTGACTTGCTCTGATTTCACCAAATGGTTGCAAGTCATAGGACAAATGCCACTGGAGGAGGTGCAAGACCAGAGCTACTGCCACAGACTGAAGCCCCAACATGAGGGATGGGTCCTGGAACTCTGACTGGGGCACATGTGGCACCAGGTGTGTGAGGGCATTAGTGTAGGTTTCTGGGTCAAGCTTTTGCTAGAAATACAGCCTCTGGGTGGGGACTTGGCTCTGTTTGAACAGATGGGAGCGGCTGCACGTTTTATAGTTCATGCTACTGTCATCCCTCACCTCTGACAAGTTCCCTTTTGTCCGCAAAGAGATAACTGAAGGACTGTATCCTGTATCTCAGGCTTAAACCTGTTTGCTTTTGGCCTTTCCAGCTGCTCTAACCCAGGGACAATCCCTCCTCCCTGCGGAAGAAGAAATGCAAGTAGATCACAGGCAGTGTCTTTCTTCTCCCGTGGGACAAGTGCCTGTGCATTGTGTAAGGGGAGAGGCCTTGCACTTGGTGGCCTGGCCACCATTGCTGGTCAGAGCCAAATAAGAGCCCGGGTGAGGATAGGGACAGGCAGGACTGACAGCGGAGCTCTCAGTTCACATGGCAAGGGAGAAGCCTTGCTGCTGAAATGACACCTGGTGAGAGCAGGGCATGATGGCATGCTGCCCACCCAGGGACAGAGCCAGGAACAGCAGATCAGAGAGGTGGGTGAGAGCTGCACCCTGCTTGGACACGATGTGCCTGCTTGCTGGGTACACAATGGCATGAGGAACTTTCCCTTTCTTCTTAGAAATAAGCTTTTTTTTTATTATTTTTGTGTAATACCTCAGACATTAATCCTCAACTGAACTGCAGATGACATTCTCGTTAAGAATCTGTGTCTTCCTTCAAAATGATAAAATAAAACACAGAACACCTCTCCCTTCATCCAAGAGCATCAGATGCATTTCCAGTGTGGTTCTGTTGTGATCAGTGACCTGCAAAACCAGTGTCTTCTCGTTGCTTTGAACAGCTTTCCCACTCTGCAGCCACTGTGTACAGCATCACAAGCAAGCACATCACTTTGTGTTTTTACTCCTACCCACCTGCAGAAATATTGTTCCTGAAAGCTAGTTTATCATCGCACTCTAGTCTTCTTGATATTAAGCTCCTATCCAAAATAAGCATGTGAAGGCTGCTTGACAGGACCTTTCTTACAGGTGGGGATAAAGAGGAAGGATTCAACCACCTTACCCAGTCCTGGTATGCAATCAAAAGGCCCCCAGAGCACCACCACTACCCTTTGCAAACTAAACAGACTTGCTAAGAAGATTGCTAAGACACTTAAACCAAAATCCCACAATGTTTTTGTTATTTTTTTTTCCCACTAGACATGCACTCCAATGAATTTTCAATTCCAATGAATTCAATTCCAATGAATTCAACTCCAGTGAATGCAATGAATTAAACCTCAGTGTATGTGGGAAAGAGGGTTTGGGTACTTAAATATTTCCCTTGCGGTGGTTTCCAATGCACACACTGCAGTGCTGAGCAGGTGAGGAGAAATACTTTGTCAAAAAATACTCTTTAACTTGTGAAAACTTCTCAGTTTCTACCATCCAAATTAGCTGAACAGAAATAGCAAGCAATTAAAATTGTATCTCAGTAGGATCAGAGCTGAAATTATACCTTTAACATATGAGGATTCTTAGTTGCAAAAACTTAGCAGGGAGAGAGAATTCCTGATGGGATGTGTACATAATATGAATTAAATTGCTGAACACAGGTAAAATGAAGAAAATGTCCTTGGAAGCTTGGAAGTTATTTTTGAAGTAAGCAAAAGAAATGGGAAATTCCTTTTTTTTTTTTTTTTTTTTTTTTTTTGACATGTATGCAGCTTCAAAATTAGATATTATTTTACTCCAGTGTAATTTTCTTTAGTTGGTTCTATTTCATTACGAAGTTATGTACTTTAATAGATACTCTTAGTACTACTTAGAGAATTTGAACGTTTCACTTATGTCTTAAAAACTGAAAATGTAAATTCTTTTGATAAAGACCTGTAGTGAAGTTAATCTATGGTGACACCTTGTGGGAAAACAAAACCTCAAACTTACTTGCCTAATAGCATCTTCAGGTGTGATTGAAGGATGTGGGGGACATATTTTCCGATTTTTAACACTCAGTTTGTCACTCCTCCCATACTCCTTGATAGGACAATAACACAGAAATTTGTCATCTAGCAAGTTTGTGGCTACTTTTAAGCAGAACAACATGAAGAGACACTTGAGTCCAGTTCTTCTGAAAAGCCAGAGAAAAAACAAATCTGTAACTGTTTTGCTCCTGATTTTTCCAAAGCCTTGTGCCAGCATTAACAATAGTACAAGGCAAATGTGTGAATCTGCTGGCTCAGAACAGAGGTAATTGCTTGATGGGGTCTTAATCTATAGCGCTTTCTTTAATGGATGATTAAAAATTAAAATGTTCACGCTTCTTTGAATTTGAGAACAGCATGAAATATTTGAACAAGCAGAAGATTGTACTGTGGTGCATAGGAAGGAGTTAGTGAATCATTGCATTTTACAGTCCAGCTTTTTGGGGAAATCTGATACTTCTTATGAAGGATATAGAGAGCACTCCAGCCTTTTGGTTTTTACACCATGTTTAGGACCATTCAGCAATTTTCCTGTCTATAATCACAATGCCGAAACAATTTCTCTGTGAAGCTTGAGAAACTTTGTGATTAGTCTTGGATTCACAGCTTTTGCTGTTTCCCCCACTTCTTGCACCTTACCCTCCCAGTGGGTCTTGCAGCCTCCTCTGCCTAATCCCAGGCTCCCACAGAGTCTATTTGGAAAGCGAATTCCCAGCAACCTGCTACGTTTAAAAGTGGCTTCGGCTTCTTGTGGCAGCAAAAATTTTCCATTCCCTTGTTCTCATCCATTTCTGCAATTAGGACACTACAAACTAGTAACCCATCTGTAAGGCCATGTCTGCTGAAACAGATGTTCTCATATCTGCTTGTGATGCTGCCAATCTGTTTTCAATATTCTGACCCTTTACTTAAGCCTCTGTTTTGACCGAAGGGGGATCAACCATCAATATCATTGTCTGCATTCAACAGAGGTTGGCTGGTCTGCTTTTAAACATTGACTCTCAAATCTGTGTCCCCAGCTAAGCAGGAGCAGAACAGTGCAGATGACAAATTGAAAAGACTCTTAAAAGCTATGAATAGATCATAACACCCTGGTGCTTAGCAATCTCTCGTAACATGAAGTCAGTAGTGCTGTGTACCTGTGCAGACATGGCCTCTGCCTACTCCTTCAGAGAAAAACTGTGCAAAACCTCCAGATGGCATCTTCCCGAGCTTCCTTTGCTTTCCTTTTGTTGGGGAAACTTGGGACACAGAATCTCCTACCTCTAAGGACACAGAGAATAAAAACAAGAGCATGATGCTGAAAACATCCAGCCCAACCCTCCTGAAGGTGCCTCCTTAATGGAACTATACTTGTGTAATTAGATGTTTGGAAAATACAGGCTTAAATCTGTAGCACTTTGGTGTTCAAATACCACTGGAGGGGAAAAGCAAATAGAGATGCTACCAACATACGTATGTTTTCTAATTCACAGCAGGGATTTCTGCTGCAAATCTGTTTATGCAAATTCACTAATTTGGTTTTGACAGAACACATTTAAAATACAAGGACCTTATTTCTGTCTTTCAAAGCTCATTTGAACCTAAATTTGTTTGATGCTAAGATGTCATTTCCCAGCTGTTCTGTCAGGTTTCTCTTGCCACTGGTGGGCTTGAAAGCTGAATAAAGAATATGCAGGATGGAAACTACATGCAATATAAATGATTATCAAGTACTAACTTGTTCATAATAAGCTTGCCCAAGCATCAGTCTTTACAAAAAATAGGAAGCTGGATGTATTTAAGAAATGGGGTTTTACAGTCCCACGGAACTTGTGCCAGAAGTTGTCAATTTACTCTAAGCTGTGGTGTTCAGCTGAACATCATTTGGTACACTACGTTACTTGAGGATGGTGCAGAAACTGTTCAGCATATGAGAGTAGCTGTTATTTTAGAAACCTCTGAAGAGTCATTTGTGGAAACACCTCTGCCAGTGAAAATCTCTGTGATTGTGTGGGCTGGCAAATGAATTGCAAGCAATTGCTCTCCTTCATGAATGGAGCCACACTGTGTATGCCGGATGGGAGAATAAGGAATGGGCCTGCAAATCTCTTTTACAGCTTTGCTTCCCGGTTTATATACACAATAAAATTTTAGACTCCGCAGTCATCTGTGCTGAAATGCAAAACACCTCCTTCCTTGCTGTAGTTTCAGTCTTCACTTGCTCTCATGGCTCAGCAGTGATTCATGCAGAGATCTTTATATCCATGCCACACATGGAGAGGCATTGTCAGCTTAGAACAACGCTGATATTTTTGACCTTAGTTAATAATGGTGTTAATTAGCTCAGGCACAGCAGTGTGCTAACGTGGCTACAACTTTGTGACCCTTAGCTGTTACCTGCAAAGCACTGGGCTGCGCTTAGTGAATACAAGAGCACCTTGGTGAATATAAGAGCAATGTGTGCACTGCATTCCTTTACAGAGACTAGCCATGTCCTTCTCCATCTCTTAGGGTAACATGTTACAGATAAACTCCTTGCTGAGCCTACTCTCTGAACAAGGCAGGTTTCCAAACACCCTTTCAAGAGTACGGGGCCTTTTGGGATGTATACGTAGGGAAGTTGTTGCAGCCTTTCAATACTTAAAAGGGGGCTTATAAGAAAGATCCCTAACGTTTGATTTCTGACATGATTTCTCATTTGGTAAAAGTCTCCAGGCTGAACATGTTTGGAAAGTACACAGCCAATTAATAAATAAATAAATAAATAAACAAAAATATTTGCCTTCAAAATGGAAGGGAAAAAAAAAGACCTCCTAGAAAAGAGGAAAGATGTGCACTTGGGTTCCACTGCATGTGAAGGCTTTTTAAGAGAGAAAAGAGCTATATAGTGCAAGGTTTTCCTCCTGCAGCCTCACAAACATAAAGAAAGAAAGGATTCATAAAATTAGGCAACAAGGATGTTTCCTACAACTTGCATGCATAGCGCTCTGGAAAATGGCTTAAATTCCCTGAGGATGATGTGGATGAAAGAAGAAAAATGCAACAGCTCAAACAGGTCCTTTTCCCCTTATCATTTGTAAATGTAAAATAGACATCTCTCTGTGCTGTTTTAAAATATTTGCACTTTTGGGTGGAAGTAGGTATGCATGGATTTAGCAAGAACTTGAGAACCCCAGGTGTCTCCTTTAGTTGCAATGAACTATCTTGACCACCCTTTGCTCACTGAGGAAAGAGTCCCATCTCTACGGAAGATGTAGCTTTGAAAGGCAAATACAAAAGGGTTTTCTGATGTTTTTTTCTAAGATATGTGGAGCACAGATATTCTAAGCACCATTTTTTTCATAAACAGCTTTGGATTTGTGAGAGCATTACTGACTTTTAACCTAAAACTCTCATTGGCTAACTTGCCATTGATTTAAAGGCAAAATTTGGGCATCTAAACCAACATTAGAGGCATGGGTTAAAATGGCCTAATTTTTTTAAAGAACCCTTGTGCCACCTTTGGAGAAAGTTGTTCAGACACTGCAATGGTAATCTAAGGACCAAAAGCTGAAGGGAAAACTTCAAAACCTTAAGTTCAATGTCATATCCTTGCATTCAGCCTTTTTTTTTTTTAATTCAGGAAGAGGTTTCAAATAGGACTATTCTGATGCTATTTAAAATAGTCTTCATTACTGAAAAGTGAAGAGACAGATGGGTGAGAGGGGCTTGCACACCTCAGTGCAACACCTTTTGGTGGGGGTTCCTCTCTTTCCAAGATAGTGATGAAGAAACTGCTATTCACTGATTTACAAATTATCCTTGGGGTGTCCCTGTAAGTTAAAGCGAAATGAATTGTCTCCTCCTGAAAAAGCACCAGTGGTTTCCAAAAGGAGTAAACCACTGGAGCACTTCCTAACACAGAGAGGCTTCCAGATGTTCTTAGCTGTCCTCGACTGTATTCTATAAAGGATGCACTTTTTGCTGTTACGCCACTGGAGGTCACTCATGTACTAACAAACAGTACACTACTGGCTGCTGTAGAGAAAAAGGTAATTTCATAAATCAAACAAGAATCAACTCATCTTGAAGATTACCTTAAAATGAAAGTGAATTAGGAGAAATTAAAGGAATGGAAGAAATATACGTTGTGATGATATTTCCCAAATTTACAGTAGAATATAGTGAGTAAACAGCTAGTAAACTAATAATTTGTAGGTTTTTATTAAAAATATATATAATTTTTTTTTTAATCCAAGTTTGCTTTGATCATGCTACTGGACTAATGGAAATACAGCATTTCTCTTTGCCAAAGCATGTCTTTTGCTACTGAAGCCACACAGGTGTGACTAGGAAAGAAAAAAAGAAAAAAAAAAAAAAAGGAAAAAAAAATAGGTATGTGAGATAAGAGGGAAAAGATTGCTTGGGAAATTTCTCACTATGACATTTCTGATTGGAGAAAAAATGTGGGAAGTAATAAACTACTTTTTTCATATAATTCATCTCCTTATCACTACTCTCTGTATAATCCATTTTTATCACTAACTTAAACTTCTGGGCATATCTTTGCTGAAGCTGTGAGGTGCAGAGAAAATGTTTTCCCTTTCTCCCCTGAACCTAAATTTTAGAATAGATTTCATGAATAAAAATGATTTTTTTTTAATTTTTTTAATGTAAGCCCTGTAAGCCCAGTAACACTGGTTCGACATCTCTTACTGCAACCAGGCCAAAACTAGTTATCTCACTTCCAAAGCAAAATGCTGCAGGCTGGCAGCTCTCTATGTCAGGCTCCAGGCCCATCAGCATTCATACCGATATTCTCACAAGTATGAGGAAGTCCATTAAAGTCATAAAGATGCATCTGGTAACAATTAAGGCATTGTTTGCACATTATCAGGAAAACAATGTTTCAGAGCAGCTTCTTTCACCTGCAGAAGAAGAAAAATATATCTATGGCATTTAGTGCTTGTACAGTATTTTGTGCAGCTCTGCCTTGCTCTGGCCTTTTGACTTTCTATATATATAATGACATTTGATTCTGGCAGCTTCCAGAAGGCTTCTTCAGCTGATACCTCCTGCTAGCTGCCTTCTGATTGACAGGTTCTTGATTTAAAAAGAGCAGCATGTTCATAGCTCTCTGCCTGCCCATAAGGGATTGCTGGGTGTCTGTCTTTTTCTTGCTGTGTGGGGATGCCTGTTCAGCTGGGAGATGGGAATGCAGCAAACAAAACTGCTGGGGGAAGGCAGAAACTTTCCTGCAAACAGTGTGGGGCTGTGCAACATCAGTGTTGATGAGCTTCTGGGCCTGATCTCCAGCACCAGTGGGGAAAGTACCACTGGTGTCAGTCTAGACCTGGCTTGGGCAGCAGGATGTTGTGTCCAGGTCTTGAGTTGGTGTCTCTTGATGAGGCTGTGGGTAATTAGTTACTCCCCTGTGGGAGGAAGCAAGAGTCAGCCTTGTGTTCTGGCAGCAATCAATGACAGCAACACATGAGATTTTACAGAAAGCACTATAGTCAGCAGAATAAAGGAAGGGACTGTTTGGCACTCATTAGACTCTGTCTGGAATACGGCATCCAGTTTTAGATCCTGACAGTACCAGAAGACTTGAGCAAGTCCAGCTGGAGGTCATTGAGATGGTCAGGGGATGGAACAGTTAACAAAATGACCTGCAAGGAGAGGCTGAGGGAACAGAGCTTGGTTAGCCAGAAGAGGATCCTTTAGGGGGACATACCAGCAGCCTTCCCATATATATGTATGTATGTAAGGTTATATATAGCCAAGGGTTGTCTTCTTTTTTAATTGAGGTACAGAGTAAGAGAATTAAGAGAAGGTGATCATAAACTGGAAGACAGGAAGTTATAACTGGATATAAGTAGAAAAAAAGTATTTACTCTGAGGATACCTAAGCTTTCAAATACATTGCTAAGAGGTTGTGTACCTTCCATCCTTAGAAGTTTTCTGGACTTCACTGAAAAAAAAAAATACTAGATCTGAATTTAATGTTGACCCTGCTTTGAGCAGGATTTTGGATTAAAGAACTCTTGAGTTTACTTCCAAATTAAAAGATTCTAAGGTTGCCTTCTAGCATGTTAACTAACTCCCAAGATGGACACCATCTTCTGAATTTTGGGGCAATATTGAGGTATTCATCAGGTTTGAAAGACATCTTCCTGTGAAGAAATGAACATAGATCTTCAAAAGCAATGTACTTGCCACAGGCACTAAGGGGTCTGATCTGTTGCTGAAGGCATAATATATTCCATTTTAAAACTATCATGAATAGTGTTTCAAAGGTTTGATTCTGCAAATGTGTAAGCACACAACTTTATGGACCCAGAGTAATCTCATACTGAAATCAACAACTGACTGCCTGCTGCGTGGAATAAATTGGTCTTGAGACTGCACAGTCTGAGATCATAAAAGTTTCAGAGAGATATATTCCAGACAGAACAGTGACAGAAATGTTTATTCAAAATATCTTAACTAAGGTTTTCATTAATGAAAATATTTCAGATTTACCATAACAAATGATTTACTCTGATTATTTTTTTGCCTGTTTTTGTTGTTGGTTGTATCCAATTACTCTGCTTCCTGTGATTCATCCTCCTTATCCTCTAAATTAGCAGTTCCTGTGGAAGCAAAGAAGAAAAAAAAATGGGAAACTGAAAAATAATAATATAAACTACTGGAAAATAATCCTAGTAACCTAAAACATAACTTTAGGATCACGCTGTCTACCACAATCCTCCTTCCCACTGCCTTTCACTGCCAATACTTGAACTTAACTGTTATACATTGTTTGTCAGCTGCCAGACAGACTCAGTACACACAGACTGACTGCCAGCCCGTCCATATGTAACTCTGGAATAGCCAAGGAATGTCTCCTATGTAGAGAAGTAGCACAGAAACATGGAGTAAGGATGGAACTGCTGTCTGGAAAAAAAATGATGGTAATGGGACAGAGAAGGCAAACCTGCAAGAAACCAGATTTTGTTACATCTGCTCCTTACAGTTTGCATATTTTCTTCAGATCATTTTCTTTTACTATAACTTAATCTCGCTAAATATAAAGACAGGGGAAGAATGTATAGCCTAAATAATTATGGCTGTAGACTTATGCTGAAAAATATGTAAACTCCGACTCGTTAATTCTAGAAATAAAGAGCTGGAAAGACCTTCAAAAACACTTATCACATTGCTATGTTTACATGCATTACAATATGCATCTGTACTGTCTCTGAGAGGGAGACATTTGTCCTTAAAATATACAAAAAACAATGGGGATACCAGAACTATTTTATGGTAGTAGGCCAGAAAATTTGTTAGAATCGAGTTCAGTCAAAAATGACTATTTGAGTCCAAAAGACTTTGAGACAAACCAGGTTCAACGAACTTTTGCCAAATCCAAAGCAGAGCTATTCAGGAAACCTACTTAGATTTCTGCTGGATTTGATCCAAACCCGGGGATCCTGTAAGATATCAGTCCTACATACCAGATCAGCTAGTTGGCTAGTCTGCCCTGAGTTACAAGAACTCTATGCAATTTTCAAGTGAATAGTCTTTCAGATCTCTATGGATAGTGCTTTGCTTTAATTTATTGTAAACTGGATGAATAACAAATGGAGAAATTTATCTGATGTTTTCCTGCATCAGAAGCTTGTAAATGGTAACATTTAACAAATGCAAAAAGCATGGTTGGGTGGAATCTTATCAATTAAATATGGGCAAGCATAGCTTTTATGTTGCTTTTTAACAATTTTGTACAAAAATAGGCTTCTAAAGTCCCCGGTAGAAAACCTTAGCGTCCAAATGCCAAACCAATTTGCTCTGCAATAGGAACAATCAACCAGACACTAACTTTTGGCTATCCAAATCATAATGTAGAACAATAGTTAAGACTTGTTTCTTCAGAAGATTTTGTCTGTGTTTCCTGAGAACAGGAACACACATTTCCAGTCACGACAGAAAAGTGGTGTGCTCAAATCCCTGAATTCTCCAGGGTCAAAAATCTGCTCTCTCCGTTTTGTACAGAAAGAAGCTTGCAAGTGCAGTCACCTCTAAACTCAGTTCAATCAAATTCAGTCAAATTGAATTTGATTACTCAAAAACCATTTATATCTTTAGAGAACTGGTCTCCTTACAAAGGGTGGAGCTTCCCACGTTCTCTTCAGCCTTAAAATGGGCCTTCCAGCAGGAGCAGCATGTCCTCAGCTCATTGACATGCACCATTTCCAAACCTGTTTGCTTATTGCAGAATGAGCATGCACGCCCCATTCTTCACCTTGCTCCTCCTGAGCTTCTTTGTTTTCTTCTTCCCCTCTGCTTCCCTCATCTTCCTCCTCTGCATGCTTTTCAGAGCTAAAAACTTCACTGGATACTTCATGAGCAGGCTCATCATCCCTACCGTCAGCGGTCTCATCAGTGACTGAAATATGAAAATTAAAAATACTGAAGAAAATTAATTCTTACAAATTTGCACTCATTGTTTTCACGCAGCAACTAATAACTGACTGAAGTCTGCAGTGTTCACTCACATGAGAAAACCCACAACATTTTCTGCAACTGTTTATAATGAAGTTTGTATTACAGGCCATGTAGACTAAAATGATTCACAGGCTTCCCAAGACAGTTGTTTCTTATTATGCCATGTGAGATAAAACTGACGTATATATATATTGTGCCATTTATGAACAGACTTGGTAGCTTCCAATACTGAATATATGGTAAATAATAGGGAAAAAACATCTCACACTACTTGAAATTAAACCTGAAAAACATGGTTTCAGGGGATAGTCAAAGCACAGTTTCCAGCTGTCTGTCAGAACAAACCTGCATTTGCTGGCATTGTCTCCTCTCCCTCTACTGCTCCTCCTGTTTCTTCCACTGCTTCACCTGCTGCTGCTGCCGCCTCTGCTGCTGCTGGGGAGGCTTCACTGGGAGGTGTTTTTTTCACACTGGGTGTCCAGAGTGTTAATTTAGTAATTTCTGTTGCTTTCCATTTCAGTGCAGCAGGTAATGAGGGCTCCTCTTCTTCTTCTTCTTCCTCCCCTTTATCCTAAAAGACAACTCTTAAAATCCAGGATCTCAACTTACGGGTATTAAGGCAGTAGCTAAGATGATGTGTGCTTATGTACTAAGATTTCTTTACCTGGGCTCAAAATGGCAATAAGACAGACTTTTAAAGCACTGACAGCTGGAGGAACTTCAGCAGTTGCACATCTTGGAAGAGAACACTTTGAACCTTGATGAAGTCAGTTTATCAATACTACTGATCTGTGCTTTCCGGACTTCTTTTTTAAAGGTAAAATTTTGTCTCCCCCTCAAACAAAATGGCTGTGAGGGGCGCATTGACCATGTCTCCCCTTCTATGCCTGTCTACAGCACAGCAGTGGCAAATTAAGACCTGATGCTCTGTCTGGTAGATGCTTCACTGTCTTTCTCATACAGGAACAGAGTGGTAAAACAGCTCATTCTGTCTTTGTCTTTGATTATGGAAGACTTTGGAATGGATCTAGGTAAATTACTGCACAAAGCTTATGGTTTTGAACTTTGAAGATAAAATTTTTCAATTAAAAAAAAAAAAAGCTTTATCAAAATCTGAAGGAGCATTAGCAATAAAATCACTACCTGTATTGTAAGCTAACTTCTCTTAAAGTGTTCTTTATTTTAAATGGGCCTTGATTTGTAGTTACTTCAAGTAAAACAAAAAGCAACATTTAATCTTACTTTAGTGACAGCACTGCTCCTTGCTCTACACAGTCACTGCAGTATTCATATGAGAAGAGAGGACTTTTCCTGAGAGTAATGATTTTCAGAATTTGGATGCTTAAACTTAGGTTCTTAAATTCGTATTTAAACTCCCACACTAATGGCCTAGTATTCCAAAATCAGGACATCCAACAATTCCCCATTGCCTGGGGGTATTAGATACACATCACATACTCATGCCAGCTGTTGCCAGGCACCTAAATACAAATCTGATACTTGATTAGAGGCTCCATTGCTTTTAGCCAAAAAAGCAAAACAGCCTCTGTGTTTTGCAAATCTCTATCACTAATGACTTTTATTATTATTATTTTGTCCTGTCCTAGGAATATTTTTACTTTGTTTTACATAATATTTAAAAAATAACAATTTTGAAATTACTTAACTAGGACTTAGAGAATGGTATTTATGTACAGCTACATTTAGTGGTGGAAATATAGGAACAGGTATCATTACTGCTGTCAGAACAAGCTGGCCTAAGAAAGCACCTGGAACAGAACCAGGGCTGCACATACTGCAGAATATGTATTTCTACTAATCACTCACTGCTCTTCCACCCACCAGAGAAGAGGGATCATGTCTCCTCCAGAGGCATAGTGTATCCAGCAGTACTTCCCAAAAAGCATCATTTCTACCACAGGAATATCATTCTGGTTCTTAAAGCTAATAGCCAAGCACTATTGATATAAAATTAGAGGTCCAATGTGGAGAGACAGAAAAATAAAAAGTAAATCTTGCTTGGAAAAGGTAAAATATACACAACAGAAGAAACTTGAAACTTAGTGAGATTATGTTATAAAACAATTGTTGCATTAGAGAATTTTTTAAGTTGGTATTGGGAACTAATGTAACAGAGGTAGGAAACTCTGAGGTAAAATGTGGCATATTTTATTGAAATCAAAACGGTAATATTAAAATATTTTTCTTACTTCTACAGTTATTTTGTATCATTTCAGTAAGAAAGTTCACGCTTGAAGAAGGATAAAGAGGCTGTGATACCAGTCGCCCCCTATGATTAGTAGCTGTGAATATTAAGTTTCCAACAGGACCAGGACAATGATGGGACATGTTCCAAAACGAGAATCTTCTGGAAATTACCTTTTACAGACATAGCATCAAGCAATTCAGAAATATAATAAGAAATGATTTTCATTGTTTTCTGGTGTGCAGAACAAAGTGGAATACAGGTTAAATGTACAGACAGACATTTAGGTTCGTTTGTGGTCTGAAACCACAGAAACCTAAAAATTTTGGGGTAGGTCCTGACTCTTCTCAGGTTTAAGGTTTAAGCAGAAAGCATTTCTGTCTGCAAGCAAGGCAAAATCACACCTTTTAGTTGTCAAAGTTTGTATAGTAGAGAAGCTAAAGAAAAATGTAAAATGAAACCTTATTTAGTACTAAAGAAAGCATAAATTTCCACCTTTTTTGACTGGTTAGATCTAAGATACTTTAACATCAGTATCTATAAGGCCTTTTATTAATTACTCAGCAGTATATTCAATTTACTGAATTCTCTGATATTCAGTATAACTTTCGTTATTTCATTTACCTCTGCTGACTGAATGTATTCACCTTGCTGTTCACATCCAATATCAAAGACATATTTTCCTTGACCTACAGGCTGCACAGAGAGATACAAAAAGGTCAACAGAACTATCAAGTCTGTAAATTCTAAGCATATAAATGTAAAATATGCTTTACTACAAAATTCATATAATAGTCAATAACAATATTGTACAAGTACCAGAGAGACATGGACATACTAGAAAAAGTCCACCACAAGGCCACCAAGATGAACAAGGGACTGGAGCACCTCTCCTGTGAGAAAAGGCTGAGAGAGCTGGGACTGTACAGGCTGGAAAAGAGGAGGCTCAAGGGGATTTTTTCAATATCTATAAATACCTGAAGAGAGGGTGCAAAGGCTCTTTTCAGTAGTGCCCAGTGCCAGGACAAGAGGCAATGGACACAAACCAGAGCACAGGAGGCTCTGTCTAAATATCAGGAAAAACTTCTTTACTGTGAGTGTGCCAAGCACTGGCACAGGCTGCCCAGAGAGCTATGGGGGCTCCTCCTTGGAGATTTCCAAAAGCTACCTGGGCATGGCCCTGGGCAGCCTGCTCTGGGTGGCCCTGCTTGGGTAGGGAGATGGACCAGATGACCTCCCTTCCCACCTTAGCCATTCTGTGATTCTGTAATACTGTTTAAAAGCAAAATTGCAGAAACTTGGCTTCCTGATCTGCAGATCAATGCAGTTTCATCTGCTACATTTATCGTACAAGAAATACTCCACATGAACAGGAGCCTACCTTGTCATTTTAAATGCAAACAGATGATATTAAGACAATTCTATGCTAACTGTTCAAATGAATAGAGAATTTTCCAGCACACTTACATTTCCATTCAAAAACTTGCCCCTATATCTGTGGTTTAGGTGAATAAGTTCAGCTTCTCCTTCCTGGTTTCCATTTACCCAACCACCAACATACTTAGATCCAGTGTCTTTATACACATATGTACCTTGCCCATGCCTAAGGAGAAAAAAAAAATCTTGCTTTATATTACCAAATAAAAAGAATGTAGGATGTTGTTATACATAAGGTATTAAGGCTTAATACCAACGTCATCCAGTAACACTTGATTTTCTCAGTCATCTACACTTTGAAAATAACCATCATATTGTAATGCTACTGGGTGACTTGAAACATCACTGTAAGAATGAAACAAACCTATAATTGTTAAACCATTCTCCAGCGTAGGTGTCTCCATTTGCATAGGTATATTCTCCATAGCCATGCTTCTGGTCATTCACCCAGCTTCCTTTAATGAGAACACATCAGAACTAGAGTGAGATGTGGTATATTTCATTGTGTTATATGGTGGCCGGTTTATAAAGTTATCATACATGGGTTTAGCTAATTTCTAAGTGAGTGGAAGATGCAACTTATTAGAGAAGGAAAAGAAAGCTATGACAGCATAATGACTGGCTACTAAAAAAAACAAATTACCACTTCCTCCCACTAAACACAAAAAATCTCAAATGAAAGGAAAACATGTCTATTAAACTCTAGGCATATCTCATTTGTCTATCAACCAAAATACATTAAATCAAAGAAGTACTGATACTCCTCGGCAGAGAAAAGTTTAATTTATCATGTATCTGACAAATGGGTGAGAACCCCAACAGACAATGAGAAGAGCCATCAGTGGATGTAACAGAGTAGACAACAGCTCCACGTGCAAGATTATCCAATAACTTTCCACCTTCTGATTTGGGTATGTGTGTAAGAGCAATTCTCATTTAGGGACAAAAAAAAAGTTTGAATGTTCTCACTTAAGATGGTTTTGTTCCTCTATTCAAATACTGTCTTTGCTGCCAAGGAAAGACTTCCCCATACACAGAATTTCCAGGTTCTGTTATCTATCTTGGAAGTTCTGCCTTGTGATTCCCTGCTCATTTACCTCCTTCTCACAATAATCCACATAAATCCCCATAAATAAATTTAAAAAAAAACACTGTTCTCAGAGCTTGTGAAAAAGGGATAAAAGGAAAATGTTACATAGCAAATTTATCTTCTTAAAATAATACACTCTTCGCCATCTCCTAGTATTCTGGGGGCTGCAGAAACATGTCTTTCAGTTACGGAAATCCTTGCTACTGCATTGTGTTTTACCTTCATATTTTGATCCATCTGGGTAAAAGAAAACACCATGGCCGTGCTTTTTGTTTTGAAGATACTGTCCAATGTAGCGAGCACCATTTTTAAATCTGTACGTCCCCTGAAACATATTGGGGATAGATAAAATACGTGTCAGTTCTCGCTCTTGTTTCGATAGTGACCAGACTGACAGTACTGTGGAAACGTGAGGCAAATGCTGTCTTGGGTGATTCTGCCTCCACCCTACCTGTCCGTTCCTCAAACTGTGCTCATATTCCCCATCGTACGTATCACCGTTGGGCAGCTGTGCTTTCCCACGCCCATGTCGTTCCCCAGCTGAATTGCGCTCACCATCATACTCCTGATGAAACGTGATAAAACACAGGTTTGTGAGGGACAGCCCTGCCACCACACACACCGCTCAAGACCCCATGGCCGGCACCACCCGCCCTTTCCTTTACCTCCCGACCCTCCCGCCCTGCCCCGAGGCCCCGCACCCCGCCGGACCCCTAAATCGGCCTCGGCCTCCTCGGCCTCGCTGTCCTCGGTCCCCTCGGACTCGGACTCGGTCTCGGTCTCCTCGGGTTCGCTTTCCTCGGCCTCCCCCTCGGAGCTCAGCTCCGACATCTTGCGGCCGCGGCGCCGCCGTCACCCCGGCAACCGCGGCGCGGGGCGGGGGTGTGTGTGGGGGGGGTGCGCTCCGCCGCCATGTTGCTGCCGTGGCAACGGGCGGGGGCGCGCTGCTGTCCCGGGTGCTGAGGGGCGGCGGGGCAGGGGAATGCTGAGTGAATAAAGGCTTGGTCTGCCATTCCCTGCTCTGTGCTTCTTCCCTTTGCCTGGGCGGGGTGGGCTTGCCTGTTTTGTGCTTCTTTTGTTTACCTAAGGGTTGTGAAAGCGGCTGGTGAGCTCAGATCTTTCCCCGTGCAGGGTGGTGGGTCCCACTGTAAACACACTTCCTCGGGTGAAGCCCAACAGCCTTCAGCCCCAAGATCTGAAAGCCCTCAGGATTTCACTTTTCACTTTCTGCCTGCTCCACAGAGCCTGCAGGAGCCTGGTGGCACTGGGGGCCTGCCAGTGATAGCAGGGCTCCTGCACAGGGTGACCTCCTGAGGTCCCTCCCAACCTCAGCCATCCTGGGATTCTGTGGCACAGGCAAATCACCTCACTGTCATTTTGTGAGGTGATTTAATGGCTAAGGTTTCACAACAGGGGGTTTCACAACGTGAGGGTGCGCGTGGTGAAAAGCAGCTAGCTAGCTAAGCACCGTGCAGAGGTGGCGAGGTGTCTGAGGTAGGCAGCAAAAGGAGTGCCAGGTGGCTGGCAAATGTGTTGTAGGTCAAAGATTTACCACCCAGAATAGAAGAAAAACAAAACCTCTATACAAAGATATGCCATATATCCGGGTCATTTTGTTGATTTTTACAGATAGGAATCTGAAGAGCCAGTATCAAGGTGTGTCACTTTTGTAGCACGTACATCTTCTTGTTTTCAGCTGGGCAAAGATGAAAAAGGCATCCTGTTCTTAGCTAGGAGGAACCCAGTGGGCTCCCAAGTTAGCACTCAGTCGTTAATTTGAGAGTGCTTTCTGTCTGAAATATTTAAGAGCACTGAAATTACTTTTTGTTAGCTGGCAGAGCATTATAACGCAGCTATATTTTTTATTAACTCAAAATCGTGTGGTTATTTCTGTTTCATCCACTTCCCCAGCATTTGACAAGGGAAGTCTGATTTGCATAATGGCTGCAGTGTTAATAAGTAACTGCAGAGTATGTAAATTACTACTCTAATTGCTTACCTCCTGCACAATTGGATCTGAGTACACCTTCCCGAAGCACTGGTGTTTTCTCCTTTATCACTCTTGATACCTAAGTTTCTTCTTTCACCTAAGGAAGGCTAAATGCCTTTATCTACAATAAGGTAATGTCTCTAACTACAAAAGCACTTACTTAGTCTGTGAGTGGCACGTTAGTTGGAAGCAGACACTGTGACTCAGAGCTATAAGGGAAAACATGTTTGGGATGCCTATAGAGGTGTGCCCTGCTCAACCCAATGACAGAAATAACCGGATGTGTGTTGTAGCTTCAAAGTTCACGTAGCCAAGGGGACCAGCTGTGACACACACAGGAAGCAGGGACAAGCTGTCAAATACACTCCCCTTCACTGTCACTAAATGTTCTTGCTGGATGCCTGGTTTCAGAGCCGTGAAGGAGGAAAGGATCTGAGGGAAAAAAACAGTTCACTTGGCTTGCGAACCAGACAGGAGCTCTTTCTTTATAATTTCTCTAGAAATGGCAGATAGCACAAGCATCTGTATTGCAGGATCACACAGCTGACCTCAAGCACCATTTGAAGGTTTCTACAGCTAGCTCTCCTGTGAGGACAACTACAGCTTGTATGAATGCACATAATGACAAGGAGGGTATATTTTGTAGCTTCTGTTCTTCCAGCTGCATTTTGGTGTATTTCAAAGTCAGATGAAAGTTAAGCTCTAAGTATGAAACTCTTGAAAAAAGGGCTATTACCATCCTTATTTTCTTGTTCTTTTTCCTTTTCTGTCAAACGACTGACATAATACTGTAAGTGCTCTTTAGGTCCTGCTGATCTTGGACCTCTGGAGAGGGAGCCCCAGGGAAGAAACCCCTGAGGCTGTTGCTGCCAGAGATGTTTGCAAACAGGGAGAAGTAGCAACACAGCAAAGCAAGAAGCTGTGAGACACAGGACCCTATCAAGTGCCTATGGCGGGAGAGGACAGCCTTGGCTTTCCCTTTAACCTGCTTTGCAGTCCTCCTTTTGAATTTAGCCAGTGCCCTATGGGGAGGAATGGCCAAAATGCACGCGTAAAGCCTTGCTGTGCTCCTGCCTGTCTTTGGACTTTATTCTCAGTTAGGAGAGGGGAGACTCTGGGCAGTGCAGGGACTTGGGGAGGAAAATGTTGTGCCAGGCCTGGCCTCAAGGGCTCAATTCCAGCATGGGCTGAGCTATGAAACCACAACGAGCGTCAGAAATGACGGTATGTGCTACCTCTGATGTGGTAAAGGCGGCGTGCTCACAGATTCATGCTGGGCGTGCTTCGTTTTCTCTGCCCGCTGGGAGCTGCCTCTCCCACCCCCTGTCCTGCCAGGCGTCCTTTCCCCAGAGGCAAGCAACGCACTGTCAGTCTGCTTTTCTCCACCCAGCCAGGGACATGGCTCCAGGGGCTCTTCATTTTAAATCCTGCCATCAAAATAAACAGGGAGAGTGGGGGTAGCTTCCCTGGTTGCTGGTTTCAAAAGTTGCTGTCCTTGCTTTCCTACTGATAAACTGAGATTCTCAGGCCCATGCCTGGGGGTGCTAAGTCACTTGGAGTTGTGCTCTGGGCTAAATTACAGCTGCAAGTGACGAGTTATTTCTCTTGTTAGGGGAGGGGAGGCCCAGGCAAGATTATGGCTTTCGCCAGTTATTTAAAGAACAGAAATCTGCAGGGAAATACTTTGTTATTCCATAAAATATCTTCATTTACATCCTTCTTCTTTTAAAAGCCCAAACCACAGTCTGGTATATGGCATGGTCAGTATCATCTACTTGCAGACTGTAACCTGGAGTTGTCAGAAAAACTTAATGAAATCAGCTCACTTCCTCCTGAAACTGAAATATAAAGCAGGTTGACTTCATCAGCCTTTCAGAGGAAAATTGTGGGGTTAGGGAATTAAAATAATATCTTAAGGGGAGTTCTTGTTTCAGAATATACATTTCAGGTCTTTTTATTATTCTGCCATATATACTGTCAGATGCAATTAAAGAATTCAGAATATTCTGAACAGAATATTTTCTTAGGTTATGGAAGCAAAGAGTGGACAAAGTAGAATTTGCTGTCATTAACTTCTGTATATTTTTTTCTCTCCAAATCAGAATGAATCCAGATTCGGAACTGTCAAAGTCCTTTGCAAAATGGGAACTTCTCTCCATACAGCTCTGTTTTAAGCCCTTTACAGGCCAAATGAAAGCTGCTGCTTAGTTTGTTTGCATGCCAAGCAAAGATAGCCTCTTTCTGTGCTTACAAGCAAGCCAGAAAAACAAGTAAATGACCTTTCTAGCCACTCAGTTCACAACTGCCTCCTCCCACCCAGTACAAGTAACATTGGGATATCCTGAAAGCCAGATGATAAGGAAAGAAAAGACTGTGTGAAGGCTATTGTTGAAATATTGGCAGTACTTCTTTGTGTCCTGGCTAAATTTAACCCTTCAGCTCCTTCCTGTAAAATGGCCAAGGAAGAGCGCGCTGTTGTATTTATACCCGTATTTATACTGCCTCCCACTTCTCTGACCTTACTGCTAATTTTGAAGTATGGAGTACAATCTATTCTTCAGACATACGGGAAATTTTTCAAATTTTTCTTTTTCTTTCAGGTTTTCCTTTCCACTGAAGTGCAATTAGGATGCATACCTCTGCTACTCTATTTAGGAAATTATTGCTAATGTCTTTTCCCAAGCCTTTTAAGACAGTCAGCGTTGCTACTTCTACCAAGAAAGCAGTTGGCATTCATGAGATAAAACGTATCTTTTGGTCAAGTAGAAGAATAAAGCAGTGTTAATATTAAGTTTTTCTCTGCAAATGAGTTTGTTTATTTAAGGAAACAAACAAAAAGCAACCAACCAAACCAAAATGAAACCGCAAACCTAAGCTTCTTGTTTATGCACAGTTTATAATGACATAAAGATAAAACAGCCCAAACCTTTTTTCTTTTTTTTTTCTTTTTTTTTTTTTCCCCAAACATCTGAAGTTCTAATCTGGTATCTCAGAATGAATTCAACAGAGAAGAATGAAATGATTGAGGTAGATGGGACTATTTGGCTACCTCCTCATTCCTGTCAGCTTGGATACCTTCATATTTTATCTTCTTATTCATGACTTTCAAGGAGATTGCTTTAGTGTAGGCTCTCCTCTAGTCTGCTTTCTATTATACCATGGTATTTGTAACTGTTCTGGTATTTGATTTCTATCTCAAAATGCCACCGTCCTCCATTCTCATATGACTACTCTCCAGTGATCAAATCCACAACCAAGGGAAATGAAATCTATCAGTAGCCTACCTCCCTGGTTTAATCTGCTTACTCCTCAGTAATTGTTTCTATAGCTACTTCTTGCACATTCACTCAGCCCTCTGGCCAATTTAGGAAGGGTAGAAATAAGCGTAAAAAACAAAAGAAAGTCTCCTGTTTCCTGATGGAAGCAGAATGAATTCTTCAAGATAAGATCCTCAGAATAAACGTTTTTCTTTTGTAATGTTAGATGGTATATCTCTTGGTTTGCATATTCCATTTATAATAAAACTGCTTGATTATATGTATTAATTCGGCATTGTCAGTACATTCTTGACCATTTTTTCCTGTGAGCAGGTGGCTGAAGGTACAATAGAGCTGTTTGGTCTCTATCCAGCAATCTTCCATCCTAACTACAGGGCCACAGATCATCCCCATAACAACAAGACATATGCAGTAGATTTGCCTGGGACTTCATCCAGTAGGTCTTACCCTAATAGACACCCATGTTGCTATAAATGCTTTTTTTACAGGTCCTTCTTTAGAAAATATGAGGTGATTTCACAGTTCCACTCTCCACCCCTCTGGAAAGCCCCCACAAGTGTCAAAGTAGCGTCCTACCAGCAAGACTGACCCAATTTTTCTGATTCTGAACTGACAGGCAATTCTTGGGCTTCAAATAAATGCCATATTCCTAAATGTCTCCCATAGTTGCAGCAATATCTGTCTTTAGCTAGGAGTCATGGTGACAGTTCTACTGCCACCTCCATGTTCTACTGGCTACAGATTTTCTTTGTAAGCAGCCTTTAGTACCCAGGTACTGACCTGATCTGGTTGGGGGAAAGGCTGTGCTGGCACCGTGGTCCTGTCTGCCCATCTCTTTTCCTGAAGACAACTCCTGGTGTTTCTCACTAGCTTCGTTGAGAGCTAGATGTGGTGATAAGTACCGGTCTGGAAACCGTGTAGTCATACTATTGTGGCACCGTGCCAGAGCTAAAAATTCCCATCAGCAGGCAGGACACGCCGTGCCAACTCAGCTCTACAGCTCCCAGCCCAAAGCTGGCCTACCTCCAGCCCTGTCTGAGGATGGCTGAAATGGGGCTCTACCTGTCTGCTCCCGTCCATACAGACACATCCTTCACAGCCTCTTTCTTTTTTGTCTCTTTGGGTATATATATACGTATATATATATATGTTTGCCAAAGCCTGATATAGCCAGGCTATATTTGGATTGCACCCAAGCGTTGATGTGAATTGCTTATACAATATCCCAGCTGCTCTGTTGGGAAAACAAAGATGCAAAACCAATAAAGGCAACTAAAAGCCATGATTATACCAGTCCAGGGAATTCTGCTACTTGTGTGGAATAAAGTCTGAGTAAATATTACTTCCTATGTAGTAAAATGCTATCTAAAACCCATTATTATGTAAAGAAGTTATGAACTTTTTAGATCCCCTAAGACAATGAGGTTTCTCGGTGGCTATACAGATTAGCCTTTCCCATCTGTGCAACCAGGAATCATAAAATATGCTCATGTAATTTGCTGGAAAGAAAATAAATACATTAATCAGCTAAAGGATGCAATAGTTTGTATTCAGACCTCAGTTCGGCCAACGTCACCTGTGCAGCAAACAAAAGACTGTGCTGACATCCATTGACTTCAAAGTGTTTTGTGAAGTCGGGACTGGAGACGTTAAAAGCACCACTCTTGTTCAGCAGAAATACAATCTAGCTGTCCACCGGGAAATTAGGTTATATTTTCAGAAAGCAGTGCCAGCAGAGGTGTAAGTAAGCATCTGTCGGTGCATATACCTTTTCTTTTGTTTGGTTTGGCAGAAAAAAGCACGCCCTTTCCTATTTCTTTTACTACGAATGTTTCCAGAGGCTTAAAAAGCCAAGCTGCTGCCACAATTGCTACCAATACAACTATTTACTGGACCATATCCTTCATTTGTGTTTTCTTCTAGAAAGGAACTGGCAAAATTCCCTTTCTGTTCTTTTCTGCAAGGCTCTAGATCATATACGCTATTTTTAAAAATGTTTTTTGTGCCTTACTTTTTAACCACTCCCTCCAGGCCATACATTTCTGTCTGTCTCCAGCTGATGTCTGGCCCTGCTTTGCTGCTCCCCACCAGCACTCTGTTGCACAAGCAGCAGCACAAAGCTCCCGTCACCCATTACATGCATATTCTTACCCTTTTTTGCAGGCTTCTGTCAACTTTAGCTGCTAGTGACCAGTGCTGGCACAGCAGAAAGCACCTGTGCCAAGTGTAGCAGCCAGCAGGACTGGGAGAGTACCTGTATTTTAATGGGAAATGCAGTTTCTACTTTAAGTAGGAAAAATACAAGGTTTTTTATGTTGTTTGGCTTGTGCTTTTTGCAAGTTGCTTGTAATGGAAGACAGAAAGATACTTAAGCAAGGCTAAATTCTTTAAGGAATTAAAAAGAGCCAAGCCAAAATACATTTTAAAAATATGAGGATCCTGCATGATGATGGTAGTTGCCATGATAATTTGGGGTGACTAGCCACGTACACAAACAAATGCACCGTGATGGGTCTGACCTTCTCTGCTGTAAGGAGGTAAATCTTCATTTTGTGTGTGTGCTGACTGGGGTAACTGCTGCCTGGATGCCTTCCTGTGCTGGTGCAGAGGTGCAGCGACATGATTCATGCAAGCCGCTTCCTGGGGAGCATTCGCTTTCTATTTTTTTCTCTGCTGAAGAGCTGTTCCAGCAGAAATGCCAAGCATCAGCATACCCAGATGTTCTGCTCTGGCTGTAATTACCCCTCTATACCTGATGCTCGCCTGTGCCGTTCCACCTCGGGGCACAAATGCCCGCTTAGTGAGACAAGGGCATTTCCATGGCACACCTGCACAGCATTAGGAGGCCTGAAGTCCTTCCTTGGTCCGGTTCATGATGGTAAATGTGGAGGGCAACTATAGACACAGACACCAACAAGTTTTTTCCTATGTGTGTGTCGTGTTTGTTTTTTTTTGAACCTCAGCTTCAGGGCTCCCAGATCACAGCTAGACAGCCGTGAGCCTGAGCAGGAGCCAACATCTGCTGGCGACAAGCAGGAAAGCAGCAGGAAAGCAGCACCCAGCGGCATTGGCGATGGCGCAGTGTAACCCCGAGACCCTTGCCCTCGCTATTTGAAGGGAGAAGGGCTTGGTTGCTCAGCGATGAAACCACCAGAGCAGGGGCCAGCTTCTCACCCCTGCAAGCCGGGGACGGCACATCACACGGACCTTCCTCCATGCTTCCCCTTCCCTCTCCTCAGCCCAAACCCCAGAACCCAGCGGCAACCCCACGCTTTCCCCGTCAGTTTCCCGAACCAGCCTGCCCCGGGGGGGGCTCCATTTCCCCCTCAGGGCCCTCAGCGGGGCCCGGAGCCGAGCCGAGCCGAGCCGGGCCGTGCCCGCCCTGCCGCCGCGGGGCGCTCAGCTCCCCCCGGCATGGCTGGGCTCGGCTCGGAGCTCCGGGGAGGGGCCCGGGCGGCCCGGCAGCCTCGCCCGGCCGCTGTGGGCTCGGGCACGGAGCAGGAAGGCGGCGGAGGGTAGGCTCCGAGGGACACGGAGGGAGCGGGAGGGGACCGGGAGGGAGCGAGGGGGGGGGTGCCGTCCACCTGCCGCGCCCCCCCGGGGGCCGATCGGGAGGCGGCGCCCGTGCCCCCGCCGTGCCTTTGTGCTCGTCCCGGTGCCGCTGCTGCCTCGGCCTGAGGCCGGCATGAGGCAGGCCGGGCTCCCTGCTGCTCCCCGGAGAGCCCAGCGGGTCGGGGTGCTGCTGGTTGGGGTGCGGGGTCCAGCGCCTGAGGTCTGTGCCTCAGGGTGTCTGCAGCCCCTGCCCCCATGAGGAACTGAAGGAGCTTCGTGTGGTGCCTCCCAGCACCCGAGCCAAGGCTTTCCAAGCATCTTCAGTGGGAAAAGCCGGTCCCAAATGACCCTGTTTTCCCTCAACAGGGGGGGAGCTGAGCTTCGTGTGGGACGCCTTGAAGGAGCAGCGTGAAGTTTGGGAGGTAAGTAGGGGCGCAGAGGATGGCAGCGTCGCCTCACGCGTGGCAGGAGGAAGCAAGGCTGCTCGCCTGCCATCAGGTAAAACGGGTACCGAAAATGAAAGGCCACGTCAAGAGGCTGAATTTCGTCCTCAGCCTTCATTAGTGAAACCGAAATACAAAGGGCACCCTGGTTATTTGTTGTGGCTGCAGCAGGATGTGTGCCTAATAACCCCTTCGCCAGTTTTACTGCTACGAGTTTCCTCGCTGTGTTGCGTTTATTTGTCAATAAATGCACAACCTGCACGGCAGGGGAGCTTGTGGAGTTACGGGGATGGAGACATGGAGCTGAGAAGTAAGTGAGAGCTTGGGTCACGCAATAACTCTCCAGACACGGTAAGGCCAGTGTCTGCGTCCCCGCCTGCAGAAGATAAGATGAAATCAGCCCCTGCCAAGTAGAGTTAGGGTGTAGCTCCCAAAAGGCTGCTGATAGTTCAGCCCTTGGACTGCTGGGGCCTCTGGACTCTGGATTTACAGTAAGGAGTTAGGAGGTGGTTGGTGGTGGTGTGTTTTTTGGTGTTTGGTTTTTAGAAAAAGCAGGAGGGGGCGTGAATATGCGCTGTGCAGCAGGTGCGCAGCCTCCTGCGAACACCTAGCAATGAAACCTTTTGTGAGATGGGTGAAGTCTTTTTGAGACTGTTTACACTAAAGCTGTTAAATAGTAACCTAATAGTAACCTGTTAAACAATTCCTTTTCTGTGATGGCCCTTGCCTTACCACATTATATTTAAAGGGAACCATTTGAAGAGGCTTAAGATATCTTTTTTATTTATTTATTTTGCTAGCTTCTTGCTTTTTTTTTTTTTTTTTTTCCCAGTAAATATTTCTGCCCCCTCACTTAGAGTAAGGTCACTTAAATAATAGCTCTGTTGTTTGAGTTAACTGAGAGAGAAGGTAGGGTTGGGATTCTGAAACAGGTGTGCTACGGGTGGAAGAATCTGCTCTGTGGTGGTTGGTCGTGCCCACCTCTTTTTTCCTCCTGCATTTCTTCTCCCACTGGAGCTATCCAGAGCTTACTTCAACCAAACATGAAATTACCGATAGGCATTTGTTAGTTTGAAATTCAGCTGCTGTGACAGCTAGCCATTGCTGCGGTGCCCCCTACAGCCCCTGTCTTCATGCTCCTGCTGCTTCAAATAGCAGTTTTGTGGCTGCAGAGTGAGTTCACGTCTTCTGTTGGATCAACTGTTTCTCAGGGCAGGTTTTCTGATAGATGAGCTGTTTGGACCATCAGTGCATGGCTGTAAGGTCTGGCACGTAGGGAGTTGGGAAGCTATGGTTGGGCTTGGATGAGGGGTGAAAGGTAAGGTTATACTCTTCCTAGCCCTAGCAGCCACAGAGAAGAGGTAGGAAACTCGTGGCAGGAGAGGTGGGAATGATTATGAGGTTTGCTGATTAACTGCACAGCCTGATTCAGGGCAGGGGGGGGAGGTGGAACGTGCCAAACAAGATTAGCAGGTCTATTCGCTTCCGGAGAAGGGAGATGTCAAGGACATTACGAAAAATTAAAGGTATGACAAAAATATGTGTCTGCAAAAGGGACCAGACCCTTGGGCTTTTGGTGTGATAGTCTGTTATGTGAAGAGGTGGTAGTTTTCTACCACTTCAAAGGAAAAAGCCTGTGTGGATACTGAAGTTTCCAAGTTGCCAGCGTTGACACAACAGAATCCTGTTCAGTGTTGCCACTCAGCTGGCTGCGGACAGACAATCAGCTTTGCTTTCTGCAATAGAGGAGAGGAGAGAGGCTCATTCATCTCCCTGTCATGTGGCAGCCTCTAAAATTCCCAGGTTAGGACAGACCCTTAGTTTTGGCCAGTGTGTTGACTTCAGAGGTTTCCCTTTAGCTCGCTTCCCCTTGTTTGCCGGGGGAGCTGGTCCAGGAGCGTGGCAGTGGCCGGAGCTGGCTTGAAGCCTACCAGTTGTGCTGCCAGCAGGGTAGGGGTTACGGTGCTGATCCTGGTCAGGGAGACTGCTGCTGATGTCCTAGTCCTACCTCGTACATCATTTACCATCCTGCTGGGAGGGCTCTGCTGTTGGCACACAGGGAGGCTCGGTTTGCTGGCATGGGTTGCAGGCACTCCCTTTGCCCACAGCGCCTTTTGTCATCTTACAGCTGACTCAAGACTTGCTGCGAAGTCACTGCAGCCAGTTCCTGTTGCAGTACCTGCAATAAAGGATACACTGCGGTTTTGTTTCTGATGAGGGGTTTTGGCCAGAGTTTGAAGAAGCAGGAGGAACCTTACGATGTTTTAAACCAAACTGGATCAATGCTGACATGGTCTCACAGTTTCCCTGCATGTCGCATCTGCACGCAAGCCTGCCTTCTCCTTTGTGCTGCCTGGCCCCTGGGTGAGCTAGTGGGGAAACTTTTGGTTTGTTTTTCCAAGTTTGCTGATGATTTGGTGCTTTGTGCAGCACTGGTACTGGGACAGGGGAATCAGGCTGGAGGAGGGAGTGCCAGTCAATTCTTGCTGGCAGCATTGTTCAGCCACACAGGACCTCAAGCTGGAGGGTTCTCTGTTCTGGGTTGAAAACACTACAGTCACCTTTGTAGCAAATTTCAGCCTCATGAATGTTTCTGATATGTTAAAATAGATCTTTCTAAGGTGGATAATTACCTATTTGTACTCTTTTCTGGGACAAAAGCAGTGTATTGATGTCAGCAGGCTTTGGAATCATGTTCTAAGTGCATCTTTTCCTTCTGCCCCTGTTACCTTATCCTGTGCTTGCTTCTCAAAATAGATTATCCATGATAAAATTCAGAAAAGGCTGCAATTTTTCCTGGCTTAGAGTTCTCCATTACACTTTCGATATCTAGAAGTTATGGTAATGGCTTTTATCTGGAATAGGTCATTGCAGTTGAAATATTGTGATTAGAAAATTTTATAATACCTTGATGAGAATATTTACTTACCAGCTTTTCTTATTTACAGATCAGCAATTAACAGAAACAGGGTAAAGAATTGGAAACGTAGTGACTGAAGGTGAAAGAAAAGGATCTAAAGAGACATCTTCCGAGTTTGTGAACAGCCTACAGTTGCACAGCTCGGGGAGGATCTTTGTTACACATTCTGAACAGGAGCTAACATTTTCACAAGCGCGTAATCGTGTCGCCTAAAATTTGATACCAGCTGTAGATGGCTCAGCTTCCTCCTGGGATTCGCTTCATCACTTCATTTTCACGAGATCAGTGGTAAGTCTTCAAGTATGGTGCTGCTCTTTATTTTAGACTATATGAGTTTGTGTCTGGGGAAGATGATTCTGTTGCCTTGCTCTGTTTTTGCCTTTTCATCGCTGGGTATATACAGCAAAAAAAATGTAGTCAGTTGTAAAACGTGAGAAATACTTATTTGTTATACAAGTATTTGTCAAGTGTGCTAGACAGTAAATTCTTTTGTCCTTTTCAAGTTGTGCATTTGAGGAGATAAATTTCATCGTTCTGCTTTCAAACTCATAGTTGAGGGGGATGCTCGAGATTAGCCTTCTTGTATTAATAAGAAGTACATAGTCTTCCCCATAAATTGATGTGTGATACAGACCTTTAGAATTATGATCTTAGTTCTTGCTGCTGTAATATTTTTTTTAAATGCTTTTGAAAGTTAATCCTTAAAGGTGGATGGCATTGGTTCTTGTTCTTTTGGAGAGAGAATACTGAGTAAATTGTGTGTGAGTAACAAAAAACAAATGAAGGACCAAGCAATTCCCATTGGAACAATTTATCACTTACTTTATTTAGTAAAGCAGCAAGGACAGAGTCATTGTGTTTTTATCACTCGTGAAGATGCCCACAGTAATGGGAGTGAATAACCCATCTTACAGGATAACTCTCTTAACCCACCTTTTTTTTTTTTTAGTGTCTTTATGAGTATGCCTGAACTATAAGACAAAACACTTGTTATGTAGAAGTTTATTAGGCAAAAAATGATTGAAGATTAATTGACAATGAAGGACCATACTAAGTTATCAGATTGGTATATAGTATGTATATATGCGGTTTTATTTGCAGATTTTTACATTAAGATCAAGGCTAGAAGGAGACAGGAGATTTGCTCTGATCCCATTGTATTGTTAAAAATAGAAATCCACAAAACTCTCCTTAAACAGGGAGGGAATAGAATAGATCAGTTTGCTGTCTTTGCCTAACCCTTGCAGTGGCAGGGAGTTTGAGATTCCCTTATAATTCAGGTGAACTGCAGGAAAAAAAACAAGGGTGCCAGCAAGGTGTGAGGGGAAAAAGTCTTTTCAATCCCAAGGCTGGATAATTATGTTCATGTGCTCCAGTACACACTGTCAGTGTCTGTCTGTACCTCAGTCTCTAGAAGTGGTTGATTTCTGTTGATACAGAAGAAGGCAAAAATAAAGCAAAAATCCACAAAGCAGTAAGGAAAGAAACAAATAATAATCCATAGGAGCTAAATTGACAACTCAGCCATTATTTATGTCTTAATTGTAGCAGAAACCTGGGTGAGACTGTGAAAAATGAGATCTGACTGTGTTTAATGTTGAACTGCCTTTTAATAGCCCGCAAAGAAAGGTTGTAAACAAGGCAGATTATCTCTGTAGTATATCACAAAACTCCTGTCCATGTTTAAACTCCTGTCCATGTTTGTACATCACAAAACTCCCTTCCAAAGCCGGGGCAGGTGTTCTAAAGCAGTACTACTGACTGTTAGGGTGGTTCTGGCTGTTAGAGAACATGAAAAAAGTTCTCAAACTATTCCAAGGTTACAAATGACTTGTGTAACATTTGTATGTAACAGCAGTAAAATCCAAATAAAATCATTTTCAAATATGTATCTATTTTTTATATTATAGGTATAGAGCCTTCATTTTCACTCTCACCTTCTTCTTGTACGCCAGCTTCCATCTATCAAGGAAACCTATCAGTATAGTTAAGGTAAGCAAGGTTGCTATGTCGTTGTTTAAACATCCTTCAGCTGTTATCAGAAGAGGAAGTAGTCTTCTTTTTCAGTGCTTTCTTTTGTGAAAGACAATGTTAAAGTTTAACTTGGAATGGTTTTAAAGATGAAAACCTGATAAAGTTGGCACACAGTGACATTTACGTAGTAAACGTCAGTGACACCACTCCTAAAATACTGTTTGTACTTCTATTCTTTGGAACAGCTATGCCTACACTTGAGACTATTCATGCGAATTAATCTAAACTCTAGGTATGTAAGAGTTTACAGCCTGACATTCTTATGTTTGAGAAAGGCTCTTGTAACTGATGAGTTAAATGTGATAAAATTGAGTTAAATACAATAAAATTCTACCGACGTTTACAAGACTGTTCCAAGTGCTGTTGAGCATCATATTCATAGTTGTATATACAGTTGGGATTTTTTGTACATTGCTGCACACTCCATGGGATTTCTTTTTTTTCACTTTGGTTCTCAGTGAAGCTGGTGACAAAATATTATCTATACCTGTTTTTTTTTAATTATTATTATTCTAATCTCATGCATCTGTAACTTACCAAACACAAATCAAATCGCCCAGGGTGGTTATATATAACTGATGAGTAAAAATGGGCAAAATAGCTTGATGTTAGTGACTAATTTTGAAATCCTGCAGTTTCAGAAACACCAATTCACTGTAGCATATTACTGGCCAGGTGATTGCTTTTAGATGTAATGGTGGCTTCACTCAGCAAAATACCAAGCAATTAATGACTTAACATTTTACTGGTTTTAGTGGATTTGACACAGGTTCATGTAGAACTAGAATTATTAATTTTGTTGCTGAATGGAGTTTAACAGGTTTCTGTCACGAGTAAATTTTCAGTCTCAAATTTCCTTTCTATATCAGGGAGAGCTGCATAAGCATTGTGCTGCTTCGCATGAAGTTGAGCTCAGCTCCTACAGAGAATATGCTGCCCAGATTCAGCATGTCAAAAAGCCATCTAATGCATCTCAGTGTGGTTGGGAACCATTTGGTAAGGCGTTTTTTTCCTTTTTTGTTCCATAACAATGTGCTGATATTAGTAATTAGGTTATCTGTCTCTTGCTATCCTTCTTATGTGGAGGGATTCAGATGTATATGGGAAGGGTATTTTTTCCAATGTTCTCATTAGTTTTTCCAAAACAAGTTAAGTCAAGACTTAATGTCTTGCCTGCTCTAAAAAACTGACATTACTTTACCTGTTAGAGCTTTGAGGTGGTTTCGGTAGAACACTTTCAGTCAGTAAATGGGACTATGTAGAGGTTTAGATATGTCTTTAGAATGTTTATTAACGAAGAAGAGGGGACAGAATAAAATAAATCATTATGATTTTCTGCTGTGTTAGTTCAAAGTTCAGCAGTAATTTAAATGAAATTACTTAGTGTTTATCTAAACTGGAACTTTTCAGAGTCTCTCTCTGCCAGAAAGATTTTTTTTTTTTGCAATTTTAATATAAAAAAAGTGGCACTTTATTACAGAACAGAGTTGCTAACTTATAAACCTGGTCTTTTACTTAAAAAAAAAAAAAAAAAAAGTGAAGTTACTTACAAAGTAACTTCAAATTTCATTATATTTGAACTTAATAGAGATTTTGAATCATTCCTTGGTACTTTCATCTCTGCCAAGAACGTCAGTGGAGTGGAGTAGTCCATTCTATCAGTGTGCTAGTTCACTCCAGTCTATCTGGCAATCAGTTAATCCATTCTAATTGTTCTTTAATTATCAAATTACAAAAAAAAAAAAAAAATCCCCCTCTTTTCCAAGGTAATTAAAGATCTGAGCTCTTGGTTTTCTGTGGACAGAGTTCTATGTATTAACTGCCTGCTGCAAGGTAGTCAGTGTACTGAAATGATGTAGTTTCACACGTTTTCCAAATGCTCTAGGTTGCAGTAAAACTTGATTGCTGTTTCTTGCCTCTTGACCAAGGGGAGACTGCACTTGCTTGTCTAAACCACAAGTTAGCTTTCCTAATTTTGAAAACTTCTGAGCTCATGTCCTTCTTTTTTTCCATGAACACGTGTGTTATTGCAAAGCTGCCCCTTGGGGTGTGCCCTAGACTTGTTCTTTCAGCATAACTGGCAAGCTGGTAGCACCACTGAAAGAGGAATGTTTTAATAACTTTGCCTTTATTCTCTCAAAGTCAGTGGAAATTGTGGCTCCTTGCAAATACACAAATTGTCTGTCTTGGTATGAGCTCAGGTCACTTGAGACTAGACGTGGTGTTTCTAACTGGGTGGAGTTCTGTCTGCTGCATCCCTGCCTCTTCCAAGTGCCTTTTGCTGTGATTATGGTCATTTCTTGTACAGAGCTGGACTTCTTTTTAAAAAAAAAACAACAACAACAAAAACAATACTTCTATCACTGTGCTTTGTGAGAATTTGGGGATTGAAATGTGAAAGATTAACCATTTTATAAATTGTACTAAGATGACTACTCAGAAGCCTGGATGATGATGGATTATTTAAGCTGTTTTGGCTTTTAGGACCACACATTTGAAACATATCTTTCCACTGTGCTTTTAAGAAGACCCTTTAAAGTTTAGGGCTTTGTTTTGTGTTATTTGTTTGTTTTGTCTAAGGAGCTGTAAGAAGAGGGGACCTTGTTAATAACTGTCGTTTCTTCTTTCCTAACAACTCAAATGAATAAAGTGGAATCAAGAGTGTGCCTAGCAATATGTTCCTAGTACATTACAGATAACAGCATAAATTGTAGATTTTTGTTATTGTTATTAAATGCGTTTTGCATAATGCATGCTTAAGTCCCTTTTAAAAGTGTCCATTTAAAATTAAATGTCAATGCATATTCACTAACTTTTTTTCCTATATTATGTAGAAATGTTGGCAAGTTACTGCTATGTTTAGACTGATGATTTGTTTTGAACATATATTCTTAGATAAGAATAACTACAAGCAGTTATTGGGAGCACTGGATTACTCATTCCTGTGTGCATATGCAATTGGAATGTACTTAAGGTAAATCTCGGAAGGCTGCTTTATCACTCACTATCAACATAGGTGGCTGTACTGCTTCTGAGATGTTGTCCTCTCTGATTGTAAAGTTTCTGATGGAGAGAATGAGAACTTGGATGTCATTCTCCCATTTCTGTGCTAGTTGCTGGGGAAAAAAATGCAAAATCCTGAGTTCCCAGTGGTAGCATACCTGTTGGTATGTAGAAAGATTTTTACCCCCATCTGACTGCCTTATACAGGAATGCTTTCCGGCTTGTGGTCTAGCCTGTCTTCCTTCATGTTGCACTGGAGCTAGGATACATATCCCCAGACTTTATCTGTGTCAAACGTGCATATGTGGACAAAGGTGACTGTCCTGGCTTTCTTTGTAGTCGAAGAACAGTACCAGACACCTCATAAAAATGCATCAAACCTATCGTAAAGTGTACAATATTAACTCCCATTTGGAGATGCCTCTTTTTATTCACTAAAAGTGGGACCTTCATAACCAAAGTCATTAGCAACGGAGGTAAGTCTCACTTTAAATGGGTTCAGATGTACTATGTCATGGGTCATTGGGAAAATAATTCTCCAAGTAGTCACTTCCAATGTGCTGCAGGTGAGTAGCTCCCTGAAAGATGGTTGTGCAGATGACAGCACTTGACAGTTAATGAACATGAAATGTTTGCTGCTTTATTCTAACAAGTGCTAAAAAAAACATTTGCTTCTGCGAGGAAAAAAATGAGCTACCAGTAAAGTTTTTCCTCAACCTGAATTAAGCAGCACAAAATATTCTTTCTTCCTGAAAGCTTGGGGTGTGATCTCATTTTTAATTATAGCTTTTCTTTTTCTTCCCTTCCACATTTCAAGTGGGATAATAGGAGAACGGCTACCTATCCGCTACTATCTGACAGTCGGAATGCTTGCCAGCGGACTCTTCACTGCAATGTTTGGATTGGGTTATTTCTATAATATACATAACCTGTGGTTTTACATAATGGCCCAGGTAGGCACAATGTTACCTAGACACTTGAGTTTCCATGGTGTTTTTTAGTGTTGTATTGTTTTTCTTTCTTTTTTTCTTTTGAGTTGCAAATTGTGATTAGTGGTTAGATGGGAAGATCTGAAGGCTGGGATACATTGCCATTGACAACAGTCGGAAATGATTGAGTGGATCACCTCAGGTTTTATTTTTAAAAAATGTTGTTTTTATTTTTTTAATGGAAGAAATCTTTGAAAACAAATTAGTGTTTCAATCTGTGTCAAATCATTGATCAAATCTTTGCAAGCTTAAATGTGGGCGAGTTTTAAAACAAATGTATTTATTTCTGTCAGTCTGCCAAGACCTGAGTGACGCATCCTGGCTTTCTGTGCAGGAAAATTACATTTATGCTGCTAATGATGAAGTCTCCCACCTTCGTGTGGCTGAGAACAGGCAGCTCCTGTAATGAAAATTCATCGCGTGGGATTTTTCAGAGCACTTGCAGATCTAATCAGGCATCACACAAATATTTATGATTGATCTAAAATGGAGTTTAGGTCGTGACCAGGACATGACTAGCATTTGAGTCATTTTGAACAGGTCTGCACCTCGCACTGCTGCTTTCTTTGCGTTATCTCAGTAGCACTTTCACAGCTGGCATGTTTGCATGACGTTGTGCGACATGACACGCAGCAATACTAACTTGGGCCCTGAAAGCTTTAATAACCATTTCACTAAGTCACCTGTTTAACCATGTCACTGCCCCCAAGGCTTATGTGGTTTCCAAGACCAGAGCTAGCACCCTTAAGGTTTGTCTAACTGAGCCTAACAATGCTGCGCCACGTGATGTGGACAGCAAATCCTGTAATACAAAGGACAGCCTCACACCACCAGCCTAACTGGTAGATGCTCATTGTACGTGTGAATTATTATGCTGTCGTCTTTGTTTTAACGTGTAATTCTAGATAGGGAGCTTTTTAGGAGTTGAGTTAGGATTTCCTTACGAACTTTGCAACATGCAGGCTGAAATAGTTCTCACTTCAGCCAGAATACAGTACGTTAAGTTTCTCCTCTCAGTTTATTTGCATATGTCTTTTAATCATTTTTAAACTAATGTTCAGTTGTCCAGTCTTCCCTAAAGCTTTTTTTTTTTCCACTTTGATTGCAAACGTGCTTTGCCATATGTTCAAACCAAGCAAAGCTTTATATAGCTCTTATCATAAAGGGAATTGGCTTGTCTGTTCAGTTCTGTGAAATGTGTTTTTGGATAAGCATGTGTTTTATTTTTTTGGTGTGTTTTACATCATAAAATAATTGGAAATATTTAGGTAGAGGGAAGAATATCTGTGAAATACTGTAACCTGTTTGTTTCTTGGAAAAGAATGCTTTTGAAACTCCTGTACTAAGTTTCTAAATTCGAAGCAGTTGCATAGGCTTCCTTTTCCCAGCACAGCATCCAGCAGGAGTTCTGTAGGAACCTGACTTAATACTGGGTATGTTTGTTTATTATTATTTCTGTATACTTTCAGATAGCTAATGGGTTGGTGCAAACTACTGGCTGGCCAAGTGTCGTTACATGTATTGGCAACTGGTTTGGAAAAGGAAGGTAAATAATCCGTAATCCAAAATTTCGGAAGTACAAATCAACACATTTTGGGGCTGTAATATTATAGTCAGTTTAAGTATCTATATGTTGCTTCAGTGATTTGGTGATAAAACATGCAGTTAGGTGGATCCTTGAGAGGAGTTATCCTTGTTATGCTGGTTTGCTTGCACAGAAGTTTGAAATATTCTCTGTCATGTCAAATGAGTGTTCTCTGGTGGCTCCTTAGTCTGATGTTTATTTTTTCAGAGGAAGTATTTTGGAATTGAATTGAGAAGAATTCTTGCAAATATCATCAATCTAAATCCACTTTTAATAAAGGCTGTAATTGTGCCTTTTTAATATAGAATTTCCTGTGTTTTCATTTGTGTTTCAAAGCAGTTGTTAGGCTATAGCTCTAAAAATATCTTTTTGTCTAATATCTTTTTCCTAACACACTTACAAAAACTTGAAATTTAGTTTAAAAAGGAAAATAGATGTGGCAGCTGACTTAACCTTTCTTTAAATCCATCCACTTTCTTTAAATCCATCTTTTTTAAAAAAATCCTAACTAGAGGTCACTCATAATGCTTGTTTTGTCATACCACACAGAAACTTTCCATAAATTTTGTGAGAGCTGCGTGCTGAATTCATTGTCTCTGATAATGGTTGATGCCTGTAGCAATAATGCTGCTGTAGTGGTGTCCACTGTAGATATCACTGAATGAAGTTACTGTCAATCACTTCAAGAGGAAGACATGAAAATTCAGTGTGAGCTTTCTATATAAAATCATGGGACAATTAAGAAAATACAGTCTCAAACTAGTTTTCTGTAGTCCCTGAAGCCTCTTTAGTTACAACATAGAGAGAATGATAACCATCATAAAATACTGAACAAAATTGGTAAGTCTGTGCACAGCAGACACATTCAGATTGTTTTGTGCAAAAGCAAGAGTCTGTATAATGGATTTTTAAGAGTTTGCATAATGGATTGGTGTGTAGGGCTCTGGTCTGAAAGTTAGTGAGCTGGTTCCCATTTTCATTTTGCCACGGATTCCTTGAAACACGAGCAGACCTCTTGGATCTTGTCTTCAGCCAAAGAAAAAGACTTGTTTTAGTTAAAATTAGGTTGTTCCAGGTAAACTCTTGGGAAAACTGCCTTGCCTTCAGTAGGACTTAAAAGGATAAAAACCGCTAACTGCTGTGACTTCAGTAGGATTTTTGTGGTTTACATTAGTCCTGCTGCAGCTATTCTACAGCAGCTCTACTCTGGGATTTCCAGGCTGACAGTAGTTTGATATCTTGGAGCCAGTCTTGCACAGGTGTTACCTTAAACTAGTGCCTAGCAAGCCCAGGATGCGATCAGAAATCACTGAGTTTGCTTTACCTGTCCTGTACAGATAGTTTTCTTCTGTCTAACATATCCCCAAAGCATCAGATTACTTGTGCAATATGCCTACAGGACTTCCATTCACAGAAGCATCAGACTTAGCATGTATATGCTACACAATATTTGCATACATGTTTTTATCAAAGAAACTCTGTCCAGGAATGTGGAAGCCCTAATGGTGCCTTTAAATGCCATTAAATGCAGGATGAGCTCTGTCATGTACAGAGAAGTACTTCGAACACTTCTATTAATATTTAGGTGCTTTGAAAGATGAAAGACTAGCATAAAGAAGTGTTTAGTTGCAGAACAATAAGATTTCAAGTATTTCACAGACATCACAGTTGAGCAGTCTTTTTGATATACTTCTCTCAAGATAATAATGCTTATTGTTCGAAAGATAAGAAATGTTTGTGGGTTTTTTTTGTGTGTGTTTTATTTGTTTGTTTGTTTGTTTTCTGTGCAGGAGAGGATTGATCATGGGGATCTGGAATTCGCACACTTCAGTGGGAAATATCTTGGGATCCTTAATTGCTGCTTATTGGGTGTCTACGTGCTGGGGTCTCTCCTTTGTGATGCCTGGTGTTATCATTGCAGTGATGGGAATATTTTGTTTCCTCTTTCTTATTGAACGTAAGTGCTTTAGTGTAATAGAATCGTGGAGGGGCTCCTTATGGTGAAAGAACACCAGCAGTTTAAGCAAGATGTTCCAGGGCATAGTTAAGGAATATTCCTCAAGGTACACCAGTACTGAAACACCTTACTCCTAGAACCAGATGGAGAAAAACCCGTGTATGTCAGAAGAGTTTATACACTCAGACTTTGGCATACCTGAAAGAGAGAGTAACACTACAGAATTCAGTCCACTGCCCTGTCTTTACTTCCCTGTCTTTATAAATCCTTCAAGTGAGGTACATTTGAAAGTAGAATACCCCACCTAGCTGTACTGTATGCTCAGTGCTACCATTCAACCCATGGCATCTATATCCTGTACTACAAAGTACAGGAATCAGCCAATAGAGCATCTTCTGTCACCTTAAATAAGAAATTAAAAAGGAATGCCTTCTCTTTTTCCTCTGTGGACTCAGAGATACTATGAATGCTTATTTTGCTGTAACTGTCCTATATGAGGAAGGAAAAAGCTCTGTAGACACAACTAGAGTGCTGCAATGAGCTGGACTGCCAGAAGAGTACTTACAGTGGTCTTAGGATGGGAACGGTACCATGGAGCTCTCTTTTCTTTTCCCCTAAATATACAATTAAATGTTTATATCAGGACTACTTTTGTGTTATCGGTACTGTTGGCATATTAGTGGTAAATGACACTACTGATAGGTGTTTTAAGACAGGTTCTTTGTGCTTGCATTCAGTTTAACTGTGTTTGTTACTGTGTTTCAGATCCTAAAGATATAAGTTGCTCCTCCACACCATCCAGTGTAAGTGAATACATTTTCTACTCTGATTTTTGCCTTCTAATATACAGGTTTATAGTAGTTCTGGTAATCAGATAATCTGCATGGCCCTTATGCGCCAGGTTGTTATAACTGACCCAAATTTGAGGGAATGATTTGCCCTCTGTGCTTCAGAAGTAAACCAGGAGCTCGCTTTCTATCAAAGCAGTATGAATCAAGAAGGTGAATGAATGTATTTTAGCTAAGGTTTTGTAACGGATGAACTTAGTACAGTGAACCAAGTAAAAACTGTTCATCTTTCTTTGAGTTACCTTATTTTCTTCCACTCTTCCTGTACCTTATTTTCTTCCACTCTTCCTGAGTATATTCAGATCATTTTGACCTGAATATTGACAACACAATATTGTATGTTCTGTGGAATCAGAAAAAATCAGGTTGGAAGGGACCTCTGGAAATCATCTGATCCTACTTTCTGCTCATAGTAGGTCTACCTTTGCCATTGGATCAGATCGCTTAGGGCTTACCTAGTCAAATTTTGAAATCTTCAAGAGTGAAGATGCTATTTATACGCAGATGATTTATTTTTAAACATCAGATGAGTTTTAAGAATGTATTGATTACACACTTTACTGGTATCAAGACAATGAATGTTGCTGGTTTAGAAGAGCTTATACTTCAAGGGCTTAAGTTTTGGCAGGATAGTGAACTATTTTGCAAGGTAGCAAACCTCACTAGGCTATAAATGCATTATCATACACACAAACTGTTTTTTTTTGTGGGACACATGCTGCCTGGATCACAAGGGCACATACCATGCAGGAGTTTGAAAATCCAGTATCAGAGATTGACCACTCAAGGCAGTGGTGAAACAGGTTTAAAATACGTGCCTGAAGCTTTCTGAGCTTTCTTTGTGTTGCTAAACATTGCATATATGCTTTCTCGTGACATTGTGGCAGCAAAGTTAGAACTTTTATTTGTTTTCAAAAGGAAATCCTTCTGCCTTAAATATTAGTACAAGGTTGTTCAAACACTATTTAAATGTAGGTTGGGAGGTAGTTACAGGCTGGTATTTGCCCAATGTGTTTTACACAGAAGATCACAAGACTTTTTATGTGCTCAAAATTAAGTAGTGTAGAGAGCTATGTCAATGACAGAGAGATGTGCCTTAGAAAACTTTAGCTACTGCTACATGAGAAGATGATTCTTTTCTTGCCTTGTGCTGCTATAACCCAAGAGGAGGGAGGCCATTCAAGCAGAAAAAGAGAAAAATAATAGACAAGAGAACAAAAAGGAGAACATTAGGAAAAGTAGCTGTGTAACAACCAGTTCTTTGGAAGTACAGTAGGGCAAAAGAAGGTCTTGGAGTTTCCCATGCATGAGAGAAGTGTTGGAGCAAAGGTCTTATGTGAATCCCACGTGTGTTTTCCAATACTAGAGGATTATATATGAAGGTTGTTTGCATGTGTATGTAAACGTGAACTATGCCTTCGCGTTGCAAGAGGCACAGGTAGATTGTTCAGGGATAATTTCTGTGTCTTGCTTCCCCCCCAGTAGTTTTAGACAGATTGATTTTTACATTTTAAATGCACTCAACTGAAGGTGACTTTTCTGCTCTCTGTTACTTCTTCTTTACCAGTTAATGGACTTTTTCCTCATATGGAAGGCGTCTGATAAGGCTTCTGATTACCTGTAATGGGCTGTGGAAGTCCTATTCTTAGTTTCTTACTGTGAGATAAGCTACATTCACTCTGTATTTTTCATTTAATTCTCTTTCACTTCTTAAAGGTAAATTCTGCTAAGTATGAGAATCTTTTATGTGACTCTTAGAGACTCCTAACAGGAGGCATTTTTTCCTCAGCTTTTCTATATTCTGTAGGTGCTCCCATGAACGTGTCAGCTGCTTTTTATAATACCTGGAGCATAATGTTAACAGAACTCACTCCTAAGATTTATAGAATTAAATGTTTACTTTTCATTTCAAATACACTTTTACTGGAAAGCACAACTACAGAGTTATGCACAATGGTTTGCTTGTATGTCTTAAGGATCTGCTATGGAAAACTTTGACATTCAATATCTACTCATCATGATGTTTTTAAAAAATCCAGTATTTTAGGAGGTTTTTCCCCCCTTCCATTCATTACACTTTCCCCAGTTCCCAGGAAGAGACTATCATTTGACCTCATCTTCTCTAGGACATCAGCAAGATCACTGCACCATGTGCAGTCTCATTGTGTAGCAATGCATTTGACGTACTGTTTCCCTGGAAACCTTGCTCTCCAGAGCAAGAGGCATTACTTCTTCCTTCCCTGTTGCATATATTCATAACTATGAATCTTTAAAAAGGGGGCTTTAAAAAGTACTTCTTTGCCTGCCTTGGTCGTTTTTCAGATTAAGACTTGTCATTGTCTTGGGAAGCTGTACTCCATCTGAATTGCTTAAGTATCTCACTTCAGACCTGTGTGGTCTGCAAAGTACAATAGGTAAAATATAAAATCTATAAATCCTTTAATAAATATGGCTCGCAGTTTCTGTTCACTGGGGGGAGGGGGATTGTAGAAGTTGAGGAAGTGAAAAAGACTAGAAAAGAAGTTCAAGAAGATCTGGAAATGCAGATGTGGTAGTGACCGTGTCTGATTGCTAAATTAAAAATAAATAAATAAAAATTGCTAATTGAAGGAAGGTTCATGTAATAAAACAGACTCTGTAAGCTCTTATCACTGGCAACAAAATTCCAGCCTTGCTGAACAAGAGGTAAAATTTGTTGGCAGCCCTAACTGCCCTTTTGTGCTCAGTCATATCAGGTAACACGCTTTTGTAAATAGTTAGAAATGTTTTTGTTTTTGTTTTTTCTAAGAAATTAAAGAAACATACCTCTTTGCTTTGCTCATAACTCTGTAGCAGGTCACTTCAGACAAATGTTTTGGTTATGTTCAGGCAGCCATGCCAGTGGGTGCCAAAAGCTGAACCTCGCAGTAGAAGAGTGAGGCTGGTTTTGTTTAAAAACAAGGGAAATAGATACTCAATGCAAGGGAATAATTTAAGGTAGATTCATACTAAGATGTAAAGATTAGATTCATCTCTCTGTGGTATCACTATCTTGGATGAATTTGGTCTACTGTTTGTTTGCAGCATGGTCATGAGCCCAGTATTTCTACAGAGTTTATAGTGGTGAGTAATCTGATTTCACTGAGTTGTCCAGAAGAACAGATGGAGAGACAAGCAGAGATCCTTGGATGTGCAGTTCTCATTCTTTTTTCAGTGATTCCTTCAGCTGTGCTTTCTTTGCTAGTGTTCACGTTGGCTCTAATTTATGAATTTGAAATTTGTTTCAAAACATTTAATGATGATAAAGTGATTTTAATGACTAGAATTGGAAGTTTAATCTGCAGCGTTCCAGAAGGATATGCCCACTACAAACGCAAGCAAGGAGTCAGTGTGCCTGATTATGCATTGGTGCACTTCTATCATCAAAGTTGAAGAGAAGGTTTAATAGCATTTGTAAAACATGATTATTTAGAACTTTTTTATTGCTTCTAGTCTTTTCTCCCTGTGCTTCTTTTTCATAAGTACATGTGTTCATTGCAGCATGCTCATACAGACCTGTCTTTATGTTCTAGGAACTTTCTTTAACCTGACTTTGCATTTCCAGGAAACCTACATCTCTTAAACTCCTGTGGCAAAGTGCTTGTGCATTTAGAAGAAACCAGACTGCAGTTTTTATCTTTCTGAAAAGAAGAAAGAGGTCTTAAGTATTAAATGTGCAGCCTCTGAGTCTAGTCCTTATCCCCAGACATTTCCTCCTTACCACAGTAAATCTTACTTTTGACAGGCAGATGAAGAAGTCTTTCTCTCTTTTTTTTTTTTTTTTTCCTCTGCTCAGCTGCTGGTAACTTTTCTCTAGGTGATTGATTTTCTTCCCCACAGATTGTTGTAAATCACTTTCTGACACGAGCTTAATTTTCTATAAGATAAAATTTTAAAATCTGTCATTCAGACCCTATGCCCTTAAGTGTTGTTTGTTTTGGAGAAACAAGATTTTTATGCCCAGGATTGCTTGTGCCTCAGCTCTGCATTGAGCAGCACCAATTTTGAAATTTATTCCCACCTCTCAAAAGCTTTTTGTATTCTTAGAAAGATTTGGGTGATGAATGGCAGTTTGTGTAAAGAAAACCACAATATATATATATTCTTGTGTTTGTGTTGGGCAAGAATTACTTTGTGATTCATTTTGAATTAAAATACTCAGTGAGGATGGGTGATCTTTTCTGATTTGTGGTGGTTTCTTTTTATCTATTTATTTGTGGGTTTTGTCTGTCTGTTTTTAATGTGGCATTCAGAATGTGATTTGACACATCAGGAGCATATATCTCATCCCTAAGGAATCCACAGTGCTTCTTGTGGTCTTAGCAATAGGTTGTTCCTACCTGACTCCAAACCTCCTTTGAAGCTGTATATTTATTTCAGTGCACAAACTGTAATCTCCCTGGCAAATCCTTTTAAGCCAAGGATTTCAAGATAATGTGTTCTAAGGGATGTAATTTTGGTGTGAAGCGATACGCTAATGCACGTGGTAATAAATAATGTGTAAAAACCAGTGGGTTAGTTGAGGTCCATCTGGGACCTAAAATACAGCTTGTTGCCTTGGTTTCTGTTCTGAGCACCCCTGAAGCACTCTGACTTTGCTAACCTTCTAGCCCATAGGAGCATGGTCTCTTTCCCATTTCTGGGTTAGAACAGTGTGAGAGTAAACTAATGGGATAATCGTATCATAAATGAAGAGAAATGAAGAAACAAGGTTTTCCTGGGGGCGGCGGGGAAATCTGTAGTTGCTACTAGGATTATCTGCTTATGAGAAAAATTGTTAGCACTGCCAAGAAAAGTTCAGTAGAGGAAAAAGCTGCTAAAGATGTTAAGAATGGCACAACTGTGCTCTGAGTTCAGTATGCTGCTGCTCTATAACAGCAGTATAAAGTAAACCTTCAAATACAGCTGTAATGCATTTTCTGTACATTGCCATAGGTCTGCATAAAAGCTTAAAAAGGCAAACCAAAATGCACAGTCGTTTAATTAGAGATGCATCCATTTATGTTACGATGCACAAAGACTTTAGTTATAAAGTAATGATTAACACTATGTAATCCTTTAAAAAAAAAAAAACAAGCAACAAAAGTATGGGGAGGTGTTGTTTGTTTCTTTCAGAGTTCTAACGCCTTCCTGAATGGTGCATCTCGATTCAGAGTCCACATGCCAACCTTAAATGCTAAGGAAGCCAGCAAGCCTCAGGTAAAATGCAATGTGTTATTGTAAAATAGCATAGTAGACTTCCTAAAGTTCACGTGGAAAGTTTACATTAGATTTATAATTGGTAAAGGTAGATCTTTATTTTATAATGCTGAAAACTGCCTCCCTTTTCATATACTGGTGTACTGTCAGACAAGAAAACAAAGCATTACCTAAGAGAAATACTACAAGCCGAACTGAGTAAGATAGCATGCTTACTTTTTTGGTCTTTAATTTGTGATCTTCATACAGTTCCAGCAAAAGTAAATGCTGCCAGATATTTTCAAGACAAAGCATTTGAAATCCTTTAACTACTTCTGTGGTGTCTGTCCACTCCTTACAGTATCATGTCTTCTTTTTTTGATGTACTAAAAGCATGCACTTAGTATGCATGGAGGCAAAGAGTTGTAAATAGGAGCAATTATTCATGGGAATCATGCTTAGAGCTTGTAACCGTCAGTGCTGGTGATTCTCACTGGAAACTGATCTCTGGATTTGCTCTTTAATGGGCAAAATGATTTTTTTTCTTGTGATGAAAATTAACTGAAAATTTTCACTTGAAATATTGTACACGTTTGAAGTATTCAGTGCACTTGACACATCATATCCTGAGAGGATAGGGTAGGGGAGAGAGCATTTTTTTTTTTTAACACTTCTGCTTCTTTCAGACTGTTACAGGAAAATAGAAACTTCCTGTTCTTTTCGTTCTTTGCCCATAGATTGTTTCCCAGAATTATAAGCAGGGATGGAAAGGTTTTGAACTTTTTAAGGAAAGGCTCGGCTAGTAATTTTGGTTGGCTCTCTCTCTAACCCCTGTGACCAGTCTAACTTCAGTGACTCGGAATGAAACTCAACACAGAAGGTACCCTGAGTTTACTGAGCGTACAGAGTTTATTCCTGTTCATTTTGAGCTGCCCAAGAGCAGACTCCAGCCCAGAAATCATTTGTCACAACTAGCGGAAAGATAAGGGGAGAAGACATAAGAAGATAAGTAGGTGACTGTAGACAAGTCATGAAGACAGAGCTAAAATACAGGCAGCAAATCAGCTGACAAAGTTTCCTCTTCTAACTCAGCTGGTACCTCAAACTGGCCCCCTCCCTGTCAGCCTGTGCAAAGAGCCTGCAGAGCCAGTGGGCAGGGAAGATGTGCCCCTTCCCACACTGACTGGTGTTCCCTTGTGGGCACAACAGGGGGACAGTGCTGACAACAAAGCCATCATCAGCCATAGCCAGCTAGGTTATATGCTTGTGTTATGGAGCTAACAAGTTTTTAAAACAAAACAAAAATAAAAACAAAAAAGAAAACTTTTTTATTACTGCCTAGGACCCCCAGATTTTTTGCCAGTGACAAGAGATAATCTTGCTCCTGTCAAAATGGAGTTGAACACCTTTTTGCAATGGTTGCGTTACGGCTGTGCTGAGCTGGTGATCACTGTCAGCTTTTGTGTTTGCACAAGCAACAGATGTTCTGCATTTATGAGCTGGTCTGCTGCAAGGACACTGGGGTGGCAGCTTCTACTGTTTTGTCTGTTTGTTTGTTTTCCTGACCTCTTCAATTACTATAAAAATAAATATTCAGGATAGGCAATGACTGGAAAAAAAAAAAAAACAAACACCTGTTTTTGGCTAAGCGACCTGAATACCTCCATGTGTTTGTTACCACTTGTGTCACGTTGGCCTCTTGAAAATTGTACAAAATTGAGGGATAATGAGTCCTTCCCCAGAGATCAGTAGCGTGCCATATGCCTAATCACAGTCCATGACGAACTGACAAGGCTGAACAATGTTATCCTTGCTCAGTACAGGCTGATGTTTTTTATATATCATTTAGCTACATGCAGTGCAAAAATTGTTGGTAAAGGTTTTCAGTATGAGTTGCTAAGTGAGTTATTTGGATTTTGGTTGCTTTCACTGTTATATTTAACCCTCTATACTTAAATAAGTTCAGAGCTACCTGTCAGGGAAATGAGCAGCGTTACCTCAGACAATCCCGTTTGGGTTTGCTGAGTAAATTCTGCAAGAGACGTGCCCTAAGGCATTATCTAGACTTATCTTCCATTGACTTTTTTTAATGTTAGTAGCTGGTATTTTGCTTTGCTACTGTTAAAATAGTTCAAATTTTGAAGTTGCTCCAGTAATTCAGAAGATGAATGCTGCTCCTGCTGGAGTGACTCATGTACTGTAACACAGATTTACAGTGCCGAGCTAGATTTCTGTTTATATTTTTTTTCCTGTCTTCTGGCTCCTGCTTCGTCAGAGCGTAGGGTCTCCCATAAATCCCGCACCCTGTCTATGAACTCTGTACAAACATTTTGGATAATATCACAAATTTTAATCTCATTAAAAATAATGAGATCTGTCTGTGGCTAGACTGGGATGGCTTGTTCTTGTTGAGTGATAACTTGCTCCGCAACTGTTCTTAGCAGCCAGTGGAGTTACTATTGGAGTGAAATCATTCCTAGTTTAGACCTCAGGATTGAGTTCTCAGGTAATATTGGTAAGCTTCAGACTTTTTTTGAATTTGTGGATTGCAATGCTCAAACGAGACAGGTGAAAAATTCATTATTGCTTAACAGAAAGCGTTCAGTATCCATAACTCAACTGAAAATACGGCTTTGCCTGTACTTAAATTATTGAATAAGATGTTACAGAGTCTGAAAAATGAGCTTGGTGTTAAAACATGAGGAGGATAATACATGGTTTTATACAGAAATGTGTTGTAGGGCTTTGGAGGTTTTAATTTTTAATTACACCACGTATAAGTAGTAGTGCAAGGGAAGACTGGAAATTTTGTTCCTTTAGACCGTACTCTGTATGTAGTTTTGTTTTTTTTTGCAACTTGAAGTAAGTCACTGTAGAATGGAGACTTGATTCCATAACGCTTAACACACAAGCATAAATGACCAGGCTCATTTCACCCCATTTTCTGCATATACTACTTTCTCTATACTCCATTCATCAAAATCAAGAGATTTTAAAAGCTGTAACTTTCTGTAATAAAATGAATACTTTTTTAAAAATAAATTATTTTAGAATGATTTGATAGTTTGATATGTATTTTAATACATTGTTCTCTTCTTTTGTATATGGGGGAAATCGCAGGATCCAGAGATGCAGCATTTGCTTATTGACAGTGAAAACTGCACGGCGTCACAGAACTCGAGCAGTGCGATCACTGGGGAAGGCAGACATGGGACATCAGCTATCAGCTTCCTTGGGGCCTTGCGAATACCTGTGAGTCTGTGCTATTCTTCCTTGTTCCTCCAAGAGTCTGGTTTTGCCTTGTTTCCGTGAGGTTCTAGACAGAGTGCTAGATGACATTAACTTTGCATCACAAGATTTGATTGGCAATTCTGGTATATGCAGGCTAAAGCAGATTTTGATACAAAAGACAAACATCTAGGCTCCAGTGGCTGTATAAATTGCTTTTTTTTAACCTCATTATAATTAATACTATAGCAGCCTGTAATGTAAAAAATCACTGTTCTTAGTTATTGATATGAGTATTGAGAATGGAAGAGTAGGCTGAACCTGTAAGTACTTTTCTGTGTCAGAATTTTTTTCCGTGGCTTCTCTTTTCCGCTCCTCAACATTGTTTTTATTTTATTTTTTATTTTTTTATTTTAAAATCTCTTGTATTGTTTATATGGAGAAATATGAGACAGACCAAACATTTAGATTGCTGCTAAAAGGAAAGGAAATAAGTTTCCTGTAGTTCAGGGAACTACAGTTGATTGTCCTATCAGCTTGAAGTCTATCAGCTTCAATACAATGCACAAGTAGAAAAAATTATACTCAACTTGATTTGGACCAGGTGTAAAGGTAGCAGAAGAAATCCACTGTATTCCTGCATTCTCTCATTCTGCCAGTCTGATCCTCTGTCTCAACCGATCTTCCTGTGGCGGAGTGGAAAAATAGGTAGAAAAATTGCTACTGCTGCCTCTTTGAATCTCTGTAACTCCACAGTATTTTTCCTGCCAGCTTTTGGGAAGGGTCACGGCTGTACGTGAAGTGGAGCCAGCTGCGTATGTGTGTTGTCCCTGCAGATAACTGCAGTACACCATATGAGAGATTTAAAAACACCCATCTCCAACAAAAAAAATATATATATATATCAGATGGTAAGGGGAATGAAGATAGGTTAATTTGGCAGTTTAGTTGCAGCTCTGTCCAATAAGTAAACCTTTCATATACCCAGCACAAAAGAGGATGGAACAAATTAGTGTTTGAAATAGGCATCTGCCCCATCTGCAGTGTGCTCTTGTCACATACTAACGTGAACTGTGTCATGCCAGTGAACTGGCTGTTTGTATAGAGTTAATAAGGGAGAGATCTTTGACCCCATCTGAAGGGCAGTTCTAAAGAACATAAAAATACATCCATTCCTCTGGAATATGCTCCCATACAATGCTGCATAAAAAGTCTCTAAATGAGGAAAACAAGCTATGCAGGTGTTCCAGACAGAATCAAAACCTTCCTGTTCATTTTGGTGTTCTCTCTGTTCAATTCATTATAATTAAAAGAATGTATATAAGTAGAATATCGCAGTCAGCTCGATTATAAACTTTATGCTCTTGGGGAAGAATGCCTTCAGGGATTTTTTTAGAGGAAAAAAAAAGGGTAAAATGCTTCTTAGAAACAATTTCATAGTGATCTTTGAAAGCAGATAACAGCCTCTGTTAAGATACTAACTTCGTGTTTCCTTTGTTATCTTAGGGAGTCATAGAATTCTCCCTTTGTCTTCTGTTTGCAAAACTGGTGAGCTATACTTTCCTCTTCTGGCTTCCCCTCTATATCACAAATGTGGGTAAGTATCACAGTAAGGAGAAACAGAATTATGACTACAAAGTGTGTAGAAATATGAGCTTGAAATAAATAAGAAAATAAACATTACTGCTTCTGAAATGGGCTATCTTTGCAATAGTAGCAGGAGTTTTAAGTCACCAACAAACATATTTCTGAGTTTTACGAATTCAATTTTATTGGAAAGTATTTTCAAAAGGGAAAAAAAAAAAAAAGTGGTTTATCATCAAGAAATCCAAATTGCAATGCTGTGACTTCAGCCCTTGCAAGCAAATCAGAGAACTATACTTTTTAAAATAATGTTTTAAAATGATCAAGTGCCTAATTAAAACATATACCAAAAATCTAAATGAGGTTCTTTATGTGTTCAGTAGCACTGCGTTTTCGTTTGTGCTGTAGAGTACAGAGGTAGGAGTTCTCCCTAGAGAAATTACTGTTCTTGTGAATCATGATGTGACCTTTAAGCCCCCAGCTAACTAAAATGCTGTGCTGGACAAGTGTTGCAATAGCAGCCAGTGGAGGGAGACAGGTTAAACAATTTACTGAAGTGCACATAGCTGAAAATACTACAGCTAAAGGCTGTTCTGTGGACTCCAAATAAACAATAACCTCCTGCAAGATAGGATACCTTGAAAGCAGCTGGCTGGCAACAGAAGGATTAATGAAATTTATCACGGTTCTCCAGTGTGTGCTGTAGCAGATTCATTGTTGGTAAGGTTATGGTAGTGCCTCTGACAGCACTATTTTAGCGGATACTGTTCTATCAAATGTATTTCAGAAGCTTTTAAAAACTACCAAAGGTGTTTAGAAATGTAGCTGCTTTTGAAATGTCATACTTAACTTGGTTGCCAAACTTCCTGATACGCTCTTGGAACCCTGACCCCATAGTGCATGAGTTAGACTAGACATCAGTATATGCAAACAGTGGTCCTTGCTGCCCATGGCAAACAGTGGACTTGATGAAATTGTTGTTTCTTCGTATTCCACGTAAACTGCACGGTGCATGTTACACCGAGCACACGGCCAATAATCTAATGGCTGACATCACCATCACCTGTCTGGTGATGGAGGCCTCCAGGATGAAGCTCTGTAGGTAGTCCAAATGTATACTAATAATCATTTTAGAGCCAAGAGCCTCACTTAGGAGTATATGTTAACTGTTCAGGACTCTGTGGCTATTCACAAATGGGAATATTGTTAAGCCAAACTTGAACAATCAACAGCTCTATCAGTTGGGCTTTATCTATAACTGAAGTGTTAAAGTGTCCTGCCATGGATATAATTGCATTCGAAAGATTGTATCACTGAATAACCAGTTATGATACGTTCTTGTTTGCTCTATGGAATGATACCTTACAACACCTTCTGTTAGCTTATTCCTGTGAACAAACAGTGCTGATGTAAGATGTATTTACCTTAGCATGACAAGACTTGAGATACCTGCTTTTTGTGGTTTGGAAATTATGGAATTATTTTTTTTTCTCTTGCTAGAACATCTTGATGCCAAAAGAGCTGGGGATCTTTCTACATTGTTTGATGTGGGTGGAATCTTTGGTAAGCTTGAATATCAATCCTTAATCAGACCAGTTTAGCAAAAAACATTGGTACACACAGCTTATATGTATTATTAGTCTTGTACCTTATATAAACGGAAGAAGAGTAGCAGTAAAGGTACTAAGTAGAGAGCTGGATTGGACATTGAGAATCTAGCATACTCATCTCAATGCCCAGCTGACCCCTACCTTCTCCTCCCCCTCCCTGAGTGCCTTTTGGAAATAAGCCCGGTATCAGTCTATTGGAAAACAGTGCTCATGGTGGGGAAGTTTCACTGGATTAAGAACGATGTAGACCCTTGTAGTTCAAGATACAGGTGTCAAGGTGGGTTGCATTTACTGTTCCGGGCTTGTTCTGGATGTCACTTCTGCCATTTTTCACTGCTTATTTCATCCCAGAGTCAGAGTTAGACATCACCTTAGGGATGTGAATGACCTCTTTCAGCAGCATTTCATTCAACTGTGAATACAAGCTTGTGCTTGTGCTGTTTGGGCCCTTGGCATTTATATTTAAATCTGAGTGGGATGTAGGCATTTTGGAGATGGGCAGCTGGAGAGGGAGAGGCAGGCCCAGCAATATTGAGGAATCTGGAGAATCCAGGGAACTTCCTTTCCTTCTCCCTTTATATCATTGTGGCAGCTCCTTTCCCTCAGTCCGTCCAGCCTGCTCCTGCCACACACTCCAGTTAGTGCTTCTGTGTACAGTCATTGCAAACACCAGAAGGGGAATTTGAAGAGCCTAGAGTGACTGCCTGGAGATAAAAACAAGTATTTAATTTGCCCTGGGATCTAAAATAGCTCATTTTCCCTTGTTGGGAAATGAACAGAGCACACTACAGCTAAGTTTACTGTTGCATGTGAGGAGTTAAGGGACCAGTGACCAACTGGGCACAGATGGATCCCAGAATTCTAGGCAGAATGGGACCACCTGGTGCAAAGGCATTTTGCATTCAAAAGCAGCAGAACAATGATTTCTAAATACTTCCACCTCTGTTTTATCCCCGTCCCTACCAGCTTGGAAATTCAGTTGCAATAACCAGTGAGGCAGAAAAACTGCCCATTCCTGCCTGACCTTCTGAGTCAACCCTGGTTGGGCTAATGGGGTTGTTGCTAGGTGCAAATTGTGTCATCAGGCCCGAGATCTGTGCTGCTGTGTGCAACTGTACATTAAAAGTCCTATTACATTGTTTTAATCTGGGTTGGGTTTCGTTAAGTATAGTCGATATCTTCTGTGTAAAACATGCACAGAGTATTCTCCTCACGTACCTGTCTCTTGCTTTCAGGTGGAATTTTGGCAGGCCTGATTTCAGACAGGCTAGAGAAGAGGGCATCGACCTGCGGAATGATGCTGTTGCTGGCAGCACCCACAGTAAGAGTTCGCCTCTCTCTGACAGCTGTGGCTGGGGCTTTGACAGCACTCAGGAAGTTCTGCAAGCGGCATTTTCTAAGTTGAACATGTAGTTCAGGCCAGGTTAAAAGCGTAAGAAGTTGAGCATGTGAACAAATATGGACATTTGGGCTGCCTCTACTAAGCAATGAAACAAGCCTAATGCATTGCTTGTTACAGGATTATGTGAAAAGTTTATTGCTCTTTTGTAAAATATGATGTCCAGTTTTTAGCCAGAATTTTAGTTGCTCAAAGGCTAAAACTGCTGTGCTCTTTTTGGAAAACTGACAGTTGGACACATGAGGTGCATTTTTCTGTGAGTTTTGATTCTTTTGTGAGCTCTATTCAGTGCTTTGTCGAAGCTGGCAATTGGAGAGTTTAAAATTGAGTGTTCTCATAATATAGCCCTTTCTCCTGAAAGAACACCTGGGGAAGAGGAGCGTGCTCCTTATCTCCCTGATCTGTCCAAATCAAACAACCATTCTGCTGTGGTCTAAAAAGGTTTTGTAAAACCTAGGATGTGAGAACTACTTTTCACATAATACCAACAGATATTTTTTTTTTTAACTAAAATGGGGAAAATAGGGATTTTACCATTAATGAGGGTGTTGGTATTATAACACGTCTGTGTTTTCATTTTTGCAGTTGTACATGTTCTCTGCAGTCAGTAAAATGGGCCTTGAGGCTACTGTAGGTGAGTATTTTTAAATTATTTTCTGCCTCGCTTTATGTGAACTTTTCATTTATGATCCTTTGCCCTTTCATTTTTTCTTTTCCCCTGAGAGGAGGAAGTGTGGAATGAACACTGTCTCTTGGAGGCTTTTTGAAAGAGAATAATAAGGAAATAAGGAAAGAGAATAGGGAATAATTCAATGGTGACATGATTTAGTTAACAAATAATGTTAGTTCATGTCTGCTAATCACTGAGATAAGAGATTTAGGTAATATCATTAGTCTTTTTTATGGAGCTTGTTTATGTCTGCATAGGCTTTATTCTATCCACTTTTCCAAATATCAGACACTTTAAAAGACTACTTACAGTGGTTTAAAGACTACTTACAGTACTCTTGAAAATGACTTAACATATGTAGACTGAATCCCGTATCTATTACGTGAAAACAGAAGCTGAATCACAAGAGCTGACAGTAATGTCTCACCTACATAAAGGCCTTGATAAGTTTTAGGGCTCTCTGGTGCTTGGTGCGTGCTTATGGTTGACTTCCTGTGGGCATCCTCTGTGCTTAGAATCAGTTTGGTTAGACTTTCCTCTTTCTCTGAACTACCATGATCAATAAGGGCCCTGGGAAGTACTTTTAACTCAGTCCTATCAGTCCTGTTATTTTTTGGAGTTTACACTGTGGAGCAAACATTGCAGGGAGATACAAATGTGTGTTGCTTTTCTTCCTGTCCCCTGTAATGAGGCCAGGGGAGCCAAGGAAGGATTAAACTGTTCAAAAACCACAGGCTGACGTTTCCTGTTGTTACAGTTTAGTCATTCAGGCAACTCACATTTTCTGTTTTTGTTCAACTTGCAACAGTGATGCTGCTTATCAGTGGTGCCCTGGTGAACGGACCTTACGCACTGATCACCACTGCTGTCTCTGCTGACTTGGTGAGTTTGGCTTCCCTTCCGCTTCCAGCATAGCAGCTTTGGCCTCCAGAGAGAGCCATTTGACTTCTGTAGGATTGTCAGTGAAGGAGCTGCACTGTCCTGAAGCAAAGTGAGGTGGATAAGCTGTGTTGAACTGAGCCACTGAGATTGTTTTAGAGTTCCTGTATTAAAACTGGTTAGTATCCTGCCTGTTTGATCCTTAACCTTGTTGAAGGGACTGCTAGCTAGAGAGTGGGGTCTGACATTACAAAATGCCTACCTGTTGGTTGGGAAGAAGATTGAAGAGGCTAACTGATTCCTCAGGTGTCAGCAACCAAACATCTGACCTAAGTGAGGTCTCAGTTTACATAATCACTGCTTACCTGAGTGTATTCTCCTCAATGTACGAAGATAAGTCTGTCTGATTAGCAGTTCTCTGAAATGTCTAGTTCATCTATCTTGTTGCAAAGTCATTCACTTCATCAGTTGTTTTTTTTTTTGTTGTTGTTTTTGTAGTTCTGAAAACCTGACTTTTAAAATTGGGACTGAAGGGCTTCTTTTGGCCCACAGATTCTTTGAATTAGCTTTTCAGTTTATATTTAAATTTCTGGTATTCTAGTATTCTTGTCACAGCAGAACCTTTTTTTGTTCTACAGAGCTTTGCTGTATTAGTAGAAGAAAAGATGGCCATGGAAACAGTCTTGCAGCATAATGCAAAGCGATAGTGTTGTCCTTGTTGCTTGAATCCACAATGCGCAGAAGAGAAAGCTTCACAGCTATTGTTGTTTAAACAAACTGGTTGAATAAAGGAGAACACTGTAGGCAACCATTTGATTGAGTGGAGGGTTTCTTTGAGTAGCGATAAAAGGATCTGAGCTAGGATATTTTAGGCAACTTCACAATGTGCATCTCACATAGAGGGTTCAGCTCAGGATGGTTCTAAGCAGTCTTTGTCTCTTTAGGGTACCCATAAAAGTCTGAAAGGGAATGCAAGAGCCTTGTCCACCGTGACAGCAATCATCGATGGAACAGGATCTGTAGGTAAGCCAGAGCTGGAAGGTAACCTGCTTTTGCTGGGGTAGGTTAAAACAGAAGATCTTTGTGAAGCTAGGCTCTCAATAGTTCACGCTTTGCCAAGACACAGTACAATTTTGGAAATGGGGAGTACAGCGAACTTAGCCATAAGCCTCCCTAATGTTCCTATATCTGAGGGAGGGAGGGAGAGGGTGATAGACTGATACTGAGTGCAGATATAAAAAGTAGATGCCTTGAAGGCTGTTTGTGAGACCTGCAGTCATGACCTCGGCACTGGCATGTAGAAGGGAAAATTGAGTAGGATTTATCTTGCTGTGGGATGGGCATTATTTTTCTGTGAGCCAAAGAATGGTATTTCTCAAACTTCTAGCCTTCCAGCTTCCCCTGCATTAGAGTCCCAGCTGTACCAGTTATGTTTTACACTTTCTGGGACATTTTAATCCATAGGGTAATACTGAGTTATCTAGGTGGATAAATTGATACTCTAACTCAGAATAGCTGTCTTTCAGCATAGTAAGTCTTACATTGCATCATTCTGACAGTATCAATATTCAATTTTAGGTGCGGCTTTGGGGCCTCTCTTGGCTGGTCTCATTTCCCCTTCTGGTTGGAACAATGTGTTTTACATGCTCATGGTGGCAGATGCGTGTGCCTTGCTAGTAAGTCTAAAAGCACTGCTTGGTTGCTATGTATTTTCTTTATGCTAAACTATGTATATTAAAATGCACATTTTCCTTTTGCAAATTCAGTAGTCCATCATAACCAACATCCAATTGCGTAGGAAATTTTCAATAAAAGAGCAAAGCAGCTCATTTTGAAATTCTCATTTAATTTTAATCAGAAGAGCAGATTAGTTCTGATGCACTTCCATTTCTGAAGAAATACACATCTGTTAATTACTGGCTGAGCTGATTACAGCAGGCCTAATTGTAAGCACACCTTCCTATATAGAGCTGGAAGATGCATCAGATTCCACTCATGAAAGAATTACTTCTGTTTTCTTTAAAGCTGGTTTACTGAAGTAGTAACAACTGTTTAGCTACATTGCTGTATCACCAAAAACACTATGATAATGAAACTGCTGAAAGTTAATACATCACATTCTCCAGATAGGCCCCAAAACTGCTGTACTAGGTTAAACAAAAACTGCCTTCCTCGCTTTTGACAGTAACCAGGCACAGATGCTTAGGGAAAAGGAGCGTGACACACATTGTGACACGGTACAGAGCATATCCACTTTCCTCCCTCCTCCTCCTGTTTGAGATCCTGTATGCTGGATGGGAAGATCTGAAAAGGTTTTTTACTCCTTACATGCCCTGCTTTGCTTTAAAGACCAAAGAAGACACAAGATGAGGCAAAGAGTGCCTTGTTGTACCTTTTGAAGTCAGTCTTGCTGCAGCCACCTGCAGGTTAACCTGTAGGTTATGTTTTTGTGTTTGCCACGGATTTCCCTAGCAGGCATCTGTACCAGCTTTGTCTGCTCCGCTCCAGCAGAGCAGAGTGCTACTATAACTCTACCTCAGAGATGTCCTAAAGTGTCACTTGCTTATCCTCTGCTTTTGAAGTCCTGGATGGAAGTGCTCATGAAAGTGTGGGGTGACTGTGAAACACTTGAGAAATACACCTTCCTCTCTACTGGCTGTGCCCAGACCAAACCCTGTGCCTGCAGGGTATTCCACTAAGCCCTGTAGTTCTGCAGAGGAGCTGATGCTCAGTGTGTCAGACCACTCTCTGAGACGAGCAGAATTTCTTGTTTTGAGTTGGGATTGAGACTTTCTTTCTAAACTGAAGCCCAAATTTGTAAACTATGTATTTCCACATGTAAGATGTGAAATCCATGGAAATTAATTGAATTAGATAAGTTAATATTCAAAGTATGTTCCCTCTAATAGTCAGCAGCTCTATGGTTTGTACTGTTTTCAGTATTAGCCATTCTGTGCTGCAGTGGGGTTTGGGAAATTGTAGTTTCCCTAAGTAGACTTAAAACTCTGCTTTTTTATAGTTATTTATTAAAAAAAATTTTTTAAAAAATCCCACATTTCTTTGCTGCATCATTTAAAATGCATTTTTAAAGCACTGTTATTGACAGGATTGACTCTGCTCTTGTAAAGCTTTTTTGTAACTCCTTTCACTGTCATTGTCAGTGCAGAGTATAGATGCCTGTATTCAACTCCTATTTACTCAAAGATATCTGGAGGGGGGTTAGCCTTATACATGGTATTCAGATCAGTCATGCTTTGCTGTTCACATATCTCCAAAATGTTAGGTTTAATATCTTAAACCTTAAACCAGCAATACTTAATAATATTCTGATAATAACGTTGAAGAAAACTCCATTTATAACAGTGAAACTCTGAAGGTAAGGGAACCTTTAATAGTGAGGAATCCTGGAATAGTTCTAATTCTGTCTTTAAGGTATGTGGGAGTCCTCAAATTTTGTTTCTGAAATCACTTTCCTGGGGACTGTCTCCACAAGCACACCTTTTAAAATGCATTTGAAATTCCTGATCCTGCACATGCAAGTAAACATGACTAACATCACTCATCTTGACTAATTGTGTGATTAAAGCTTTTCACACACACAACTCTTCTTCAGAATAGCAGCTGAAATCATTTTAAGATCCAAAATTTCCATCTGCCATGTTTTCTTGATCTTGAAGTCTTGGGTTCCCTCTGCTGGTTTCTTTACACATCTGCTGGTTAAATAACTTTGGAAAACCATTGTATTGTGTTTTTTTTTTTTTACACAGGAATTGGCCTCTCAATTGCAAAAAGGAAATTTATTTTTTGTTACAAGTTCATTGTGAAAACTCCTTTTCCAAACATTGACACCTATATTAACACCTATAATTTTCGTATTTATTTATTTATTTGTTTTTTACTGATTTCAGCATTGCAGGGTAGTGTTTCAAATGAGGAACTCTTTGAATAAAAGTGTGCATCTTAGCCAGAATTTTAACTTGTTGGTATATCTGTACAGATAGTAACACAGATACTGTGACTCTCTTTACAGTTCTTACTCCGTCTCATTCAGAAGGAACTTCGGTGTAATGCAGATCATACCCTGTAAGTGTTATGTAAAGCTGTTGGTCTTTAATAACAGTTTAAGAACATATTACTAAGCTAATACCCCTATGTAGACAGAATATACTTAGTTTTGTATATGTCCATTTGTCTCTTTCAATTTTTCTTTAAAAAAGTAATCTTTTTTAATGTTCTTAAATCATAATTATTTTTCTTTAGAACCTTGTATTTTAAAAAGCACCTGAAAACAGACTTGTCATGGTCTCTTAGGGTTTGTTTTTTTCCTGAATATGGAATATTTCTGATTTTCATCACGGAGCGTGCAGGTGGGGAAGAAGAAGCTACTCTATTGCTTGCCTTCTGTGTATTGTTTGGTAGTTTCAAATGTAACCTTTTCTAAAAGGCCTCTCTAAAGGAAAGGGTGACTGAAATTACAAGGTTTTGAAGAAAAAAAACCACCAGTGAATCACAGGGGTTACACTTACCTAAGCAAAATCTAAATTGGGCTCCTTGGCTGTTTTGGAGCAGTGAAATAGAATACAAAAACACATAGCAAAAGGCAAAACTTGCCTTTTAAGTTAGTGGCTGTTACACCTCACACCTAAGGCTCTCCTGCCTGATTGCTCTCCTTTCCCAGGTTCAAAGAACACTGAGCTGAGAGACCAGATTTGGAAGAACGACTGCGTAAGTGACCAGAGCTCTCCCCTGAAAAAAAATCTTCACGGAATGTGTTATTCTATACTTAAGAGACTCTATTTGGTGAAGAATTTTTGCACGTTTACTGGAAGCAATTTGAGAAACGCAACTGGCAAATCCCTGAAGCTCTTATTTTTGCACATGAATAAGTACCTCAGGATGGCAACTATTCATCAGATGGAGGGACAGGAACTTTGGGAAGCTTTTAGTAGAGCGCCTCAACTGAGCCAAAGAGAAATACCAAGTGCCTTTTCATTTCTTTTGATAGGATGTTTTAATTAAAGCGCTGTACTGTGTGTTTTCCAAAAACAAGTCAGAAGTAGAGCAGAAGGATGTTGAAATCATAACAGACAGCCTAGCAGTGAAATGTCCCTGTGTCAGTGAGCAAAGTATCCCTTATGTTATTGTGTGCATCACTGTGATCAAGGGCATCGCATTATAGAGGGCAAGACCAGCTGGTTATTAATGTACACTGCTATTAGGATTTCAAAGCTGCTCAGACAATAATAACCTCACCATATTATTAGTTTTTAACTATAGCACAAATTCTGCTCCCAAGGACAACATCCAACCTTGCGGTAGGTAATGAAATGGAATTTACAGCTGCGGTGTACCACAGCTAGCGGTTTCCACAGACTCTCTGGGTGGATGTTAGCCCACAGTTAGGATTGTGTAAAACGGAGTCCCAAGCAACAAGAAGAAGTAGGTTATGAGTCAGAATTTCCTGTGGGGGGCTCTAACAATTTTCAGGGCATTATAAACTGGTAGTGCAAACGTCGTGTAATTGTTGTGCTGCTCCTCTAGGCTGGGTTTAAATGACAGGTGGTTCCTTTGGGGTGGCAAAGAACTGTGTGCTGCCACACTTCAGCATTACAGGATTGAGAAAGAGTGCTGCTTTAGTGCAATGATCTTTGTTGGGTACTCCGGTGGTGGTGTGTGCGCTTGGAAGTCATTGTCAGATCAGGGCCTTAATAACCAGAAATCTCTTTCGAGTGGCTAATTTCAAGTGGCTTTGAGTTTCAGATTCAGAGCCAAAATATGTATGTATATAAGAGAAGAAAAATTACCTAGGTGGTAGGTTGTAAGAGAACATTTCAGTAACTAGTGTTACCCAGCAAATAGACAATTTAATGTCTTCAGAACATATCATTTCTTCATACAGGTATCTCCTTTGCAAAACAGATGCTTCTGTGATCTTTTTTTAAACTTGTAAAAAGTAAAAAGGAATTTTTTGTATGAGGTGTTTATACTTAGATTGTGAAGGTTAGATAATTTAAACTGTGTACTGTTCTTAAGTGTATTTATTGAAGTTCTAGGCACATGTCTTGTTCTGAACTGTGCTGTAAGTTCTGTGAAACAATGCAGTAGTGTTTGTACTTGATTAACAAAACAGCACTCTAAAATAGCCTGGCAAAACACGGAGAAATGTCTCATCAGCTGCTGGTATTATGTTCCATGTGTTGGCACAATACTTAATTTCCAGGACTGTTTTGTAATTGTTCAGTCTCTGATCAGTTATTTCACTGTTTTGATTCAGCATGTGCTTTATGCTTGATTCGAACAGCATAAGAATGTGTTTATTTTTCACTGAACGGAGACATAGGGAAGACCTCAGTCCCACAAAGATTTATGGCAGGTACCAAAGTCTTTTGCAAGTGGATGCTCTATGTAGGCTCTGAAGCTGCAGTTACCTAGATCACTGGTTAACTGTACACCTTTTGAATAAACCTCTTGAGACCGGGGGAGACACTTGGTCTGTACCGGTAAATCCATGCTGCATTTAGGCTTTAGGATGTATTTAAATGCCACAGAATTCTGCAGCAGATCAGGGCTGAAGTCTTTGGTTGGGATGCTTTCAGTCATATTTAACAGCTACACGTTGTAAAGATGTTTAACTGTGTTTTGGATTTTACATGTTTTACTTGTTGGGGCTGCTGCTGTTATTTATTTATTTATTTGAATAGCTGTTGTGCTGAAGTGACTTGGATATGGGACTGTGAAAACATTTGAGGTGCTGGGCTGAGTCCTTCCTTCCACTGATGGCAGGAGGGATTTGGGACTCCTGCTGCACCGACGTCTCTTTCCTTGCTAACGTGCCACATTTCAGTTCCTCCCAGCAACGAATGTGTTCAACGAAAAGATGAAGATTGCTGCTCTTTTGTAACAACCCTAAGGGTCCCCCAGGTTGTGAACACACTGTTTTGTTATTACTGGGTGTCAATATTCATTCATTCATTCAGCAAGACTGACAAAATTTTGTCTATGGAAACGTGAATGACCAGTAGGTAGAGCCGAATTGGAATAAGACTGCAGGGTTTGGTTTTTGTTTTTAATGCCAGTAATTGTGAATTTTATCTATTTATCTTCTGTGGAGAATAAAAATGGGTTCTGCTGTAAAGTGAGAAATGTTGATTACTTCATCTTTTACATCTCCATGAAGAAATGCTCCATTTATTGTTTAGAGGGTAGACATCCCTGCTGAGACAGCGCTCCTGTCTCCTGTGAGGGTAATGAAAATAGTTCATTAAGAGAACAAATTAGAACCTTTTGTTTTGATAACAATACCCTTCTCAACTTGAACAGGTATTTATTTTTTTTCCATTTAATGGGATTGTGGGTTGTGCAACATCATTATTTCCAATCAGATGGGTATATTCTGCCTCCTTATTTTCATCTAGGAGGGAAGGAGGACGGTCACCTGCGTCAGGGGAAAAACTGCTTGGAAAGGAAAACAATCGTGGTTAAAACTATGTGTCTAAGGGTCTTGGACAGAATTTCCGATCAGAAAGTGCCCAAAGTGCCTCCAATAAATAGGCAAGTAACAGCTTGGGCCTTTATGTATAAGAAAGGAGACTCAGGTACAAGCTTCTGTTCTGCCTGATCTGGAGCAGGAGGCTCCACCAGAGTACCTGCACCCTCATATCGCTGGAGATGCTGCAGTGGAGGTTTGCCTCCTTTGTGCATTGGGAGGGTTTTAGGGTGGGGAAGAGATAAGCAGGTAGTGAGGAAGGTGGCGGTGTATTCACAGATCACTTTGATTTCTTTTGTCTTAAAGTTAAGCTACTGAACCTACTCCATGGACCGAAACATGCCTGTTCCTGTATATTCTGCCAGCTAGGAAACCCCAGAAGGGATTCTGCCAGCCATTTCTGAAGGTTACTGTGTGTATTTCTTGCATAATATCCTTGGAATAATAATGGGAATCTATTATGTGTCTATGCCAATGTCACACTACCTCAGACCTCTGCAGCAGCACTCACACTTGAGCATCCGTTCGGCTGGTGCTGGTGGTTTTCTCCAGTGATTGATGCCTGGAGTTGTTTGTATGAGAAGTGCTGCTCAAAGTTACGTAGGCGTAATATGGTATAAAAGAAATCAGAGGTTATTTAGAGCTGTTGGAGCCTGGCTGTTCTTCATACAGAGTTCAGCTGAGAAAGATTGTTTACAATCTGATCAAATTATTAGGCCTGGAACTGGTGATGGTGGTATTCTCTGGTCTGAATGAAATTTTATGGCCCACATATTATATGGGAGGTTAGATTAGATTAGGTAGTGATTTTCCCCAACCTTGAAGTTTATCTGATAGGTTGTTCTCATTCTGAACTATGTCACTTTCACCTCACAGCAAATCTATTTTGATTTTGTTTTGCTCTTCGCTAAATTATCAGGGTGATAGCATGGACTCTTTCTCCTCTCTGCTCCCAGGCTGCTGCGCCTGCAAAGTGACCGCAGACACAGGGCTTCATTGCTCTCACCGGGAGCTCTGCATCTCAGTGCTCTGGGGCATCAGTAACCTTGAGCTACATCTTCTGCCACGCTCAGTTAAAAATCTGACTGTCCTCCTTACAGCTGGGAAGGGAGAAGGAGCTGCTCTAACTGCTGCTCTACTTCAGCCTGGCGTCCAGCGACTTTTACAGCATGTTATGTGTCTCACTGCTTCAGAGCTTAATAAACTTCATTGCTGTAAAATGTCCTTATCCTCTCTTTTGATTATGAGTTGGGAATAAGGAGAGAATTAACATCATTAGCTGATGCTTGTTTTTTATTTTCTTCCTCTGTGTTTCTCTGTTGACGTATACATGTAGCGTAATTATCCTTCTGCTGCAGTGAAACTTTCATGGCTCTGTAGTCTATGGGTACAAGAGCCAAACTTTCTTTAGGCCTATTTCGGGGACTCTGCTCATCTCCTGCACCAGGATATTAGCTGTCAAATATATGTTGAAAATCGTCTTTGACACTGTACTGAAATAGAGAATTTAAAGGATGTTTTCTTCACCTCATGATGATATTGGGGCTGGTGTTTCTCTCCCTTCTTCTATTACAGAGGCAAGTTACAAATATTTAGCCACGTTTCAGTAATTCGATCAGTGGTCCAGACGTTTCAGGCAGCGGATGACACTAAGCTGTGCATGTACTGCCGTGTAAGTGTAAACACAGGGATGCTGTTAAAAGGCTGATGCTCCGAGTAGTGTGTTTCACTTGGATGGGATTCCAAAAGCATTTCCTTCCTGGTGGCTGACAGCAATATTCACGGCAAGTTTTTCAAGCCATTGAGAAATGGAAGATGTTTAAGATCTCTTTCCACAAATGGTTTACACCACAACTTCACATTGTAAGGGACTGTCTTTCTGGTTGTATTCTGTGGCATATAAGGGTGCATAAGCACACATCCATAGAATATCCTTTGTTGTGGCTGTTAAATAACTGTCCAGATAAAAATAAATACAAATGAGTCATTTTTTTCTCCTGGAGAGGTATATCTGCATGTCACAGTTTAAAAAAAAAAAAAAAAAAAAAAAAAAGCAAAGGTAGTAAAGTATGTGTTAGCATAAGTAAAGACAATGGATGAGGAAAAAGGGCAGTTGCTGGAAACCAGTGAGGTAAGTGAAAGGTTGGCATCAAATGCTGAATATCTCTTGCCTAAAAATAGCTCTTTCCTGTGCTTCTGTAAATACTAGGAAAAAGCCAAACTGTACAAATGAAGTGTGTTGTTTTGTGGGTGAAATGTCACAGTGAGAGCAGAGAGGATCACATAGCGGCTGGTCATTCTGCATCTCCAGGAATCACCGAGTTCCCGTCTGCCTTTACAAACTGTGTATGCAGGCTTAGGAAGAGGACAAGAAGGGAAGAGAGCAAGTGAAAGGCTCTGGGATTAGGCACATTCCAGCGACTCCGCAGAAGGCTGCAGTCAAGAGCTTGAACAGGTTTCATCTGAAAGAGAGCAAAGTCCTTTGCCTATGAAACATTAGCTACAGATTGAGAAAAGGCAATGCAGAGTTTGAAAGGTAGTTTGATACTGTAAATGAAAGATAAAGGAGGACATCAAGTGATGATGTAATTGAATGCAGGGTACGGCTGGGGTGCTATAGAAATGTGAATGTGGGATTGGTACTAGCAAAAAAGCCAAGACTGCAAAGTGCAGAAGACTGAATTGACTGAGAAACTACAAAGAAAAGTGAAAATCTGGTGTTGGGATAAAAAGAGGGAGGGGAAGGGCCATTTCACCCCAAAGGTCCTTACTGGCACCCTGTAGTGCTGAGCAGCACTTCCAGGCTGAGGTGAGAGGACCGCTGTCCCCAAATGATCTTCTGATTTTTCAATTTCCAGAGGGCTTATTTGAAGCTTGGCACTGTTGTGCTCACATCTATAGTTTCTCCTCTCCAAAGACCAGTTAGTTGATGGATGGAAGGGTGGAAGCGAGGCTGGATGAGCATCTAGTGAAGAAACCAAGGGAAGACGACATTTTCCAAGTACTTTTCAAGTAAGGTGCAAGGTGTCCTCTGTGAGTCTGAATCCCTCCATGATATTTAGGTTACCACGGCTATTTGAGTCTAGAGTTGTGGGTAGAGTTCATGCTTCAAAACTAAGCATCGTAGAATGTACATTATTCTGATAGTTGCATTTATTTACCATCATACTAGCTGATTCTCCTCATCTAATCACATTCATAGTGCATCTTCAAAAATGCAACAGGAAAAAAAGAAAGAACTAAAACTTCTCATTTTTCCTCATCCCTACAAATCACTTTCTGGCTCTGACTTTGTAGTTTTTCCTTGCAAGATTGCAGGACACCGATTTCATGTTTGCTAGATTTTTTTTAATTTTTATTTGTGGCCTGCGATCTCTGACCAAGTTAATTTCTGTTGTTTGTTGCACATAAAGATTCACAGCAGGTAAAACCGTGGAGAGATTGTATTAGACAGATGAACTGTGGCAGAGTGGAGTTACAGTGAGATGCTTAGCCTTTTCTAACTGTTAGTACTTTAGCAATTGTACTGACAGGCTACAGTAAAGATCTAATACCTCGAGATGTTTTTTCTAGGATGTCATTCTCCTTTCACTTGCGTAGCTCAGGAGCAAACATTTGGAGAATTCAAAAATTTTAAATGTCCTTGCCATCTTGGGCACTGCAGTTTTTAAGTTTATCTGGTACCCAAATCCTTAACAGGTGGCCTGAATTTCTCAGGTTATTCAGAAACCAGCAGCAGCTTGCATTGAGGTCAGAACTCAAAGCAGCAGCCTGAGTTCATATGCTAAATCAAGAGGGATGAAGATGCATTTCTGTGTGTGTGTGTGTGTGTGTGTGTGTATATATATATATATATATATATATATATATATATACATGAGTTACAGCATGAGTCAGGATCAAGCTGAAAGATGGACTTCACTGCCCAGTAGGTATGGGGAAAAAAAAAAAAAAAAAAAAGATGGGGTTACAAAATAGTTGATAACTTCTGAATTCTGGAGCAGCGAAGTAACATCCAGGGTAAAGTTTAGGTTTAGGAGGAGTGGGTTTCTTCTGATTCCTCTGCCAAACACAATGCTCTTATTTCTGCTGCAGAGGACAGAGTATTATGTTTGAGTCCGAGTCATCCAATTTTGCTGCAGGCCACGTGAGACTTTAGCTTAATAAGTACAGCAGGTTCTGAAGCTATTATTAAATCATTCCTATCATCTGGTAGGAAACATCTGAATGTTGTGTTGTTCTATGACAGAATCTGCATGTTTGGTTTTCCACTGATATCTGGGGCTAATAACCATGTAACAGAAGGTTTTGACTTAGCTATCACTGTTGGGAATCCTTGTTGGGAATCCTCCCTCTTCTCTGGCTGCAGCTTTCCAGTTACGTGAAAGCAAAAAAGCATTCTAGCAAATAATAGAAAAGCTCATAAAAATGGATTGAACACATACTCTCTGTCCTGAAGTGATGTGCAGGGTCCTCCGTGCTGGAGTGACTGTCACCCCATCAAAATGTGGGCATATTCATCTCGGTGCCAGCACGGAGCAGCTCTGTGTGAGGGGGATGAAATCCCTCTTCAGCTAAACGCCTAACAATGACGAATTGATTAAATTCCCTGATCAGTCAGAGTAAAGCTAACACGCCTGGTTCTCGGGATAA